TATCTCTTGCTTTGTGTTTGTGTAACCTTTCGTTTCCGGTTTGGCGGAGTGACATTGGCAAGGGAAAACGCTGTTGGCACGATGTTACCCACGTTATGCCAAGTTTTACTTAGGCAACGTCACAGATAGGAGAAGTGATTGGGGACAACAGGCGATTAGTGAGTGTGGTATACTGCGGTTACTGACGTTGATATCGTTGAGATGTCGGTGTTGGCAGAGGGAAAGAGACCTTTTGCAGTTTGGGACATATTTTCCTTCCGGTAAAATAGAGACAGGCTTTTCATTTTGGTAAAGATTTGACACAAGTTTCGGAAGGACACGAGACTCATGTTGATTCCTCTACATGCGGTCCTGAAGTGTATATATCTCATTGCTTCCCACTTCTTCCTTTTCCTTGAGCTACCATTGGCCCCTGACTTATATACAGTCATATACGCTTACAGTCGGGCAATTTAACGTTCCGTGTTAGTCTATGTTCATCACCTTGGCACTGGAACCCGTATCCGGCGTTGTGCTGCCGCAGTATGATCGTTGATTTCGTTACATATGCCTTAAGAACTGACAATGTCTGCAGGAAACCGCAGACGAGGTTCTCATGTATCACCTGGATATGAGAAGGAAGCGCCTACATCTATTATAATTGAACACTCTATCTCTTGTCCCTATGCCGAAGCGCCCTGACCCGTCTTTCCTCTTCGTCGGAGACGATAAGCAATTCGGGCCTGTCGCGCCTTTGCTCGCGAGGGCTAACAGTCGGTATGATGCCGTTAAGACAACTATGATGATCTCAATGATGGGCGGGCATGAACCTTAGATCAAGTGGGTGAAGAGCAAGCCTCGGGCTGAGTCTGCCACCCAGGGCACGCACGTGATTCCTGACCTTGGCTGGCCGGATCACGTTGACTGGAATATCTTCACTGGAAAGTGAGACAAGACCCATCTCACTGTTTACTTATTGTGTCCCTGGGATCCTGCAAGTATATATAAGGAGGGTAAGCTTCTGGCATCCAACAATCCTACAAAGCAAGTATGCGCCGGCTAATATATCAATGTACATATACAGGGAGCGCTTGACTAAAGATCCTGCCAGGAGATGAAAGATGTATGCCTGTCTCGTTGCGTGGTCATGATATCTTCAGTCAAGCTCTTTTACATCGCCCCGCGGTTCTGGAAAACACGTGAGAGACAAAGAAAGCAACGCATTGTTGGCCTTTGGACTCAGTTTGGAACAATCTTGAAGACCAAAGCTCCCTCACTTCGAGCCCCCTGTAGCCCTACAATTAACATGATATACCTTGCGTCTCCTGGAAAATGTTGACCACCAGTCGCTAGGTTTTATGAAGTAAGCCCTGGGAGGAACTTACGACAGCCATGACAAAGCACTTTCCCATCATGTATTGACTTGTCTCCCAAGAAGCATCCCAATCGTGGGTTGCAGCATGCTGTATCCTTTCCAGAAATGTTGCACTACAGGACCCAAAAGCTTGATTCGAGCATTGGACCTGAGGCAAGGTACTTTCAAGGGATATATAGGCGAAGGGAGTTTCAATCTTGACTTGAAAGGTCCTCCCAAACAGTTTGTAGGGAACGAAGAGGGGTATATATGAACCGCGAACTAGAAGACGTTTGCTTAGCCTCGAAGTACATGGCATAAGTCCTTCATATCTGGTGACCTTACTCACGCATTGTTCTTATAGGAAAATGTACTCGATAAAATCACAACCCTCGTCAGAGCAGGAATGCCTCACTTACGATCTTTGCGTTCTGCCTCATACGTGGGCCAAACCGTCGATGCTATTAGAAAGGCCGACAATAACAAGGTATTCGAGCAGGAAACCGAATTGGAGACGGCGGCAAGGGTATTCTGGCGGGGGAGAAGCAAAAGGTACGAAAGAAGTTCGGGTTGTCTGCTTTGCTTTGGGGTTAACATTGTTCCTCTACTGGATTCAGCAGACAGCCTCACAGTCTCCTTTCACCGCTGGTAGAAGGCAATCCCATACTCTCAAGAGCAGAAAGTCATCAAGAGCAAATACTCCCACCAAAGAGGCAGGGATGAATCAGATCTGGCCCACCAAGGAGAAGCAAGGACTCACCCAGCTGATAGTGTACATCCCACCACGGTAAAGGGTATACAGGAAAAGACTTCCCATAGCTTACCGCGACCTCTCAGTATTGAGAAGTTCGCATGCGTGTTAGAATTAGAAGCCAATAAGTATACGACTAGCGGAAAGTCTTCAGCTCTCGGTCAAGAACAGACTCTATTCGCATGTTAGTCCAGGGCCGCCATGGCGGCAGTGGAGTGCTTTATCGCTAACCGACATGACGCATAGAGCAACTGGTGTGATCTCACCCAGAATGCGTTGAGGAACCTTCCGAATACCGACAGCAAGCCTGTGTAATCATAGCCAAAGCTAAGGTCTGCCCACCCGAGTCTCCATTGCTCTGGCACAAATTTTGGTACTTGAGAGAAACCTTGTCAACACATCCCCTAATCTTCCAGGTTGCCTGGGTTTAAGGATGTGATTAACAAGAAGATGCTTTCAAGATCCCCGTGTCGCAATAAGATGGTGGGTGTAGTCCAATGGAAGCAAGTTCACATGACTTTCGAGACTCAGGGGTAAGGGGAGCTCGCAGTGAATCCGTCAAAAAGAACGGGACAAACCGCCGATCTGCATTCGAACCAAAACGGTGATGCCGCAGAAGTTTATTGAGATGAAACTGGAGTTGAAATATGCTGGGCTCTCGGTGGTGGGTTGAGGAGGACGCAAATGGGATTAAGAAGGGACGGTCTTCTGATGGAATTCTTCTCTTGGATCAATGGAGCGGTTCGGCCGGATGGGGCAAAGATTGGGAGTAACTATGTCTTCTGTCTTGAACTTGGGATGAGATTTTAAGGGTGAGTTCTTGTAAGTCTGCGAAGACATAGTCGTGGCGGGGACTTCGAGGGACATGGGGGATCGTCGACCTTGATCATAGGGGGGAGTATGCCAATGATAGCTACTTAAACAGCGCAGGTCAGCGGTAATGTAACTGAAGTGGTAGAATGTTAGGAACTTAATGGAATCCCGACCTCCTATTGGGATGAGGAGAGTACATCTCAAGCCTACTGGCTTAACCTACCACCTAGTACTCCCGACAATGAGAGAGGTATTCACTTGGGTAGTTTTACTGTTTTGAGAGTGCCTGCAAGAGTAATACCGAATAGTGAAAGCCCCTCTTGGAGTAGCTACGTCTATACAGGAGAGTGCATGTCTCGGAATTAGAGTGCCCAACCCCTGAGCGTCTTTGACTTCGAGGGTATCGGCTGTTGTCGTTAAACTGTCAAGACAATAGGTTTGTTCCAATGGCGGTCGTCCTGTGGGAATGTAACAGCCACCAGCGGTCGCGTACCGAACTAGGTCGGCCCCTGAGAGTGTCATGATAGAGCTGGAGCGCCGCGGTACTAAAGAAGCCCACAGGATGGACTTCTCCTCCATTGGGAGCAACAAGGAGGTACTTTAGTGATCCTAAAGGTCCAATGGACTGTCTGTGACTAACTCAGGGGCCATCCGCGGCAACACGGTGCGTCGAGCTCTTCTCCTGGGGAGCCCTCCTCTGCCTTGCAACCAATGGCTAGCCGAGGAGGGTGCTTCAAGGTCCATAAGAGTTGGAATAGCTGATGGCGAGGAAGGTACACTTCTTTGCGGTTGTCGTATTAGTCAAGAAGCCGTCCCAGCGAGTTGGGTACTTGTTAAAGCAGTGCTGCTGAAGGGTCCTGTAGCGCGCTCTTGTCAGCAAGGTAGTATTGACAAACTGACAGCTAAAGGAACAAATAACGTGTCAAACAGAAGCCCCTGAGAGACCCAAGTATGTGGGAAGGTGGTGACGAGCCCATCTTGCAAGGTATGCTGGGTTGATCTGGAACACAGCGGTTTTCGACAAAGCGCCTCTAGACTTGAAGCACCTTGAGGCCTTCTGGAGCCATCAAGGGCACTGCGAAACGAATGGGAGTCACAACGAGCTGCAGCATCCGAACTGCCGCCTTGGTAAGGTCTGATGTCTCCCGGTGGCTCAAGACACGCAAAGAGCTCCAGGGGGCCAACTGTCGAACCGTCACTAACGAGTTCTACTGCTATGATGTTGCGTTTGGGGAAACAGTGTGATCGATTCTGGACCTAGAAGCGCGCTATGCATCGAAAGCACGTCGAGGACTTCAGGTAGTCAGTTGCTGGGGACGAGTTGTAGATATCAGAGGGAAAAGTCAGTCAGGGGTTGGAGTATAAATGCATACGAGGTGTTCATGGTCATGACCCTGGTGAGGCGAGTGATAACAAGCATAATTAGAAGGCGAGATGCGTGTAACGCTTGTCGGATGTCAGAGTTGTCAGCGTCACTCGAAGGCAACGATGCACAGTCGAGTCATGGATGGATCTGCTTTGTCCCCCGTCGACACAGATGCGAAGGGATACAATGAAAGGTCAAGACGAACATTATGAAGGGACGACAAGCTGCGGATGAAGATTGGGAGACGGGGTGATAAGATATGTTGGAGTGTATGGAGGGGGATAATAGCAGAGAGCACACATACACATGCTTGTGAAGACATAGGGCCTATAGACAAGCACTCAGTGCTCATGCAGGATGCTTTTAGAGGACCAGATACCTGAATTGCAGGAGAGTAGCGTATGAGCGTCTGGTTTAGGAGGCCAATGACGTTTCGTTAGTGTGGTGTGCCTTGTAAAATAGGTCACCAGGGCACCGATGCCTTTTTCGTCACACGTCAAACCGCACTACCTACAGTATATCAAAACATTTCTCTCGCGTTCGAGCTTCTTCCCCTCTCTCCTCTTTTCACCCTCAAAACATTCCTCGACTTCCGCTCGAAGTCAACTTCTCCACGTTACTGCAACAACAAACAAAAGCGTGAGTGCCCTATTCACTTCTTCTTGTTCTTTGTTTCTTTTATTTACATGTGCTTAAGTTAACTTAGGTCACTGCCTCGACTGCAAGGCACAGCAAACATGCAGGAACCTGGACCTGCGGAGCGACTGACTGGCGAGGGGTAAGTCGACATTTCTATCAACTTACACCAACAAGTACTGACAACAGATATCCATAGTGCCAAGGTTGCCATCTACTTTGGAGCCATGCAGGGGGGTGAGATGGGACCTACTGTTGAGTACGTCCACGCCGAGGCGATTCTCCACACGTGCCCTGAATTCCTCCAGAGAGTCACTAAATGGGGTATCATTTCTCTCCCATTCGCTCCCAATGAGACCATCGACGCCATGGTCCGTTTCTTCTACACTGGTAAAGTGCCTTTCCATGAGGTACACAAGTTCACTCTCCGCCCGGACCTCGAAAGTGCCTATGATCTTGCCATCCACGTCTATTCCCAGGCCGTCTACAGCGAGATCACTCCAATGAAGGATCAAGCGACAGCGTATATGAAAAGCCTGTTTCAATACATCGAGCCCGCCTACATGCTGGCCTACACTCACAGTGTGCTTGAGCCCTTGTACCCCGAGCTCAACTTTAAGTGGGTTGCAGTCCAAGCGGGTCTCAGCAGCAACTACGAAGTCAATGACAAACTCATGAAGGTCGTTGATGCTGAGCGCGATGAGGATATCAAGCGCTTCAAGGAATCTGTCGCCCGCCGTGAGCGTGCTTGGACCAAGATCAACAAAGAGGGCGAGGAGGAGGGGGAGTCCGTTGGAGACACCGAGGCCAACGAAGCAACCGAAGTTGCCGTCGAAAGTGAGAGCGAAGGCACCGACGCTGAAGAGGCTGAGGCTGAGGCCGACGCTGGGACAGACGATGAGTCCCATGACAGCAACGGCAAGCTCAAAATTATCGGAGCCGACGGACTGATCAACCTCGATCTTGCCAATTACCCACCCGGTGTTCACCGCTGGTAAGCCGCAATGGCCTCTAACGACGGATACTTTTTGGAACGATGAACTACGGAAATGTAACGACGAACATGATGAGCCGATGGACATGTAATGATGGCTGCAACAGAACTGACTGGCATATGGGGATGAAGTTTGTCAGTATATTAATGATCACGAGGGGTTTTGGGAAGGAGTCTTACCCATGTAATATTAGCTGAGAGTATCCCCGGGAATACAGTCCATCTATGAACTCATAGGCCTTGACCAAGTTAATGTTTTGTCCGTGAGAAGGTCAAAAGAAGGTGATGTAGCGGATGGCCCCAGGCTCCAACTGCTGTGATCTCTTTCACGACCATGCACCGTAGGGCCGCTGAAAACTTTGATCTTTACTTTTATTTTAAATTCACAGAAGACATGGAGGTCTCACAACCATATAAGGAGATACATCAGTTACAACATATTGATCTATTGTGGCACTTCGTTCACAGCGTGATTGCAACACACAAAGGGAGTTCAGACATCGTGAGGATGAAGTGACTTGTAACTCCTCGATTGCGAAAGGATGATACATTTGAAGGCAAAGATGCCTACCGTAAATATGTGTATATCGACTAGAGGCTTTCTTTACCGTTCTTGTGAGATGGAAAGCTTCGGTCCAGGTACTTGTCGAGTGCATGGCTGGAGCCTCAGGTACCAACCAACACTGAAACGATGGATGCCGGAGGAAAGATTCCCGTTACATCCGGTCTGAATTGATCTACTGATTGGAAGAAAACAAGAACGACACAGTATCGCAACATAATTTTGCATTTCTGCGGTGTCAGCTACATAACAGCATGGCAGCAAACCTCTCACTTCATACGACTATTCACCAAGGTTAGATGTTTGTGAATCCATGGCCCGATCTTCGATTAAACTTACTACCTTAGGTAGTCACCCCAGCAACTAGAAGTCGGAGCAGATGAAGTGATTGCTTGGGGTGTTGCACGTGATTACCGTTTTCTTGGATGTAAACGATGAGTCAGGGGCAATCACAAGGTACAAGGGGTTTGTCTGGATAACCCGCCCATTGGTTTGCCCAAACAGCCGGTGACGACAGTTGCTACAGATCTCTTGGAGCTACGGCTATTGTTCCACTGACTACACAACATAAAAGATGCTCCCGTAAATTAAGCTCAATACCTAGAAAAGGCTACATGCTGCGGTGCTTGGAAATATCATGTTGGGATGCCTGTGTCTACTACAGCTCTACTCGGGGCCTGTGCCATTGTCAATTGTCAGTGGAGTGTCAACAACGATAGAACTTGGTGGCTTGCTGACGGTCTGATCAACCTCGACCTTGCCAACTACCCACCTTGGTTGACACTGTATGATCCAGTCCCGAGCGTGACGCGCTGGAATTGAGTGCCCGTCGATACGCATGAAGAATGGCTGGGTAGTTGAAGCATTGTTTAGCGGAGTGTTACTTCTCATCCGCTGAATAGAGCGAACCAGGGCTCACCAGTAACTACGACATGTTTTGTGACCGAAACCTCTGATGTTCCATCCCATATGTTCCACACGATCATAAACGTGTGATTGGTTTCGCATTCTGTTTGTTTGCTTGCCGTTTGTTCAGGAACCACGTCATGCTTGCCAGACAATGACTCCTTGTTACTCATAATCTTCTCTATCACTTATCTTCATCTATTTATTTCTACTCAAACAAAAGCATTTTCCTCTTTTCTTGACGAGTTCACCCAGTTCCTCAGCTTCTTTCACCGATATAATATCTTCCGAAATGCGAACATGAGTTCGAAGCTCAACAGTTCATGCCCGCCGCTCGAAGGTGATCGGCAAGAGGAACGACCCAGCACCTCGTGAGTAATGTTCCTTGGATATACCAAATTCCCATAGACCTCTCTGACCATTTCTCAAGACCTTGGCTGGCGCCGTCTCGTATCATCAACTTCAATAACAAGAACTGGGTCTCCGTGCCTGAAGAAATTCTCAAGAACCACCCGGCCTTCCTCGCCTGTTGGAAGGGCCAACAAACACTCGTCTTCCCGGCTGCTCCCTACCATGTGGCTCATGTGCTTCTTCACTACATACACAAAGGGGAGTACCGTAACTTGAAGGTACATGGCACATACCAAGAAAGTTGTGTCATTGATTTCAGCACGGCCATCTATGCCTACAAGATTGGCATCAAGTACCAGCTACCAGAGTTGAGCCGATTGGCTGCAGAAAGGACCCGGATCTACGGAGGTCAAATCGCGTTTCCTGAGATGACCAAGCGCTTGTCGAGCCCTCCCTTTAATAATATGGAGCTACAAGGTGTGCTACGGTCTTACCTCTGCAGTAGAATAACTCGAGAAGGCACAGTCATGAGTACTGAATCAAGAGCTGAGATCGAGAAGTTTATGGGGAGCACTATGATCGCAATCCTGTACCAGAGCATCGCTCGACTTGAGAGAGAAGCAGACGCTGAAAAAGACCGTGAATGACTTGTAGTAGAAGCAGACAACGGATCGACTTCGCGATAGGTCGACTACAGATGATGGGGTTCGATGTATGGCCTCCCAATGAAGATATCAGTGTGTCATATCTACAGAGTCAGGATGTTGCGCAGGTGGTTGTCACGACACGGATGGGGTATCGACTTTGAGTCAGAAACGGACAGTGTGTGGGTTAGAAATCAGGCGCAGGGTAGTATAGCCGTCAGTATGTATAACTCAAGCTAATATTACAACATGCATCCGTTAAAAATCAACTATGCAATCCAAGCGAAATGGTTTCAGTAGATGTGGATTAACTTGTCGAGATAAATCACTAACCGTACATTTAAATAAAACACAGGCAATAAGATGACCAAAAGTCTAATTATATTAAGCAGAAATAGTCATAAATTTGAAGACATTTGCAAAGAATCGGGAAATGAAATCGGATTGAGGTTGAAGATGACAGTTTTTGACAGGGGTCCCCTGACCAAGCTAGCAATGTATTAGGCTTAGCGACTGTTGACTTAGACCCCTGTCCTAGTCTTAGTCTTCGGCCGTGGAGTTCGTACGAGATAAGTTCGTGCGAGGTTCCATATTGAAGACAGAGATAAATCATATTGGTCAACATACTAAGTTACATGTTCTGAATCTCGACACTCGGTCTAATCTTGCTTAGATCTCGCACGAAACCAATCCGATCAACCTTTCGCATTGACATAAAAGACAACAACTTCTCACCATGAATCTCTTTCTCTGCCTTCTGCTTATCCCGATTATTCTCCTAGCATTTCAAGTCAAAAGAATCGTCTCGACCTTTTCTTCTCCGTACTACCGCGTCAAGTTCCTTCTCAACGACTTCTGTGAAAAGATGCACTCCTCCGTCGTGTCCGACTCCCCTGAGCTCGAGAGCAACAAGCCGACCGAGAAAAATGACCGAATACCCCCTGATGGAGGCGTGAGAGCATGGGCTTGTGTCGCTGGATCGTTCTTGTTACAGTTCTGCTCCGTAGGCTATGTCAACGCGTGAGTCCGACCTCACTTGATCGCTAGAAGCGTTCACTAACCTTTGGTATTAGATGCGGCATGTTTCAGTTGTACTACTCGGAAGTCATGTTCAAGGACCAGTCGTCATCGGCTTTGGCTTGGATCACCACTCTTCAGATCTTCATGCTCTTCATGTTTGGCCCCGCTGTTGGCAAGATGATCGACGTGTATGGCTGCCGCAAGACACTACTCCCCTTCAGTATCATGGCTGTCTTCTCCGTCTGTATGCTGAGCCTCTGCACAAAGTACTGGCAAGTTATGCTTGCCCAGGGTGTCGCTTTTGGGTTAGCCGCTGCTGGTCTGTCTCTCCCCGCCATGGCAACAGCCACTCAATGGTTCTCTACTAAGAAGGGCTTGGCTGTCGGTATTGTTTCTGCTGGGAGCAGTTTGGGTAAGATGAGCAACGAGTATCCTCGGTAGAAGTGGCTGACACGAACTCAGGAGGTGTGATCTACCCCTGCATGATCCCTCGACTCATCGAAGAAGTCGGCTTCGCAACTGCTGTTCGTTGGACTGCACTCTTGCAAGGAGTCCTCTTAGTCATCGCTAATGCTCTCTGCACTTCCCCTTTCCCACCTCTTGGCAAGGTCTCGCAACCAGGAAAGAAAGAAAACGTTCCTAGCAGTGGAATCAACGTATCCAAGAGAGGACCCTGGGTGTTCTTCGTCCTAGGTTGCTTCTTCACCATGTGGGGTCTCTTCGCACCCTTGAACTACCTCCCTGAGATGGCTTCGCTCCATGGATACAAAGACTTCGCTGTGTATACCTTGGCCATTGCCAACGCCGGTTCTCTGTTTGGTCGTATCGTGCCTGGCTGGGTAAGTGATAGGATCGGCTCCTTCAATACCATGATCATCGTGACTGGTTTCTCCGGAGCTCTTGTTCTGGCGTTTTGGCTTCCCCTCGAGTTCCACACCTCTAAAGGTGGTATCATAGTCTTTGCCCTGCTCTTTGGGTTTGCCAGTGGCGGTTTCGTCAGTCTGGGTCCTCCGTGTGTTGTATCCCTTGCCGAAGACCGGGTTGATGAGATCGGGTTCAAGTTGGGAGGCTTTTGCCTCGCCATTGCCCTGGGTGCTCTGACTGGACTCCCCATCGAAGGGGCTATTAAAGACCGGGAAGGGGATAGGTTTACTGGGTTGATGTGCTTTGCGGGTGCGTCTATGCTACTCGGAAGCTTCTGTATGGCGGCCGCTCGAGTGTCCAAGGATGGCGCTCAAGTCTGCAAGAAGATCTAGCTGGGGATGCCGGAATGTTATGCCACAGTGAGAGTTATGATTTTCAAGTAGAAACAGGCGAAAAGGATTCGGCTCTAGTAGATAGGCTATTCATGAAATCGTTTTCTACCTAAAAGAGTTCAGGATCATCGCCCATGAGCCTTAGGGCGAGAGAAAATAAGACATAAGTTTAGCGCAACAAAGTAAACTCCACAAAAGGTACCCTAAACTTATCCTAAATTTATACTAAATTCTAAATCCTTTTATCAATTAGACTCAAATGCCCCGAGTTTTATTTCCTCCCCTAGCCCACTAGAACCTAGTATAAGGTAGCTATTGGGGTAGTCATCGTAAAGTGTGAGTGTTAACTCTCGGACACCAGATTTCGTCCCCACTATAAGATCTTAGACTTCTCTTTCATCAAAAGCACATCTACAATACATCATAAATGATCAAACTCCTAATGGAACTCATCTTCTATACTCCCACTATATCCTAGGATGAATTCAAGAATACTATAGGGCATGCGAGTCTGCAGTCAACAATGCATAAAATTGGTTGAGTCACACCAGGGCGCACATAGCCCAGAATTAACATGCTCTAGACACACTTTACCCTAATATCCCATGAAATATACCTGGGATAACTGACAACTTTTCGTAAGTTTATTGATCTATTTTTAAAAGAAAACCAGATTTATGTAACCATAATGATGGTCACTTGGAGTTACAGCTTTAGTGGCGTTTTACTATGGATCCCACTTAGATCAAAATAACACGCCATTGAGTTATAAATGTAATCCAGAGTGTCTATTAGGTAGTCTATCTATCCTACTGTGCTATGGCGCTAGAATGAGACCATATATTAGACCCCATATAGTCTTTCAGACATCCCTAGAAGTTCGCGAGGTCGAGGTCACCATCCTTTGGGGGCGGTATAAAGATATATATGCCATAAGGCCCGGCATGAAGCCCAACATTGTTGAAGGCAGCTCTGGCAACGTTATGGTTGTGAGGAGAGCGTTAGACTATGTCTTGATCTGAATGAAACAGCCAAGTGTTCCATCCTGGATCAAGATCAAGAGCATGTGCGAAGTCCACTTGTCTCGAGATGACCTTTTCTGACCTTGAACGAAATTAGCATCTAGAGTTGCTCCATTGACAGTTCCAGTAGCCTTACCTTGGACCCCAATCTCCTCTAACGTTGAACTTAGTAGTAGTGGCGAGGGCCAGGTGCAAAGCGCAAGTCAGGGAAGCGGAGGTTGTTGATTGCACCAAGAATGCCGTCGATCAGGGCATCGCCAGATTGGAGGCCGAACCATCTGCGGTCACAATCCATAGCCATTCGGCAGGTGGAGGTGAAACGGCGAGTAATGTAGTGTTGAACATAGGCCCGGTTTCGCTGGTACCATTCACCCTGAGCCATGAAGTTGACTGCGATCCTGGTAATGGGAATCATCTCCCCATACTCCTCCATGTGGGCTAGAGCCAGAAAGGCAAGTCCAGGAAGGTTGAAAGATGTTGCCTGAACATTGATTGCCAGAGCATCGGTGAACTCTTGCTCCAGTCTATCCTCATGGGACAGAGCCTCGAAATAAACCATCTTGTACTTGGGCCTAGGGTCCCGGAGGTAGTGAGTGATGATTTGAGCTTGACGTCGAGAAGCACCAGGCCAATGGAGAATACCGCCCTCAAACATTTCAGCGAACATGGGGTAGCGGCCAACAACAAACAGGGGCAAGTGGATGTCGCCGTGGGGGAAGCGGATGATGACGGTGATATGAGTAGCAGGGCTGGATTTGATGGTAAGTAATGAGCAGTGAAGCGGGATGGCACAGATACATACAGACGCGAGCTCCCGGCGACCATTGAAGCATTGTTGGAAGATCCGACACCAGGACTAAAGCTGATTGTCAGTAAGAGAACAAGACAAGAGGTGAGACCGATACATACAGAGGCTGATAGATGGGAACGAAGGAAGCATTCTTGGAAGAACTGCCGGTTTCGACGGGCTGCTCCATGGATGAACCCTTGATCTCAAGTCCACCGGACTTGGCGAGTTCCATAGCCCACTTGTCCTGAGACTTCTCTCTGGCAGGCTGCTTGCCCTTGTCTGACTTGTCGGACATGGTGATTGCTTTAGGTCTTTGATTTTCTTGTAGCAGGAGAAGTAGGTTGCCGAGTTTGTGGAGGGGTGTTGTGAGAAGGAGGAAAAGAAAGAAAGGTTGTGGGTAAGAATAAAAGGATACGGGCCCCTGGTGTAACACAAACGCACAGTCTTGCTCCTTGGCCCTCTTCTTATTGTGAGATCGAGCTTTGTGGTGGGCCGGACGACTGCAGCTCCACTAGGGGATGTGGCTACCTGACTACTGGACCTCTCCCTAAAGTAGTCAGTGGTGAGTCTCCCTATGGCCTGTAGCCTTGTTGACTTAAGTCAACGTTGTAGTGATCTGGCTGAGAATAGCCCTGTTTGCTCCCAAACAGTGTGCTTTCAGTCAGAGCCCCAAATGCAAGCCACCAAACACTCCGCAAGACAAGATGAATCAATATCGGATAAGTCACAAAGACGCTTGGCTAATGTGAAATAAAGAAACGACAAAACAAGGTGATGGTTGCTCTGCCATACATGATTCTCTGTTATCTGCGGCCTGTCACGTATTCCCCAACCCCTGAATCCAAGAAAACCGACTTCAGACCGCGATACATCCAGATTTACACCCTAGGTAATGGTGTCAGTCAAGTTCGAAGCCACTGGCTATGTATGATCTGTAGTTATGCCCAAGTGACAGCTACTGGATTCAGAGGTGAGTACCAGATGAGCCAGTGCAAGACCGAGACCAGTGGAGCGTTTACAAGTCCTTGAATATCAGGAGGCTGACAGAACCAAAACCCCATTCTTTATCCTGGAGCTTAACTTAAAACCTGCTTACGAACACATAGAAATCTATCGCGTTCTTTCTCCGTAAGAAATGCAGAGAAAGACTCAGCATAAGGACTCGCCTTCTGTATACCGTGAGGCTATCTCGGACCTTTAACGGTGTCTCACACAGCATGATATTGAGTTTCTCATAAATCACTCTTAGAACTTTCCTTGGAATTTACTGCCATACTCGCATAGAAGTTTTCCTATAATATACGCCGAAGTTCCCTAGCCACGAAGTTCCACGAACAAGTTGACGATCACAAGTTCATTACACAAAATCTATTCTCAGAGTTGTCGATATCTGTTTCAGGTAGGCAGAGCAGCGTGGATATTCAAAGCAGACTAGGAGCTGCAGGATCAATGTTCCAAAATTCCTGGTCGATTTTGTCAGCGGCAGTGCTTCTTTGAGTGATATGAGTTCACGTACCCAGTCAAACATAATGTCAGGTTCCAGCATTTCTATGCTCCCCAATGCTGTAGGATCAGGCAATGAGGCTGATGATGTAAAGTCTCCGAAAGCTGGCATGTCTGGCAGCAGCGCTGAGCTTGGCACAGTGGCAGAAGAACCTAGTCCCTGCGTCGTTGCGTTGATGGGCAAGTCAGTTCGTACAGCCGGGAATGGCGTTACTGGGAAAGACCTCGACGTGGACTTGGCGACGCAGTTTGAGATGATACGATTCATGGCATTCCACATTGGTGTTGCTTCTCGTCCCCTCGCGAGCATAGTCTTTTTCAGTGCGTCCAAGGCTCGTGATGGTAGTGCTTGCCGGTTGGGAGCATCGAAGTTGGGCATGTCAAGCTCTGAGACGATATGCATGATAGGTTGGAAACATGCATGACCACCAATATGCCATCCAAACCTCTGGGCGTCCTTATCACTGGGCATAGTATTCAAACTCTCGATTAGGTTGACCGATTTCTCTAGTATTCTTAAATTATATGTCAGCCTCTGTTCCTGTCGAAGAAACGTTGTAGTATTGCTTCGGATCGTACATACATGTGTCGAACTTCAGGGGTAATCACCAACTCCCGATATTGCTTTGGTGTTCGCAGCCAGAAGATGGACCAGCACCGCCACTCGACTACCGTCGCAAGCCCAATTGCCATTCGCTGCTCCGGGACCTGTGGACTGCAGTATTGTAGATAGTGTGTTTGGAAGTGATTGACCATCTCATCTACCATGCCCCTGACTTCCTCGAATAAGGACCGAAGCTTGGCAACTGGGCTAGTGTTGTCATCATTCTTGGCTTCTTGTGATTTCGTCATTCTTTCAAGCTTATAAGTGCCTCGAACAATTCGTCTAAAGCAATGATGTCCATACAGACGGATCAAGTGAACTGTCATGTCGGTAAGCCCGTGCGTTGCAGATGGCTCGTCTAAGCTTCCCTCAACGAGGGCTTCATCCGATATGTTTAGTGGAAGAAAGGTGGTAAAGTCCTCGTCTGATATCGTCGGCTCTTGACCCCTGCTTTCTGCAGAGCGATAGTCTAGGTGGCATATCTGATGCCAAAGCCTGCGGCGAATTTCAACTTGGACGACATCCATGCCTGTGGATGTGAATAGCGAGGGTTCTCGATGCAGACCTTGAGAAAGCGCCATCTTATGAGCAAGACCCAGGAGGGTCCAGGTTTTTGCCATGTCATCTTCCCGCGACTGGCAGGTCTAGGGACAAGTTAGCTAGGCCGTAGCTTTGAGATGGAAGGTATACACACTCACCAGAAGCAGTACAAATGCTTGAAGGACTTCAATGCTCGGCGTAGTCAAGAACTTCTCTCTCCCCAGACCGACTTGCACGCCATGTTGAAATTGGGAAAGGAGTGTCTCCTTTTCTATGGAAAATTGCAATAATACGTCTTCAGCCAAAAGACTATTGATAGCTGAATAGAAGACAGCCAACGCCAATGGTTCGAAAGGATGAATATCCTCACCAGAGTGAGCGACCAAAGGCTCTTCGTTCTCAGAGCTTGAAGCGTTCATGCCGTACGTGTAGTCGATATACTGGATCAGTCGTCGTTTGAGCGTAGGCTTGTGGACTATTCTAGTCATTGGGTCAACGTTAGAGTAGAATGTACCCAGTAGAGTCAAGCATGTGTCTGCTGAAGGCGGCGCCCACGTCCTGAGGTCATTCGTGGAAGGTCCTGAAAATGGAAAGGGGGATTCTGACGGAACTGTCGGTAAACTTTCTCTCAGTGTATCGTCAGACTGGCCTCCAAGAAGCATCTTGACATCACGGATCTGAAGTCATCTGTAAGAAGGAGAAGCTTCAGCGAGGAAGTGAACTTACCTCATCAGCCAGGAGAGAGTAGTGAAGAGATGATACCCAGCGTGATTGACCCCCTTGGCCTTCGAGGAGCAAAGCACCATCGTAACCATCGGTCGATAAGGTTTCCGACTGAGGATTCTGTGACGAACCTGGTCCCTGATGAATTGAAAGAGGATGCTCCGGGTTGGAAGCTGTATCAGCTGGATGTTGTGGGATGGCAGGGCCGCCGGTGAGGGCACGTTCAAGAAGTTGCTCTAACCGTTCGAGGCGGTTCTTGATATCGTCTTGACCAATTTGTCGGTTGCTCCTTGACACTCTATTCCCACTTGCAAGTCGAGAAGGCTGCGAAGTTGATTGTGGGCTGGCGTAAGTGCAAACACGGTTTCCCTTCTTACACGGCGAACAGACTGGCTGTGCATGATCACACTTTACTTTTCGATGGCGGCAGGTCAGACAAGCTGTGATGGCACGCTTTCGGTTGGATTGATTTACTTCGGAAGTGCCGGCCTGAGATTCCATTGCTGAGACTGAGTTAGTTGGGGTTGGAAGAAGGATTAATATGACATGAAGCCAATGGTGAGATGGATAGTGAGTGAAAAGAGGTGAGTGGTGGGGAACAAGACGCGCTTAGCTTATGGCCTGAGCGTTAGAGGGCGTCTGTCGATTCGAGCTGACAAGCAACGGTTTCTATTGGCCACACTGACGAGCATGTCTGTTACCTCCACTAAGGTATCTCGCAGCTTGTATCAGCTACCAAACAAGGGTCTCGTCCTTGACTAGCATGATTATTGATTATAGAACTTATCATATGAATGAAGATGTCGGGTCGATATACTAACAGCTAAACATCCTACATGGGAGCTGTGACAGGGAATCGGTACTGTGATGAGCGTATCGGTAGCTGGCTTTAGGAAGTGTGCAAGTCACAACAAAATATAAAGGAATGTTCTACTCGGTAGTCAGGGAAGAAATGAGTTGAGACTAAGAATTATTGATATAATATGCTATTATTCTGCAATCTAAGCATATATCTGTTTATCAAGCCTTGGAGCATCAGCGATATCTTTCTGTGATATTGGTCTCATCAATAGTTTAGAAGCCCCTAGAATACTAGCCCATCCTTGGTTTACTTATCTACTAAACCAAGAATGACTGTTTGCTGTTATTGAGGACCCACATTTACATTTCGTCCCTGTATCATTGCTGTCTCCGGAATTTCTTCTTTCTTCAAGCGATTCCACATCTCAAGGGTCAGTGCATCTGCAAAAGTTGATATGACCTTACACTGACTTTGAATTCGCCAGACAACAGTTTACTCAAGTCTCGAACGAGGTTAAGAGACTGAGAATAAAATCAAAAGAATCCTTGACTATGGAAGGCCAAGATGCCTTGCCGCCCGGCAGCGACCTGAGCGAGTCCGAGTCGTAAGTCTTTCGTAGCAAGTGCTAAATGCTTGCATATTCCGTAGCATCTTTACTGACTGGAAATTAGTCCCTATCTCTTCAGCACCACCAGGATCATCTTTGGTGATAACTCAATGTACTGGGTTTCAACCCATCTCTTGAAGAGATATCCCAAGTTCAGACTCTCCTACTACAGGGACGGAGATTTCGTAAAGCTCAACTGGCTCAACAGCACCCAAACGGCTGCCTTTATGAACTATCTACGCAAAGGAAAATGGAAGAGCCGAAAGCCAGAGGACTTGAACGGACCCCTGGACTACTACAACAGGATGCAACAGTGTCTGTCGGTCCACTGTCTCGCTGTGAACTACGGAATGTTCGAACTCTCTAGGCTCACCATTGGAGAATTCTCCAGCCTGGCTAATCGACTCTCAACCTTCAAACTCGTGGAGATGCTTCAAGAAGTCAGCTCGACGCTTCAGAGCAACCAGACTGTTTCGGCCAGCTACTCCGACCAGCGAGCTACTATGAGCGAGGAGGCCAGGATGGCGGAACACATCGCCAGCTTTCAAAGGCTATCACTGGTCGAACATCTGGAGAACGTCATTTCTGCGGACGTGAGCGAGATGAAGCTCGAGCTCCAACGGTACAAAGAGAGGTACGGACCTCTGTGAGCTTTGGAAACTCCGCCAAAGCAGAGGTCGCGTCTTTGGAGCAAAACGGAAAATCAAAAGAAGTTATTTGTGCTTCCCAAGGCGCTAAGGGGATAGTTCGTGAATATTTTCGAGAGGATGGTGCCAGGAGATGCCATGGTTTTAATTGAAAGAAGCAAGTTTGGAAGAAAAAAGTCCGAGAGGCTACGGGTTGTGATGCTGTTACATGTGCTCCAGAGGTTTGCTAGTCGTTGAAGGGGTCTTTCCAGCCTTTTGTAATTCTAATAGCAAAATGAAAAGCCAGCGTCTACGGTCCCAACGTCCGAGAAGTCACTAATAGCCAAGTCGTGAGCTAGAAGTGTTATTTGCAGTTGAGACTTGTGGTTGAGAGCTTATTTCGGCAGAGAGAACCTAGTAGAACTATATCTTTGGATGAACAGATGATTCAGGAAGTCTGAGGATAATAGCTACCCTAACGGCTTACAGTTGACACCAAAGGGCTACGAGCTGTCTCCTTCTTCCAATCCTCTGAAGTGAAAGCCTTAGATAAGATCTATCTTCTTTTCCGCCGGGTAAGCCGAAGTCTCCCTGTCATCCTGTGATTCTTCCTGAGAGTTGGCCTCGGAGTCTTCTGATATCACTTCCCGAGCCTTGGCTTGCCGCTTCCTATCCCAGGCCAGAAGTAGTTGAACAATGGCAGTCCAGACGACTGAGGAGTCAGTTAGCATTCTGTAAACTAGTCGATGGATCAGGATCTCATGTGACTTACTCAGTAGAGCGTTGAGCACGGTGGACCATGTATACCCCTTTTCAGCCCTGGGGAAATCGGTTGTCTTCCAAACAAAGTTGGGAGCCACGGCTTGGACCACATAAGCGAAATCGTTCGCTGCAGCTACTAGCAAGGCTCGCTTTTCGGTATCGGCGGAACAGATCTCGTTGATCCAGCTGAGAATGAGAGGACCGGCGCCGTTCTAAGGGATTTGTGAGCACGTCTGCTGATCTCCGTTGGGTCAGACAAGACTTACACCAATGTTGGCAAACCAGTAAACAAGAGTTCGGTCTCTGTTGTTTCCGTAAAGGGGCATCTTGAGAAGAGCAATGTCGAAGGCCATCTTTCGGAGGGGTCAGTCGCTGTCTGTCTTATGTACCCATATCATAATCAACTTACAGCGATTATGGCACCCGCATAGATGAAAGGCCATCGGAGACCCTTTAAGGGTCCGTCGGAAAGCCAGCCCCAGAATAGAGCCATAACAATGAAGATTGCAGTTGATGGTAGAGGCAAGTTGTTGATCTGAGCGACGGAATACGAGGTGCCGGGTACGGGAGGAGGATCAGCGTTGAAGCTCTTGAGCCAGTATCCCATAGCTTGTTGAGGGTATGCGTTGTTCCAGAGGACGTAGATCATAGCTATTCCACATGTTAGTAAAGGGAAAGACGCTCGGAGCAGCTGGTACTTACGGAGGAAGTATGTGTGCCAACTTAGGAGAATGGACTTGAGCTTGGCCTTTGTCCACTTCTGCTTTCCAGCTCGGCCGATGGCGTTCATTCGTTCAACCGAGATCTCGTGCTCCCTTTGTGTAGTCCACCAAGTCTTGACTCCATCTTGAGGAAGGTTAGGGAAGAAGACGTAGCCCGCAAGTGCGAGGGGAAGAGTGATGATGCCGTCGATGATGAAAAGCCAGCGCCCTATGGTTTGGTCAGCATCATGTATCAAAGGCGAGGGAGAGAGAACTTACAGCCTGCATGACCGTGAACGCCATTTAAGTTTGTATAAGCGGCTGCCTGCAAGAAGCCGCTGAACATGTTACCAATGCTGCCGGCCAACCAAAAGATCATAGCACGCTTTCCGATTTCGCGAGGGGTGTACCAGGAGCCGAGCATATAATGGATACCAGGGTAGAAGCCGGACCTGGAGCCATATTAGCCAATTAAATCGCAGAAACATTGGAATGATTAGGTGAACTTACTCGAAGAGACCAACGAGGAATCGCAGAGCGTATAAAGCCTTGTATGAGTGGACAGCTGAAGTGCAGATAGTGGCAATGCCCCAACCGACTTCAAGGGACGGGATAACCCAGCGAGGCGACACTCGAGTAAGAAGCAAGTTTGAAGGGATCTGGCCGACGACATAACCCACTGTCCAGATGGATGTGCCTATCGAGTGTTAGTTGGGCTCGGAGCATCTCTGGAGCCGGTGACTTACTAGTAACAAGCTGATTGCCATACATGTTGAGCTCTTCCTTCATCCCACTCAGAAAGGCATTGTTGACGTTTGTTTGATCGATGTTCTTGAGGAAGTACCCAATGGAAGCAAAGGTCAAGACAAAAGCGTCAACCTTGAAAAGAAGCCATCGCTGCTCCTTGGGCAACTCCCAAGTATCCCAGACATAGCTCTTCCAGGACTTGCTGGTCTTTTCGCTCTCTTCGTACTCAGTCGCTGAGTTATCGGTATCGCTACGATCGTGATGATCATTGACCGCAACAGCAGTCGTCTGTTTGACTTCAGCCATTTCTGATGGCGTTTGCTTGGCAGGCACCCGTTGTTGCTTGGCGCAGCGTGGCTTGGAATCGAGACAGACACCGGAAATTTACTATGTGTAGACCTTAAACTTGGCGAGATCTGCACTTCTCTTTTATACGTCGCGTCTTGCATGGTGGGTATGCAGTCATTGCTGCTAGAGATTGCGTCAATTGAAACGGGTCCACGGGCGTTATCGCTGCTACCCAACTTTGGCCGAAATGTATAAAACTATGGGCCGATTTAATCGATAGGAAGTTGTAGCGATTATCCGTATCTTCTTTTCTGGTAGGAATGGTTGGCCGAGGTCGGGACGTGCTATATGGTGGGTGTTGCGTGATTCTGGGGTTGATGACACCTTTGGCCTTAGACGGTAATAACGGTCTGGGTCCCTTATCTTTGACCGTGGCGCAAAGCAAACTCGGACCCGAAGTGGGATATGCCAATAATACTCTCATCTCTGATATTCAAGCTCTTTGCGAATTTGCTTGTCGGCTGTGTCTGAGTGTCAACTGGTCAGGTAACTGGGATTTCGACAGAGCGGTCATGAAATTTATAGCTTGAACAACAAAACCACTGTTTGAAATATCAACTCACCAACAATAGCTAAGCTGTATGAAAGACATAAAGATTTGAAAGGGATTTTGGGAGATACACTCGCAGAGTCTCACTCAGGTTGACTACTCAAAGCCATTAACAGATGGTTCCGCAGTAGATGGTCTAGACCGGTTTTCCGCTCTCTATATCCGATATTTAGCTGCATAATGCCTAGATATGGTAGGATAGTGGCGTTCAATATGGCAGCACCACTTCCTCTGCGTTGTATTCGTGGGGGTCGGCGAAGAGACGGGCAAAGTTGAGGACAATACTGGCTTAGTTGGTCTCCCCCGCGGGCTCGAAGCAACGGGTACTAGCCGAGAGCTGGTGCTTTGATATCAGTAATTCTCAGAAACAGAAAGGTAGGATTCGTTTCCCATTTCTGGGCATGCCCCACTAATGGGATGGGCTACCACGAACTGCTGTGAGCTCGACTTGATGTTGATAGAATCTCAGAGTGAATCCACTTTTTCTGTTTTCCATCTTCCTCCTCAAGCTCGATTCTCTCACAATAACGAAACGCGTCACGCAGCCAGATTGAAATTCTTCAGGCCTTTTGAGCAACATTCAATCTGATATTGAACGTCCTTATTATACAAGTTATAGTACATCTGCCAGGCAAAGCGGAACCATTACCAAGCCTAGTTCAACTCGACAGGGGTTTGAGCACGCAAGTCCCATAGCTTATTCGCACATCGCTCGGGCCCGGGAGACTATACCCGCAGCATGGCGGACCTGATCATCGTTCCGTAAGTACATATCAAGATCCCTACCTGGTGGCTGAACCATGTTATGATTGGTTGCTGACTAGTTCCAAGCTCTCGTCGTTACAAGATCCTCGACAGCAAGAAAGAGGCGATCAAAATACCCGCTTCACATGTCCTGAAGCACCCAACCTTTGCGGAGCACTTCACTAGAACCAGTCGTTCCAGGACCCGACGTCTTAAAACCGGTCGTTGCTCATGCATCATCGACATCGTCTCCGTGTTCCTGCGTGATGGCAGGTTCTACAACCTGCACACCGGCCAGTGTCGTTGCATTTGTAAGTCAACCAACTTCTTGACCCGCGCTGTCGCTATTTACGACTTTGCGATCGAGTTCGAACTTCATGCACTTGCGGAACTGGTTGCGGACGACATACCCAAGTTTGCCCAGCGCATGCAACCTACAGACGTCCTTTACCTCAAGCTGATGTATGGTGCGCCCGTGGCACAAGAGGCCGCCGAGGCCTCTAGCGACTCTCAGCTCTCGAATCACGAGAGTCTCCGTCAGGACCTGGCTCGATTGGTGATGTCTGGCTGATGAGCCTAGACTCAATGAGAGAGGGGTCTGCGAGGATATTTCATCCTGCTACTGTCCGTATAGAAAATGGAGTCACCTGCACCTTGGTAGCGAATTCAGGAAATTTGGCTAGAGGGTTTGTTGTTTCTTTTATCAGAACTGAGCCGTATTTCAACCATAGTTGAAAAGTAAAAGACATATGGTACCAAAGATGGTCTGACATAAATGCCCCACGTGATGCGAAGTGTAAAGGATGTATTTGACCAATAAGCTTCGAAAACATGGCGTCTAAGGTTTCCACTGTCGTCCTATCTGTGACGTCTTGGTCTATAATCCTCAGAATACTCCGCACCATACCAAACATTTCTTCAGCATATCAAAGCTGGCACCGCAAACATGTCGATCACTCACACTGTACTCTTTCAATTCAAAGACAATGTCGACCAAAAGGATATAACAAAAGTACATGACACAAGCAAACGTTGTTTGGCCAATTGACTGACAAACCGACTGTGCTTAGACATGCGATGATTTCCTTCAACTGAAAGATCTGTGCATCCATCCTACGAGCAAAAAGCCGTACATTATATCACTACAAGGTGGAAAGGATAACTCACCAGAGGGAATGCAGGTAGCTCTACCAGACCATCCTTGCGAGCATCTGAGGCTGACATGTAGTAGAATGGGATAACCCATGGATTCGTTGCAACCTTTGAGTCAGCAGAAGACCGTGACTACTACGTCAAGACTGACCCGGCTCACCAGGCCTTCATAGCTAAGGTCGGTGGCGTTGTCGAGAAAGCTATTGTCGTTGATTTTACGAATGGCGTCTACTAAGGTCAACTCAGCACTTCGCTGCTGAAACAAAGCTTGCTTTGTTAAATTAAAATCAAAAGAGCACATTCTCCTTATTTTAAGTAGGTAGGCACCAATACAAAGATCGGGATATTTACCCAAAGCTCAGTACCAGCATGCTGTGAATAAATCCCGAAACCAACACGGCATCCATTTATATCATACGTCTGTGACATGATACAGAGGTCTCGGGAACCTTTTCCACCTCCATAAACATCTTGCATGCTTTCCTAATGTCCTGGGACTTTGTGGCTTGTCAAGGCGCTTAGTCGACGGGTAAACCCAAAGCCGGGCGCTTAGGTAGGCAAAATCCGGATCTAGTACCAGGGGATGGCGCATCCAACTCTGCCAACAAATATACCCCTTCACGACACTGAACCTATTGTTTCTTATGGCCGAACTGCAGGAATATTATTCATTAACTTAGATGTCGTTTAAACCGACGAACGAAGCGTCACTTGGTTTGGGCTTGGACGGCAGCCAGACCGGTGCCGGTCTCAGGGAACTAACGCTACATACCTTAGATCAGGCCCATCAAAATACCGTAAAGACTGCGATTGCTCGGATTCTTAATACAGACATTGCAGAGATCACATATGCTCAAATCATTGACGGTTTGCCCCTGGGTGAGGTTGCATTTGAATCAAGGGGCGGTATGCCTCATCAAGAACATCCTATCAATCATTGCCACGACAAGCTTTGTGATGGGATTTTGGACAGAACACGAGAGTTTCACAAAAGATTTGACCTTGCTACACTTCAATTTGACCCAAGTGTGAGCATAGATTCATGGATAGTCTTGAGTCCATCAACAACTAATGCTGTGTGTTAGCTTTTGTTCGCATTCCAGGCGGCTTCTCCAGGGTCACGATCCTTCAATACACGTCTAATCGAGATAATTGTGATAGCAGTCCATCAAATTGCCGTTATTCTCTTTAGCCTTGAGGAGGGTTTGCACAAGAACGATGGCGTCATTGAATGGGCACCACCAAAATCAGACAAGATCTGGTGGTCACACTGCCCAAATGGGCCTGAGCCTACGATGTTCTTCCACCCTTGGTATTTGAGTCACGATAGGTATCCCAATAGGGTAGCAGACATGGTTGGGTATTGGGCTGAGTCCAGAATTCTTGGTGGTGTCGTTTTATTCGACCGGCGCCAGCCAGTACCGGGCTCTAGCGTGGATCAGGATGCTATATACATTCACCCCGACAGAGACGACGTAACCTATAGAATCTGTCGTTTGGCATCCGAACAAAAGCTGCAGCTACTCAGGTTTCTCACTGCCGATGAGCCAGGCCAGAATCCTCTGCCGATTCTGCCTGACGAGAAAAACGATTACCGCATTGACCCAGAAGAGTCCCCGGAAGACACTGGGATATACAGGGATATATGGGATCGGTCAGAACTTCGTAAAGATGCTTATGATCAAAGACTGAGGGATGTTTGGAATAAAGTGGATTACCTCACTCACAGTGACAAAGGAAACGCTGGAGACCGAGCACCGGAGAGAAGAAACAGGATATTCTACGCATATTCTGATGACGAGGCCTGATATGGCTTTATAGACAAACTCATAGCATATTTCTGATATAGAAAGCACAACGGTTCATGCAAAACACCCGTATTGTAAATGGCATTGTCAGGATAAGGGGAACGTTGCTTGCCTTAGTTACCCAGCTGGGAGCCCAAGGCTTTCCTAGGGCCAGTAACCAGGTACTCCTGAAATTCACCGAGTTCCTTAGTGATGAGTGCCCCCGTTGCAGCCTGGCGGTCACCAGTAGGAGGCTTGGAACGCCATCAGCTCTCCAGATGTGGTTAGTGTATGCCTCTGAATCAACGACCAGCAGAAATGATACTCCCCTGGTCGCCCTGTGGGCGAGAATTAGCCCTGCAATAGAGCCCACAGTGAATAAGAAAGTCACGGGGTTCGTCGTCCCGCCTATTTCAAATGCGTTTCTGGCCCTCCCCATCTTCTTTCTCTCACCGTCCCCTCGTCCACATCACCATCACTATGGACAACGACAACACCATGAAGGACTTTACTTCCAACCCCGGCTCAAGCAGCAGTGCTCATACTTCCTCCACTAACCCTGATGAAAAGAAAGAGGCCCTTCGTCCCGTCGCCAAAGGCGAGTACCAGCTAGAGGGTAAGTCTATAGTCGGCGGTGTGCTCATTCTCACAAAGCTGACTATTGCACAGTCCTCAAGATTGCTGAACGCACCTATCCAAAGGAGCTTCCCGCTGCCGAGAACACGATGCTAATCCACCACATCCGTGTCTCTGGCGCCTACACCGATGCCCGCGATCAGTTCGCGGCCATGTCTCAGCCAACTGCTCTCGGTTGGTCTGAAGTCCACTGCCTGTACAAGTACCTTCTGGCTTTCCAGCTCAGCCACCCTGATACCAAGAAAGGGGGTCACCTCACCAAGTACTGGGATCTTCACTACTTCTTGACTGCTGTGTTCTACAACTGGGATACTGGAAAAGAGATCAAGCCCCAGCCTGTCCTTCCTGAGCAAGTCTTCGACGACTATGCTAAAGACGTCGGCCTGCTCATCCGTGACCTGGACCCCATCATCAAAAAAGATGGATCCCTTGATGCCTCCGGACGCTGCATGTGGGACCAAGCCTATTTGGCTTTCAAGGTCAACCAGGAAACCCTGGAGTGGCATGTCTCTTGGATGGATTGTAATGGCAACTCTTTGAAGCGGGAGGACATTCAACTCTACGACAAGTACAACAACAACTACCAAGAGGTATTCAATGCCACTATTGAGAATTTCGACCGAAAGCAGAACCAGCGAATCATGGCTTACAACTAGAAGCTTGCTATCCACGCCGCTCGCCAGAAGGTCATGGAGTTCCACGAGAATGGCTTCAAGATGTACATGAAGCTCCCCAGCCACGAAGACATCGACATCAAGAATTGCTGGCTCGTCAAGCACTACTTGCCCAACTTGGCCGAGTCCGTGGATCATGAGCTCGACTATTGAGGTATTGAGAGTTTGTGACTAGGTATTACTGCCTGCGGATGATGCTTTCATAAGATGATGTATCGGTTGGTGGCAGAAAGGCCGGAAAGATAGCAAAACAGAGAGCTAAGAAGCATAAATTGCCACAATGTGATACTGTCCTGCATGCTTGCTGTCATAATTCCACTGTGAAGAACAACATCGATATGAACATGTGCTTCTTTCTGACTTGAAACCCGCCATATTACTTGTTATGCGTCTTACATATTGTGCAAGATCTGTTCGAAGCTTTCTACCTCAATGGTCGGGGGTCGAGACCATCTCTCCTTGAGGCTCGCCACATTGCCTTGTCTTCCATCGCTAACATTGGACGAAACAGCAAAGACCGAGGTCTTCAACCAAAGTTCCTGACTAGGCTCTAGTCTTCTTGTGATGCCTACGGATGCAACGGGGATCAGTGTTCGCTGGCAAACGATGTTCGTGTTGGAGTCCGGCTTCAGTGCGAAGCTCTCTGCATCAACTTTTTGTCTATCGAAAAGAGCTTTGGTCAGAATTCCACTGGAGCCAGCTTCAGACGAGATGATTGTAGATCTCTCATCGGAGAAGTTTCCCTCGAAACCGCCAGGGACAACTCCGTCGGGTACTGGAAGTGTCGATAGGTTCATCCCATCAGCATGCTTACGGCCATTTATAGCGAAACCTCCTTCAACAACGTGAAGTGACTCGATAGGCTTCTGGCATCGTATGCGGTGCATTCGGACATGCCAATCCGGCCATTGCTCGGTCGGCGGGATCAAGATCGTGTCGACAGCCACGGCTCGATCGCCCCAAGGATACCATCTCACGCTCGCAATGGAAACATTCGCCACCGTTTGGTTATCCGTCTTTGTCATCAAAGTCCCAAACTTAACCTCATCGCACTTCCACTTGACGGCCCAAGTCTCGCCGCCATCTCGGCTCAGCGCCAGTTGATTGTCCGGTGCGATCTGTTGGATCAGGGGGCCTGTTGGAACAGAGAATCCAAAAGCTGAAGAATACGCAAACTTGCAGTATTTGGCTTGGTTGGCTTTCATCGGCCAGGCAACAAATTGTCCAGGAGTTAGCATGAAGTGGTGATTGCCTTGCGGGTGGTTGCACAGTATTTGCTGAGGAGCGCGGACGACTTGTGTAGGGGGTTCGAAGTACGGATACGGAAGTGGCTCAGAGTTCCAGAATTCATCGTCGGCACTCAGGCCAACAGCTATAAGCGTTTTGAGGCACCAGTATACGGACTGGGGAGAATTGTAGTCTTCGGCCATGTACATATTTCTGCCGATGTTAGTGACGCTTCTGCTTAGTACGACGGCTCGACTTACGGGTACAACCATCCAATCGTAAGAGTGCCATCGGCCGAGAAGATGTCACTAGAATGCTGTGCCCACCACCTCAGATGTCGGGTTAGGAACCCCTTGATTGCTGCTGGTGAATTAAGCGGCTTGGGCATATTAGGTACCTTAGCAAACGCCAGCACGCCGAAGAAGCCTCCGCAGGCAAACCGGTACGTGAGGGATCTGCCGAATGGAATCGAAGATCCTGTCTGTTGTTAGCTTAACGTGAACAGTGTTTGTGTTTGTGTTTGTGGGATGAGGTACCCTGAGAGTCGAAGTATCTCCAGAAATGGGTTCCAAAGTCCCTGGCTCGTTGTTGATATATCTCACAACGCGACTGATCTAGATCAGCGGCGAACTTTGAGTAAAGGACCTGCGAGAACTGGATGGCGAAACTACCAGAATAGTAGTCTGCTTGTCGTCCTGTTCCTACGGTATCTCGACGTCCAGTCTTCTCAGACAGCTCCTGTTCCTGTCTCGCTTGCTCAACTGTTTGCCAGGGACCATCCGCTGACCATCCATCTCCGATGTAGAAGCTATCCAGCAGCTCAAGATCCGAATCCATCTCTTCCTTGACTTCCGAGAAAGGGAGGCCACAGGTCTTCACTAAAGCAAGGTTACAGAAGACGCGGAACCAGCGCCAATTTGTCGGGGGCATCTTCTTGTCGCGAATTGAGTTCAACCAGTTCTTCAAGTTCTTCTTTTGGTCTTCGGTCAATGGCTCATAGAAGCGCTTCGGTGCTGCTATGAGGGCAAACGCTAGCATCTCTGCCTCCACCATTCTTTGGTCCATGTCGTTCATGGCCCCCCAATACTCTGGATGATGGGGGTCGGTTCCTGTGATGAAACCGTCGACCCATGGCTGAACGAGCTCATCTACGCGTGCTGCTAGGTCCTTGTTGGTAATAGAGTCATACCCGAAAAGCAATGGCGCGATCGCCCAGAGCGGCCTTGCAAAGCCTTCTAATTGTGCCGCCGACTCATCGAAATGAGCACCTGTGGCAATTGGAATACGAACGCGAGATTTTCCGGGTGAGAAATATTGTTTTAGAGGATTGATCAAGGCAATTATGGCTTCAATAAAGTCATCTCGGCTTTGGAAGGGGTTGTCGGAGAATCCTGGTAGTGGCGGCATTTTTAGTGTAACTCGGGGTGAGTGAGATTGGAGAACGAGAACTTCAAGTTACACAAAGTGAGAGATTAAACAACTCAACGAGGAGAAGCAAATTTACGGAATCTTCAACTTAAACATCATCAACAACAGAGCACTTTTGACTCACGACACGATAAAAACGAGCTCTCGACAATTGAACAGCTCCAGCCTCGGGCGTCGGCCCATTCGCATCCGAAGCTATCATCAGCTGATGGTGATCCCCCTCCATTGGCTCGCTTGCAACACTATCCCCATGGGGTAATTGATCCAGAGCTTGTTTTTGGCCAAGGATCAACATACGAACGCCTCCTCCTCTTCTCCGAGCTCTCTCGTTATTACATAAACTATGCAATCCCTCGGGCAGCGGGCGAACTCTATAATCACACAATCACAAGCAAAATGGATCATCAGAGTGTGCCTTTAGGTGGAGCTGGCAATGGGTCTGCCGCTGGAGATACCGAAGTCCCTTCGTGTCAGGGATGTCGGCGGCGAAAGCTCCGCTGTTCCAGAGACAAGCCAATGTGTAATCATTGTCAAAGATTGGGTATGTCGAGGCGTCCAAGGATGAGATACAGTGACTGACTTTTGTAGACTCGCCTTGTGTATACGACACCAAAAAGAACAAACCGGGAATCAAGACTGGGGTCATAGAAGGCCTGAATCGTCGAGTTGGTACGTAGAACGGTGATAATTCCACTCATAACTGACCAAGATCAGAGGCTCTGGAGAACACGGTATTCGACAACGCGCAGCCCCCCAATCCAGCTCCTTCATCTGAGTCTTCACAAATTATCGGAGCCTTCTCAAGTCTCATCCAGGAACTTCGAGGCTTGGTTCACAACACGGCGGGCTCGTTGTCATTGCCGCCTGCTCACTCATCAGTAGCACAAGCACAACACGCGACACCAGGATCTGTAGCTCTATCATCTCCGAACGATGTCCAACAACAACCGCGAAAGAGACGAAGAGTAGACAGCTGCGGTAACCCAAACATAGAGCTAGCCAGCCAGCTCAATGAGTTGGGAGGTACTTCTAGCCAACTGCCCCCTCCCGAACTCCTCGAAGAAGTCATCAACGCATACTTCATCCTGGTTCAGCCATGGATACCCATTCTACACGAAACTCGTTTCAGGAGCCGCTTCTACAGCCATGAGCAACTGCCGTGCCTCACTGTGCTACTCCATGCAATAGTAGTCGCTGCCATCCGCTTTGTTGATACGGAAAATGGCAAGATATCTGAAAAGGAGCTAGAGACATGGACCTCGAGATCCAGAAGCATAGTGCTTTTATCAGCCATGGACGGCATGTCGGTCGAGAACCTACAAGCCCTGAGCATCATAGCCTTCACAGATGTAAGTACGCTGTATCTATTGGAAAGCAAGTCTAAATAGGGGATTTGGCAGATGGGTAATGGAGACATGTCCAGAGCTTGGCCCATCATAGGCTCACTCACAAGGACAGTCGAGTATCTCCAGCTCAGTGTAGAAACGGACGACCGACAACAGGGACCCCTACTAAAGCCCCTGACCTCTTTGTCACCGTCGCAGAACTGGACTCAAGAGGAGGAGCGGAGGAGAGTATTCTGGAGCATCTTCAATCTCGACAGGTAGGCTTACACCGTCTGATAGTTACAGACACCAGCTGACCGCTTAGGCTTTGCTCTGTGATGACTGGGTAAGATTGCACAAGCCGGAATGTAGTTGGTTCATACTTACAATCCCAGATGGAACACCAGCTTGACATCTGACGATGTCCGCAGACGATTACCAGCAGATGGAGGCCTCTGGCATAAAGAAGAAACAGTGTTGACTCCCTACTTCGGTATCTGGGATCGTTCGGCCGCAAAGATGGGGAATTCCATTGTCTTCCTTCCAGCACACTACCCAAGTCCTGACCAAGTCGCCGAAGCACCGCCTGAGACACCGTCAACAAACACGACAGCACCCAAGGGCAATGACACAGTGGACATGACAACTGTTGGGGCGTTCGCTTACTGCATCGAGGCGACAGAGTCTTTGAGTCGAGTCACTACTTACTTTCTCCAGCAGAGAATTAACTTCAGGGATCGTCAAGAAGTCGGGAATTGGCTTACCAGATTTAAGGAGCTGGACCTACGCCTCGTCCAGTATGTCTCACCGTTTCGCCTTGAAAGCACTCACTAACCGTTATTGCAGCTGGAAGATGTTCCTCCCTCAAAAGTGGAAAGACTCCAACATTTCTCGAAGACCAACCATTATCAACATGGATCCAAACCTGACGTTGGCCCATATCACTCACAACACCTCTATGATCTTATTGCATCAACAGATCGCGTATCCATCACCTCAGTGGACCAGCATCGTACGGATGCCAAGTGCCCATAGCGCAGAGACATGTCAGATCGCTGCGGCCGAGACGGCAACAATTACACGCAAGTATCTCAAGTACACACCAGAAAATAGCCCGGTTAATAGCCAGTTTGCTTTCTGTGTTTTCGTTAGTGCTCGCGCATTGCTTGGTAAGATTGCTTCTTCACTAATCCTCATAGTCTTCGACTGATGATTCCGCAGTACACTGGAGATTCTACAAGACTGATCTAGCCCCCGAGTTCTGGGTTTTGGTTGAAAGCCTCGATGACTTCTCTAAGAGATGGGCAGGCCCTTTGTCTCGATCGAAATCTAGTTCCTCCTTGCCCGGGAAATACAGCGCTCAACTACGTGCGCTTCACAAGAAATGCACGGAAGATCCGGATTATTCTCCAGATGTCGTTGGATACTCGACCGATTGTTTTGTAGCGCAGACATCTAATCATGTCAGCCAAGGACAAAACGACAATCAGCACAACAGCCAAGCTCGGGCTGGAGCATCCGGCGCCTTACAGCACTCATTTGATAGCGGAACCCAGAGATCTATTCTCAACCCTGGTCCTCCAGGCAGTCACCTCAGCTTCCTTCCCCAAATATCTCCTACAAATCCTGGAGTAGAGCACAATTCTCCAGATGAGCTATCAGCCATCTCAACCGTTCTTATGGATCAGGACTTCATGCAGTTGGATAGAGTCATCAGCTTCGATGACATGATGTTTACGGCTCAGACGATTGACGATCAAGGGGGGCCTTTCTCTATGAATAACTGGACGTTGGGATAACTAAGGAATATCAAAACTATATTATAGCAAGTAGATGCAGTTCTTGACTAATTCTTCATATGAAATTCTGAGAGATGTATCTATACCAATCCCATCTTCAACAACCTATTCCCAAACTCAATCAAGTAGTAATCCGCATAAACCAGTCCATGATCCCAATACCTCTTGTAGTCTTTGGCATTGTGATTCGCAGTAGCGTTCTTTAGAATAGCCTCGAAGTGAGCCTCGGGCTTCAAGTCTTGAACCTCAAACTTTCCATCTGATCCCAATGTAACTTTCGACTTTTCCTGTGAAAGGGAGAAGTCGAGCGTATCCTTGACGATTCGAATCGCCATTGATCGATACCTCTCACTCAAGTCTGGTGATCCACTGCCAGCTAGAGCTTGCGAGAGAACAAGCATACCATTTGCAGCGATGATGCCTGCTGAGGAGTCTCTCAGTGGTGCAGAATTATCAACCGGGGCATCAAAGTCCCAAAGAGGAACGTATCGACCCTTAGTGCGGTTCTCTCCAGAGACGGGGACTTCAACACAATCTGGGGACTTCAGTAGTCTAAAGATGAAGTATTCAGCTAGACCAATAGCTGCATCCAGAAACTCGGGGTCTTTAGTCCAGTTGTACGTCTGTGAGTATCCTAGAATACCCCAAGCTTGTCCACGAGCCCAAGTTGAGTTGGCCGCGTAGCCTTGACCGGTTCTCTTCTCCTTGACAGATCCGTCTTTGGGGTCGAAGTTGACAACGTGAAAGGTGCTGTACATGGTTCTTCCAACAGAGTCGTCGGTCTCCTTTCTTAGCAAGGCCTTGATCAAAGCCTTGGCGTGGGCTGTCGCTGCTTCAGCCATTTCAGTCTGGCCAGTCTGCGCAGCTGCGTAGTACAGCAGATCGAGATTGCACATCGAGTCGATAATCACCAGGAAGTCATCTGTCATACTAGAAATATCGACACCATTTTGCGATAGGACATCCCACGATCGGATAGCGCCAACGTTGGCGTTGTATCTTGAGTAGAGTGAGCGCGCGGCAGTGATGATAGACTCAAGGGCCGTCGACTCGTGCAGAGCCTCCCAACGGACTCTCATAGATGGTTGGATCATGAACGACATGTCGTGGGTATCTGTTCTCTGAGCATACTCATGGAGCGGGTCAGACCAAGCTCGTCCGACATCGAGCAGTTGCTTGAGCAGTGGTTGCTTATGGGCATCTCCAGCTGAAGCTTGGGGATACTTGATGAGGCGCTCGATCAGCGAGTATATGGAACCTGGAAAGAAGCCACAAGTCCAGAAGAGCTTCTCACGAAGGATGTATTTTCCAGCATCTGACCCAGTCTGGGGTACATACTCGGGGTATGCTAATGGAGGGTTCTATTAGTGTTAGTGAGGTATTCACATTGGTTTGAGGGGCGTTTACGTTGTTGACAAGGCCTGACTCTGCAGCATGGAGGATCTTTGCTGTGATGTTATCCTCGAAAAGCTCTGGAACGATGGACGATATGGACGCTTTGTGAGGCTTGGCAAACAAGGTACCATTCTTTGTAGCCTCATTGCCATTTGTGTGGCCATTAGTGTGACCGTTGATGCCGTTGGAAATTGTCATGATTTTGGTAGTGAGGAGTGATTACGAGTAAATGTGTAAGTTTAATTGAAATGTTTAGTGTTGGTTCCTTTAAATGCTGGTCACAATTGATCTGCAGTTGTTCTCTTGTCTTAGACCTCAGCCTGAATGTGAGATGCCCGAAGCTCCGAGAGAATTAGCCCGAGACTTGGCCCGATGCCCGCTGCATTTACCGTAGTGGGTAGCGGGTCTTTTAGCCACGGGATGATCTCTACAGAGTACTCCGTACTGTTGGCGGCTTTTTATCTTTTGCGAGCTACAACGCGTTCTAACTTCAGGGTAGCTGGCTTACCGAGAAACAATTGCCCTGTTTACTAAAACCAGTCTCATCACCACCAACATCGTCTTATAAGCCACTATGAGATCCGCGCCCACCCAAAGAATCTCTATTCGATCTCAAAACTATACCCACACATATAATCCAATTGTGTGATGTCTCAAAAGGTCAGACCGTGGTTACGAAGGAAAAAGAGACGGCTACAAGTACCATCGGAGTGCAGAGAGACGCGACCAAGGTCTCAGGAAACTAAACATCACTGAATGGTACTTAAATCCACGGTAAGAACGATCTATTATTATGATGAGTGCTATGTTGATAGTCTAATTGCGCAGTCTAAGGTTGCTTTACAGTCTATGATGATATCCGAATGAAAAAAGAACTAATTTTGAGACCCGAATGGATCAGGTTGCCATGTTACTCCTACTCCGCCTTCTTGGAAGTCTTGGTCCGAAGCTTCATGAGAAGGTAGACCATAGCATACGAACTGAAGACAAACACAGCTGTGATGCCCGCGTCCCTCCAGGCGTATGAGTACGACTTGAGGTTGAGAGTCTTGAGGTAGTCATCAGCCTTGCTGTAAGTACACACCTTGCACTCGTCGGTCGCATCAGGGTTTATCAGATTGCTGGGTACGTGTGTAAGCCACTCCTTGAGGTATTCGCCACATGTAGTACCGTTGGGAGGACTGAACCGAGCAAACTCGCTTTCCTTGCACTTGACAGGGGATCCCCACATGTCAAACGTCAGCATACTACCCATGAGGTAGTTGAAAGGGTTGATGTAGTAGATCCAGTACTTCCAGAACTCCTGTATGCTGGAGTAGGGTACCAGAACACCGCAGAAAGACACCAGGACAGTGAGGAGAAGTGGATTGACCAATGATGCGAACACCTCGTTTGGCGCGTAGGCAGCGATGAACTGACCAATGCCAGTGTAGATGAACTCATACATAAGCATGACAAAGAAGGTGCCGCCAGCACGGGTAGAATCGCTTGGGAAACCGACGGTGTAATACCAGGCGACGTAGTAGGTGACAGCACAAATGATCAGGTAAGGGACTTCCGAGACAATCAGGCCAGTCACGAAAGCGACCCAAGAGTACATCTTTGACTTCTTCTCACGGGTCTCGAAGATGTCTCGGCGATGGATGAACAACGGTTGAAGCTGAGCCATGACACCGGGAGCGACAAAGATGAAGTTGAAGACCGTAAACAACTTCAATTGAAGTTCAGCGACAGACGATCCAACCTGCCAGAAACTGAAGCCGTTGAAGAGGGCAGACGACAAGTGGAGAGCGAACTTGTTGTTGATGTAGTCTGTGTTGCGATACAAGGCGATGTTCATGCGATGAGTGACGAGCTTAGTCTGCTCCCAAAGAGAGGTAGCAAATTCGTGTCCATCGTCGGTAGTGGCCGGGGGCTTGGAAGCAGCTTCGCTGATGATGCTGTCGAGCTCCTTCTCAACAGCATCGTGCTCAGGGGAGGACAGCCAGACCTGGTTCCAATCCTTGCCTTGTGAGAGATGTCCAGAGACGACGTCAATCATGTGCTCGGCAGGGTTGACATGTTCTGGGCAAGGAGCTCCGTAGCGGCCAAAGTAGCCAGTAACAGTGCTGCCATGCTCGCCGATGTCGCCAAAGTACACTGTCTTACCGCCCTTAGCGAGAAGAAGAAGGGTATCAAACTGGGAGAAGAGCTGGGCAGAGGGCTGGTGAATGGTGACGAGGATGGCTTGACCGTGGGCAGCCAGCTTGCGCAAGAAACGAACGGTGTTGTATGCAGATTGTCCGTCAAGACCAGACGTAGGCTCGTCAAGGAAGATTAAGATGCTAGGCTTCGAGACCAGTTCGACACCAATGGTAACACGCTTGCGCTGTTCGACACTCAGACCGGCGCCGACTTGGCCGATGAGGGTATCCGCAAGATCATGAAGTTCCAGAAGGTCGATGATGGTGTCAACATACTTGAGCTTCTCCTCGCGAGGAGTGTCACGGCTTTGTCGCAGAAGGGCAGAAAACTCCAGAGCCTCACGGACGGTAGCATAGGGTTCGTGGACATCAAGCTGTTCACAGTAACCTGCAGAACGTTGGAAAGAAACCGGAAGGGGACGGCCATCAACCATGATAGAGCCCCGAATGGTACCTTCAGTCTTGCGTTGAGCCAGAACATCGAGTAGTGTAGTCTTTCCAGCACCAGAAGAGCCCATAAGAGCACCCAACATGCCTGGCTTGACCCAGCCTTGAACATTATCAAGAAGAACGCGATCACCTTGAGGAGTCTTGACAGTATAGCTGAGGTTCTTCCAGGTAAACACAGAGGTGTTGCGGACCAGACCCATTTCACCACTGGTGTCAGAGTCATCGCCAGATACGACACCACCATCACTGCTGCCCATGATCTTCTTCTCACCCTTTGTCTGTCCTTCTTCATCAGACTGACGAAGAGCAGCGGTGATGTGAGCGTTCTCGCGAGGAATGACCAGACTGGGTCCATCCTCGGAGGAGGCGTGCCACTTGGTGGTGAAGTAGATGGTGATGGCAACGAAGAGCGCCCACCAGGCCCAGATAATACCAAAGTTTCTCCAAAGATGGTCGTGGCTGTACGAGAGAGACGCCAGGTAGTCATCACCAGTAACGAAGTTCACTCCAGCCTTGGCTCCACCGACTCCAGAACAAGCCTGGTGATCGCCATTGGTGAAGCCAGGACCACTGGGTACGAGACTGTGCCCAACACAAGGAATGATCTTGTCATGGAACTCGTTTGACAGAAGAGCGTCAAAGCCGTAAGCCAAGGGGTTGATCCAGAAGAGCCAGACAAACCAATCGTGCATCAGAGGCTTGCTAATGAGATAGCCAGAGTACATGATCGTAGCGCTGATGAGAAAACCCGAAACCTTGGAAGCAGCATCAAAAGTGCTGAAAGCCGCGCCGACAGCTCTGAAAAGGGCCGTGATACACTAATGAAGGGTGTTAGCACTGAAGTGTTAGTGAGTAGGAGTACTACACTTACGATTGTGATTGAGATGAGAAGAACCCAGAAGGTGAAGAAGTGTCCGGCTGTGGCGGTAAGGCCAACCATGAAATACTCAACCACTGAAAAGGTGCTGACTTGCAACAGAATCACAGGTATATCAGCAGCAATCTGAGCGATACAGAAGGCAGCAGGGTGGTACATGGCAAAGGATTTGTGCTTGAGGAGAACAGGGCGTCCAGTGAAAGAGTCGGTGACCTCGGACATTGAGACCAGGGAGTTGCAGAGAAGAGCGATGAAAACAGCGCCTGACTTGATGAAAAGACCGCTTGAGTCATCAGAGGCATTGTAGAACAGAGAGCCAGCGATCAAAGCCTGTACGATCATGGAAAGCTGCTTGATCAAGAAGGTAGGCTTGTCTCCGAGGACAATTTGGTACTGACGCTTCACACAAGCTTTGGCCTGTGAGACGAACCCGACTGTCATGGGACTAGTATCGGGGAGCTTCTTATCCTTCTGCTGACGAACACCTAGCTTGAACTGCTTGGTCCTTTCGGCGGCGATCGTAGAGGTGGGATAGTCGTACTCAGACTTCATACGTTCGTAGATGGGCGACTTCTCGTACTCTGCTCGGAGAGCGTCTGCAGTGCGTGGGAAGCGGTTCTGGTGATCGGGGTGGATCTGTCGCTCAGTTGGGACAGTGACACCGGTGAGGTAGTCTGCGACGTTGGCGCCGTGTTGGCAGATGAAGCCCATGCTCTCCATGAAGGGCTTGGCTTCCTTGAGAGGACCGTAGTAGACTTCCTTGCCTTCGTCGAGCACGAGGACCTTGTCGAAGAGATCGTAGATACCGTTGCCTGCTTGGTAGAGGGTGACGATGGAAGCGAGACCCATCACATCGGTCATGGCGCGGATGGCCTTGGTGTACTCGAGAGCACTAGATCATATTAGATAGGTACCTAAAGGGTTTGAGTATCAGTACTTACGTGCTGGCATCGAGGCCACGGGTTGAGTTGTCCCAGCAAAAGACTGAGCCTTGAGTTGCCAGGGTCTCGATGATGGAGACTCGCTTTCGCTCTCCTCCAGAGACTCCACGAATGAATGCATCGCCAACCTTGGTGTCGATAGTATGCTCGATACCCATAGACTTGAGCAGGAAATCTCTTGTCTGGACTCTCAGCTCCTCGTGCGAGTTGACACCATTGGGGAGTTGGAAAGGCACTTTGAGTCGAGATGCAAAGTCCATGGTCTGACCAACAGTCAAAGCCGGGTAGAAGACCTCCTCCTCGGTGTTCATGACGATCTGGCCTCGATAGGTCTTGGCCTCCTCGGCAGTCATGGATCCATAGTAGACATCACCCTTGATGTTGGCGTATCCTCGTCGTTTGTTGGCGATCATGTTGAGAAGTGTTGTGCAGCCTGAGCCAGGACGGCCGAGAACAAGGAGCATCTCACCAGGCTTGACGCAGCCATGGCTGTTGTCGAGGATGGTCTTGAGAGGGGACTTTTGGCGAGACTCTTTGATGAGCTTGGGGATGTTGTACTGTGACAGGACATTCTCGTGGATAGCGGCATCAGCAGCAATGACATCGACAGTGAGGTTGGTCCAAGTAACACCAAGCTCTCTGTCAGGGAAGCCAGATGCCTTGTCTCTCTCTTTGTACTCCACCACTTCAGACTTCATAGACCATTCGGCGTCATCGTGGGAGACTTTCTCCATGGGCGTCGGTTCATAGACCGTTTGCGAGTCGTTGTCGTTGGTGTCGGAGTCCATTTTGATGGTGTTATTGTTTTGGTGGTGGACAGTATGTTCGCCCTGGCTGAAAGAGGATAGCCTTTACCGCCGAATTGCGCACCTAGATTTTGTGTTCTGATATGGAACAAAACTCTAAAGAATAAATGATAATAGATTGATATCTGCTACTGCATGTTTTTACAGGGAAAGTGGTTGCATGCTTCTTATAAACAACAACACATTTGACAGGCATCGGCTTTACAGACTGACGGGCTTTTTCGGCGTCCGACAGCAGCGTCAACAGGCAGCTCAACCAATGAAAGAATTGGATCTGATCCCTTTCTTGACAAGCATTTTAGTACGAGCGGGTTCTTCGATCCACTTGGATCTGACGGAAGTTGTTGATCTATGGACCCTGATAAGAATGTTGTATGCCAGGTCAAATTTACCGCTTAGTCAATTCGGCCTTTTTGGTGATGTTGGGCCGTTTGTGGCTGCGCTGCAGCGTGCGTAGCGCATTGAAGATAAGGTACGGATAGTGAGGTGGTGACTCAACCACTAACCCCAGTGCCTACAGAAGGGAGATGGCTTCTGTTACAGGGGCCACCTACTCGAGCCGCATTCAACGCTCCAGCTGGTTTCACATGCTTGTCAAACGCGATCTTCAGCAAACGTCACAACAGAAATGACAACAACGACTGCAATTACAAATCCCAGCTTAGGAATACAAAATTAACTGTCGCGATAGCGGACAAATAAATGAGTGCGAAAAGGCCGACTAAGTTACGAGGGAACGGGTCCTGCACAGCCAGGTTCGCTCGCATTCATTAGCATCCATATTACGAGACGTGACGGACTGTAAAAAACTGCGACGAGCTCCGACAGAGTAAAAAGTAAAAACCATGACGCAAAAGATAACGAGCCGCATCCGAGTCGGTCATTTTATAACCGTCTTTCCGACTTTGGCCCCCTACAACATCAGCTGCAATCTTCAAGGGGTAATCGAAGACGGACCTGTCTATAAATTGAAAAGTATCTGCCGTTGGTAAAAATGGGCCGGAAGAAGAGGAATTCTTGAATCTTCCGCTTAGTCAACGTCTTCGGCAGATCAATCCATGTCTAGTACGTGACTAGACCGTGATCTTCACGTGGGATCCCGGTTCAAGGTTTGACACTTTGTCCGATGTCGTTTAGCGCTGACCTCGTCGTCGTTTCTGCTTTGAGCTTCCTCCGCTTATTCAGCGGTCGTGTCGCATTCTTCTTGGACACCATCCTCCGAACCATCCTCGGAGAGCCTCATGTTCCGCGTTTACGAATCTTTCGGTCGTGGACTTTTCAGCGAAAAGACCGTGATTTTGACACATTAGCCTCGTTTTGCCTCATATCTTGGCTTTTCAGCCCGAGGCTTATGCTTGCTTACACCATACATATTATCATTTACTGTTATTTTGTTCAAAACTTCCGGCCGTTTGTTGGTCCGGTTCAGTTCAGTTCAGTTGTGGAACTGAGCCCAACGTCCATTCCAGACTATCAAACTCGATTTCGGCCAATTAATCCGCCTCCCTTCTTCCTCCAATCTAGTCTCACTTGTATATCAGAGCTGAATAAGTAATCATGATGCAGAAACGGGCCTGTGATGCCTGTCATAAGAGAAAGGTACGTACACGAGGCCCCATCTCCGTTCATTCCCGGTACCTCCGCTTCCCCTTTATCGATCAGTTCCATCCATCCATCTCTTGGCGAGATTGATGCCGTCTATCCCATCTTGCATGCATGCTTGTCTTTGTAAAGGTGTATCACATTCTCACCCAGTTGGTTAACAAATTGCCATCATCCTTCTAGATCCAATGCGATTCATCAAGCCCAGATACACCCTGCAACTGGTGTGAGCACCATGGCTTGGATTGTACCTTTAACCGAGTGAGAGGGCGGAAAAAGACAGCCAAGGCTAGGTACGTTCTGGCCGTGGCGTTCGGCCCCGTGGAGTTGTTCATTTTAACTTGTCTATTAGATCTCGTCAAACATCAGAGCAAAGTCTGGCAGAGCGCCTCAAGCGCATTGAGGATGCTCTCTCTCACACACTTTCTAATCAGAAGAACTCAGAAAACAGTGCAGCCAAGCCATTGACTCCAACTTCACAAGCCACTGACCCCCACAAGAGTTCAGACCCTGGTACTGGAGACTCAACCAACGATGCCCCTCAAAACTTGTCATTCAACCGGCCATCTTCTTCCTTTTTGAGAGCTACAGATTCGAGATCTGCAAGCGTGTCACAAGGTTCTCCGTTTATATCTCCAGCCCCATCTCCTGCTGGCGGCTTCACCAGCTCTGTTTCCTATGGCCAACTCCATTATGGTGGCTGTCACTTTGGCCACATCAGTCAACACAATGGACTCCCTCTGCTTTCAGAAGAGGGAAGACAATGGATAACTTCAAAGACTGGCCACGAAGTTATTCTTAATCCTGGCGCCACAGATCACTCCAACCCCTCCCAATCGCCTGCACCCCACGTTTACCATGCCCAACGCGACTTATACGAACTTCCTGATAGAAGTATCACCGAGAAGGCTTTTGACTCCTTTACTCATTCCTCTTTCAGTTTGGTGTTTCCCGTTGTGGAACGGGTTCTGTTTAAGGATACCATTGAATTAGCGTATCAGCCTTACACAGGCAATGTTCCTTCTTTGGAGCATCTCAGTGCCAAAGTTGGGGTTTTGGCCTTCCTCTCAACGATAGTACTCTTCCAAGACACATTTGAAGACGCACCAAGTATCGACACAGACTTATGTGCCACAAAGGCACGTTATCTCCTCACTGATGTTCTGGAAATAGCTAGTATCAACAACCTCCAAATAGTCTTCATGCTGGTAAGGACCTGACCTGAGGATTGGACCCTAATAGAACTGACACATGACTAGAACATGCATGAGATATTCTCTGGGCGCCTTCGATCCGGTGCCATGTTCCATGCCATTGCGTGCCGCATGGTATTCACGCTTGGAGGCCATATGTACATATCATGCAAGTTGCGAAGCTCGCAGGTTACACGTTCAGAGAGGGAACGGCGCCAACTTCGCATGCTGTTTTGGCTATGCTATATCTTCGATAAAGATATCGCTCTACGGACAGGTCAACCGCCCCTCATGTCAGATGAATACTGCGATCTCACCCTGCCGGAGACCTACTTCGACTGCTATGAATACCTTCCCAAGATCGATAGAAGCATCCCCAAAGTTTCCTACGAAGAAGAGAGTCTAATGCCTCATCTCCCGTGTGACCCTCGCCTGAGCCAGCTCAAAGACAAAACTAGTCGTCTGCTGTATTCGGCCCAGGCTGCTAAGAAGTCACATGCTCAGCTCCTTTGCGACATTCGAGAACTTGACGAAGAGCTCGAAGCATGGAGGCAATCTGTACCCCCTTCATTCCGCCCTGCGCTCTCGATCACCAATGAGTCTCAAGTCGCTCTTCAAGGGATGCATCTTCCTCGCAGTATGAGACACATCACCCTTCATTTGGACTATCATCATCTCATGATCGCAATCCATCGAGCCAGTGGTAGGTGCATGGAGCGTGATCCTGGAAACTCCAACGACCAGCCCGAATGGGTCCCTGGAGTCGAATCGAGCAATGCTCTTGCGCTGGAGGCTAGTCGGTCGACACTTTTGTATTTGCGCGCAGCGATGTGTGGAGTCGCTGGCGAAGCATTCTGGTAACAACAGCTCGCGCACACCGAATCCAGCTCAGTGACTAACTCTTGTGTAGGGTTATTGTCTTCTATCCCACAGCAGCCATGATCACTCTCTTCTTCAACATCTTGCTGTACCCACTCGATGAGCGGGCTGAGCAAGACCTTGAGCTTCTCAAAGCAGCCGCTGATCTGATCAACAATCTCCCAGTGCGGCGATTGACCACTTCAGAAGTCTCGCATATGAAACTTATCAATGACTTTGTTGTTGAGCTAGTCCGCCTTGGAAGGAGTGCGATCTGCAAAGCTACCATGGAAAGGGATCATGAGCTCGACAGACAGTTGATGATTATAGCCTAGGAACCATAATTTGTCTGTATTAGTATTCGTTAGTAAACTGGTTTGCGGGCGGTTGGGTATACCATAGTGGATTATAGAGGGGACATAGAATGATTCAGGGACTTTTGATTATATTCATGACATAGGAGGGAAAGGGGACAGGAATCGGAGTAATTTGCGATAATCCAAATTATATTGCTTCTACTGATGAACGGTGAGAAACTCTAACTGGACAATGCCCGAAATACAAAGACTAGTTCACACAGACCTTATCTCTGGCTGGACGCCTTCACATGCCTAAGAACATGGACACGCAATGATCTACAGAAAACATACACATATCCGCTGGGACAACCCCAAATGCCGAAGAGTATTATCCCGCAGCCTCAACAAGCCGATCTGAAGTCCAGGTAACGTTGAGACTGTGCATGCGTTACTCAACGTCTTACCCTGTACAGCCGTGTATAGCCTTGGCCGCTGAAATAAGGACTTGAGCTTGCAGTCCATGTTATAGATTTCAGTGAAATACACTCATTTGAGCGAATGAAGGAATTATGTAGTAGTTGACTTAGGTATAATCTCAAAGTACAGATACTATGTGAAAGTCTGACGCCCAAAGGCTAATTGATTGACGATAGACACTCACTCAGGTGCAGTCACTGGAGCCACTCACTGACTTGGCTGTTGTAACCTATACAATGGCAAGCTGTTGACTGTGAGACCTGGAAGAACTCAATTGAGCTTGTAGTACTCAAAGGTTCCCGTGAGTCTCGTTGCCTTGGACAAGAAAGGAAGTTCGGGGCGAGATGTCCAACTCCGATGCGCGTCATTTAGCGACGAAATCGCACCAATTGTCTCGGACAAACTCGTACTCCGCGCCCTCCAATGACTCATTGCCGTGTATGACAAATAATTCACTGAAGCCTCAATGACTATCTCTTTGTTTTCAAGATTCTTTTCTAAACTCTAATTTCCAGATACTTGTTGCTATAGAACTTTCAGTTTTAGATACAATAACGAACCAGCTATGCCGTCAGCAACTCGTCAAGACCAGCTCGTGTTAGTCCCTTGGGACCCCAACTCTCCTGAGCATGTCAACCGTATTTATGCACAACGAGTCCAGTGCGGTTGGGATAAGCAATTAGTTGAAGGATGGAAAGAGAGACAAGTTTCGGGCCAAAAGTCCATTTTCTGGATCGTTAGTTTCCTCAAGGATCGATTAATAATAGCTGAGGTTTAACTTTGACTAGACGCTGCGACCAGATGACCCCGAAACTCGCGAAACACTCCAATTACACTTAGATGCGTACCCTGAAGTAAGTCAGATACTAATAAGTAATCACCTGTATTGACATCTCTCAGGACAAGGCACCATTGGTTGACACAGCCGAAAGCCTCAGAGCCAAACCCCGAAAGCCTACACATACAAAGTTCTTTCCAGTGGGCCATATCTCACTCGACGACAGAAACGAGAAAACAGGAAACTTTGTCCTTGATCTTCCCAAAGAAGGCGTCTACTGGATCAAGACCTTTTACGTCTCAAAAGCACTTCGAAGCAAAGGCATCGGGCGAGCAGCCATGGACATCGTCGAGTCAATGGCAATTGAGGAACCGCTATGTGCCAAAACCCTCGCACTTGATACCGCTGAGAAGGAGATGCAGAAGAAGTTGTACCGAGAGAAGAACGGAAAGGAGCTGGGCGTAAGTCTTGGCTGTTGTGAATATTTGCCATCTACAAAGCTGACACGTTTTAGTCAACTAACCAGGATTGGTATGAACGGCGGGGATATAGGCTGATTCACATGCAGCCTGGCCACTACTTGGACGACGAAGACCCTCCTGTCGATGCTGTGTTTCTACGACGAGATATCGCATAGCTTTTAGTCAGGCTTGGTGGTTGAGATGATCTATTGTGAGCGGAGACCAAACAGCAAAATTGAGCTTGATAAACAGGGAGAGATATAGGTGTCTAGACGAGGAAAGAGATATGATAAATCCTGGCTCAAACCACTACCAATCAAGATCGTACATAAATATACAATAAATCATGCCCAGTCACACTTAATTCCCAGCATGTATTTCCCCCCATCACAATAAGACATCTCCCTCCATTCAGGGTCCTCCCAGCATCGAATATCGGGAGGACCATTCTCACATGCCAAACTACCTACAATGCTAGAAGTTCCAGAATAAACACACCCCTTAGCTCCGTGGGCCTCGAATGCAGGAAGCTCAGTCGGAAACTCCGGATTGTCCTCGCCTCCCTTTGCGGGCACCTTTGTTAGGACTGCTGCAAGACAGAAGTATTTGATAGGCTCTTCATGTGTATCTTGAAGGACTATCCATTGAGGTTCCATCGAAGCTTGCATTAACACAATGCGAACACGGTTGTGGCGAGGATTTGAATCAGCCAACCAACCTCGTAATTGGCGATTATAGTCCTCAGGGTAATAGCTCCGACTCGAGAGCCGGGCAGTAGAGTTCAGTGGCACAACGAGGCTCTTGTCTCTAGGAATATGCTTATTATTAGGGGCTTGACATTTGCCTTGACCTTCAGGCACAATCATTACGTCCCCCGCCGTAACATGATTAAGCCCGATATGGGGAATGTCGTACACACATTCTAGTGTTGAGGCAAAGGGAAGATGAGGATAATTGCCAGTTATCTTTTGAACGGTTTTGGCCATCGCATACATGGCGAAGTTATCAGCACTTCTCTTAATCCACCAAGCTGGATCGAGGTGAAATGCAGCGAGACCTTTAGTTTTTGCTGTATTATAAATCTTTTGCTTGACGACGGTCTGGTCACTCCGGCTGTATAGAGCATAGAGATCAACGATATGGTACCGCGGATCCACGCCAGAGGCCCAGTCAACATGGAGAAGCTCATGGAACCAAACACGTCCTGGGATGATTAACAAAATTCAAGGAAAAGTAAGAAAGACAATGAGTATCTATACCTTTGTTTCGAACGTAGTTATTGAGATCTGCGCGATGTTCTATGGGCAACTCCTTCTTGCTATTCTCATCGATGACTTTGAGGAGGTCTGGTTCGAGGAAATAATTGGGACAAAATGCGATACGTGCTTTTCCTGTATCATGGTCTTTGTTGGTTGTGTATGCCAGCTGGGTGTTTGGTTTGCATTTGCATATATCGCTTGGATCGTCGCAACGAACATGAAGTTTCCATTGAAACGGATTGAGACTGCTACCAGCTCTGATCGTCACAACAGTATCAATGATCTCTGTAGCTAAGTCAGCAACACATAAACAGAAGATCAACGTGGGGAGACTGTACCTTTAATGGCAGGTTGCTCTGCCTCATTGATGAAAGGTGGTGCGAAGAATTCTATAGCTGCAGCTTCGTTCCAGTTCAGCTCCTTTCCTTGAATGGCATCCATCATGTGCCAGGCTTGCTGCCAGCCGGAATAGATGGCCTTCCGCTGAGGAGAGCCCCAGCCACCACAGCCCTCGAAGCCGAAGAGTCTAGTAGCAAAGTCACCTACATCTCCATCTGCCTCTGTGAGGTTATATTGACTCTCTCCAAGTGCGGCACTGAACGTATCAGTTGCTCCTTTTAGATCATCAATATTTGCAGCATGGACTGATGCATGGAAAGTAAGGGGGGGAAAGGCCACTGAGGCAACTAGGGTGAAGATGAAAATCATCGCTGGAGATAACAGCTGGGCTGGTGCTCAGTCTCTTGGTCAGTTGAGTACAGAAAACAGTCTCACTGCTTTAAACCCCCCACCATATGCGAACGGAGCATGGTCGAGAACCGTAGTATGCTGGTATATGCAGTTGGTTGACCGCAAGTTTCATAAAACTTTCTTGGCAGCAAATTGGCATGGCCAACAGTAACAGGGATAAGAACACAATAACCAGGGACAAGGTATATGCCTGATGTGCCTGGGACTCGCATCACTGACCCAGCCAACCTCTGTGGCCTGACTTCTGGACGGACGTGATATAGAAACAATGGCTGCGTTATTGCAATTTATGTTTAAAGATACTTTTGCTAAATTTGATATTGGTGCCGAAAGTCTACCATAGTTGGAGCAGGGAGTTGACCGATGGCCCACAGAAGTGACTTGTACACACAGTGAGAGGCAGCCTTGCGCTTGGACTCTTCATTTGTTAAATTGAGATGGCCAAGTGACACGTTAGCTGACCTTGGATAACCAACAACCAACACTTGATGCGCGAGAGCTTAATACACAGATTTGATTCGTCGATTCCGGGGACAGTAGAATGAAAAGACTCTGTATTGGGAAATCGCCGGAATCCTCCTCGACTGATTTGTTTCATCCTTATGTAGAGAGAATCTACTAATGCCTGTTCATTAATACCATACTCGCCCCCAACAGTCACAGTTAAACAACCAACACCATGTATATATGGCACGTGCGGCACTGGAACATCTACCATTCCTTAAGTTCGTTGACTGCCGGGCACCAACGCAAGTTTAAGTCCCTCCAGTCCTTATGCACCAGACTTATCACTGCTCAGAGTTCCCATTCATCCCGACTTCCTGTCACAACTTAGCCCCTGGACCAAACACCAAAATGTTCACACAAGCAAGTTCAGTTCTCTTTATATGGGCTTTACTAGTCACTACTTGCCTCACAATCTCACAAAATAATCAGAACATCTTCCTTCCCGCATCACAACATACTGTATCCCATATACCTGAAAGTTTGTCTGAATGCAGCTTTGAAGGTGAATTCGGGGTAACATGGTTTCCCCGATGCCAATTCGGTGGTCTCACGGGTGGCTCGGTAACAGGTTGGCCTAAAAGTGGCGGCTACTACACTCATCTCTGTTCTGTAGTCGAACTTAAGTTCCTTGGCCTCGACAGGTTCAAGCCTGTGAACAGTTCAGGCGACCCTGATGAGGAAGAGGCTCACTGCTCTAGAATGCGCCAACTAGGGGCAACATGGTTTAGAGACCTTGACGACGAAATTGAAAATCAGTGGAAGTATGATCTACCAGATTCTCCACGGCTGTATGCTGGGTGGCCAGCCGACGGCGGTGTCTGGGTCTTATACACTACCTTTTCCCAGACTAAAACAAAAGGCCTGGGAAGGATTGGTAATGCCTTGACGATGGAAGAGCGCTGTAACCTAATCAAGGAACTTGGGGGCACATTCTACGCGAAACCTAAGGACTGTCCTTATCTTGATCTTGACGACTTGGATGCTAAAAAGAACAAGTGAAGGTATCTCATTACAATGCTCGTTGAGACGCAAAGTCAGCAGAGAAATGGTTGGTTGGATAACCGATAGCTTCGAACATGGAGTAGCAGAAATGAGAAGAGATTACAAATTGAAGTGGCTTTGTTTTGGTTTTCCGTTCCAGTTGAATGGTTTACCATAATAGCGTTGGTTTCTTTGTACAAGGTTAGCACTTCCAAATGAAGGGTACAGTAAGGGCAAGGCTGGTCAAGAGCTGATTCCTTTGTAAATTTGTAGTTTCATAACAATATAGTATTTGCATTACCGGATACTAAGGATCTCGTTGAAATATAACCACTGTATCTTTCACTGTTCAGTAAATATCATGCCCCTTGCCCTAAAAAGTCCACATAATCATCACCTGCCTCTCCTCTTCCTGTCAACCGGAAACCTTTATATTAATGGCCTTGAGGTAGCTCATATGCCCATTCGGACTTACCAGCCCACAAAGGGAAGGAGTTTGGATCATGCTGATAATGATCGTCAGGTAGAAATCGATCAACCTTGGACTGAGCACAGCCTTGCTTTCGAACCTTGCGTCTCTCGAACCGATCCTTAATCCAGTCCATCCAAATTGACCTGGTTGCATACATACTAGGAAAGTGACCAACTCCAGGAACACCCAAGAACTCTAGATCACCAGGATACTTCTCGCAAGTAGCCTTTGAAGTAGTCAATGATGCGTTGTAATGAACCGCTGGGTCCTTTTCACCCTGGATGATAAGCATAGGTCCCTTCCACAGCCTCCCACCGGGTTTAACGATTTGTTTGAGAGCAGCCACAGACCAAGTGTTCATCCAGTCAGGCTGGACAATTTCCTTTTCGGGGGTGAAGAGAAAGCCGCTGACACTTTGAGATCCCTCAACCTGGTTGAAGAGAGTGACTCGATCGATACCCAAAGGTGTAAGCCAGTCACTAAGCTTGAATTCAGGATATACTTGCTTCAAATACTTACCAACCCAGGTAGTTATCGAAGTTGCTGGCAACGAGAATGCATCTGTAGGCGGGGCAAAAAGAAGGGTTCCCAGATGACCCTTAACTAGATCCTTAAATCTTCCCTTCTTTTCCGCAAGAAGTTCAGATACACCCCATCCAACGGCACCTCCTTGACTATGACCAACATTTACATAATCAGTTGTCAAACGCTCTGGGAACGCAGTCAGAGCAGCTCTCAAGGCATTGAGAGCATCTGCTCCACCAGCCTGATAGATGCCATATTCGTGACGAATGGCAGTCCCATCCCATGAGGTACCAACGCCGAGACCAGCGTAGTCAGGGGCCACGACAGCATACCCTGCCAGAGCCAAGGCATATGGCACAAAGTCCTGATAGAAGAGACTGCGGTGGGTAGACGGTGCGGCCGTAGGATACCATCCAGACGTGCCGTGAGTCCAAAGCACAGTTGGCGCCTTTCCGCCAGGAACACCTTTTATCTTCTTGGTGGTATATGGCCAAAGGATGTAAGCAGATGCGGGGATAAGAGTGCCATTGATGTTTGTCGTTGAGTAGAGAAAACGAGACATCGCAGTCGAGGCAGGAATTGTGTATGGCTTTGGATCCGTGATTTCTTGGAGCTTGAGAAGCTCACCCGGGCCCTTTGGAATCTTTAGACTCGTGGGGAGCGTGTAAAAGTCATCTTGGTGAGGACCACCATTGGCTAGTAGAGTTCGGTCAAAGTTGATGATGTTGTTGATCTGCACGCCCTCTTCAATGGTCAAGTTGGCAAGGCTAAGTTGCTCAGGCGAGAGTTTGAATGTCGAGTTCCATGATGTTGTATGCAGAGTGGCTTGTAGATCTTGGCCAGCGGTGAGAGCTACAAGGGCCACAAAGGAAAGACAAGTAGTTTTAGGGAACATTGAGATGAGAAGCTTCGGCTTTGCTGATATTTGGTTTGAAAGAGGGAGTTTGAATCAGTTTATATGCATTTCTGAGACTATCATGATTTCACATGTTTCAAGAGCTACATCCTTCAATTGGTCTTTGAATACGCCTCAATCACCACTACCTCAAATAAGATACCACTGACAGTGAGCTTCTCATGCGATGTCTGCTCATAGATGAGAACTCGATTTGTCTGTCAGCATATAGACGTGTCTGCACATCCAAGACAATAGCTGCGTATTCTTGCGTATTGTAATACGACGGTAGAATGACTTTTGCCGATTCGGCACCGAGACAATTCAATCATTCGCTAAATCTAGTGATAAGTGATGAAAGAGGCCAAAGGAACTATTTAGAGTTAAATGTGAGTGCATCAACAATCCCGAACTTAGCCCGATAAGTACTATCGACTCGATACCGACGCGGTCCGTGGCAAGTTCTAGACGACTCTTGAAATGGGGTTATCAAGAGTCAGCTATACATCCAGAAAGCCTTTTGCAAGCCAAACGCTACAGGCCAAAGTCAACAGAGAATCGCTGAGCCTATGCATAGTGGGCTATCACATCTCATCAAAAACCACGACTTAGGTACAGGAACGTGCGGTTCATTATTCTGACCACTGGACTTTCCCGCATTTGAGAAACTCATTCGATGAATTAATATATATATATATAATTTTTTTTTTTTTTCTTTTGGTTGCCGTTAGCCTTATTCGAGGCTATCTAGCTTCTAGCTTTTTCAACGGAGGCTTAAACAGTGAGAATTAATATATAATAAGCACCATTGAGTCATTGACTTGCAGGCAGAATTGTATGATACAATTCAATATCTGTACAGTATTTTGAAATCTGATGGCTATTCTAGGGATTATATTCCGTATCTCAGGAGGCTATTATCTCTGGATCCAAGACATCTGGGCCGGCTATCATATTAGTCCGCGTTAGGTAGATAGATTCTGAGACAGTTCTAGTCAAGAATCCCGACATTCCCAGCATATCAACGCCTCCTCGCGCACGCACCATTTTCATAACGCCAGCACCGTGGCTCCAATACGCACACATGTCTCCTTCAAGGAACTACGAGGATCCAGTTAGCTTTTTTCTGAAGATAAAAAGTAAAACCAAAGAGTGGAAAGGAAGACTCACTGCTTCAGAGGCCATCAACATTGCCAATGCGATAGTTGTATCTGTGGCGACAGCCTCCGACTCGATGGCGTCTTTAGCCATTTGGATGCACATTAGTCGATATTGAAGCTTTTTGACCGCAAATTTACTCGATAGGTCGTTATTTGTGGCGGCGACATAGTTCCGACACGCCACGTGAAAGACAGCAGCCATAAGACTGAGTTTAGACATTGCATTGGGCACCCATATATGCCTCATGAGGTAACTAAAATTCCGCTCATCGCCTGGGGCATAGCATGCTGTATATCCGTAAGAAATAACGTAGTTCAGATCTATGATACAGCACATTAATTGGTTCAGTTTCTTGAAAGTTGAGGATAGACGTACAGAAATCAAAGAGGTAGTGCTCATCATCTGAAAGTGGTCTTGCAAATCCGGTGTATGCGACACTGCGAGCACCGCCGATCAACTGGAGTGGACTTGGTGGTCGATTTCCAGTCAGTTCATGTACTTTTGATTTAGGCATAATCTTCCGGTATCGTGTATCGCTTTCTGGATGAACCAGCGTTCTCAACTCTGCCTCAGCTGGAAAGCTTTCAGGGTCATATTCCTCAAGAGCTTCGTGTTGCTTTTTGTCCTTCTGCAGAGCACGGGAGAGTTTTGCTGCGTGGGATCTTATCAATCTGATGCTCTTTGCATTGGTGATCTCATCTGGATGAGCAGAGTTGATGAATTGCAGTGTTCCAGGTTGAAACTTTGTCGGTTCTTCAACTAATCGGCTTTTTGGTAATCTGCCGCGGCCTCTTCTTCTGACTAGCGTCGTTTGTCTGTGAACAACTGATTCACACTCCGTGTCTCTAACACAATTATCCATTGTTTATGAGCTAATACTATGATGACAAAGATAAAAGAAGGGAATGGGATGTCAGACCGGTCTTCGTTTTTTCAACATGAATCTGAGTCAGCGGGGACCAAAGCCAATCATCAGCTAATGGTATATCATTATTAGGCTAATTAATAAGCTCACAGATAAGCCATGGCGACCATTTATGAGTGTCTGCAACGAAACCTAGATATCTACTTGTTATCCAGCCTCTTGGTCTTGAACAAGTAATCCACTACTTCTGTAACACTGGCCTCCAAACTGATCCAACCACGCCCGGCCCATTTCTGCAAGAGTTCAAGAGCAATGTCGTTCTCAATGTTGTATATCAATTTCGGGTCGCCAGAAATAAAGTTATCAACGAAGCTGCGGTTCGGATAAGCGCTTCGTAGGATATCTAGACAGTCATTCCATGTAAAAGATGATGCGAGAACTTGAATGCGTTGGCCTTGTACGTCGGGGTCGATTGCTGCGGCGACATGAATAATTGCGACGTCAGCGACGTGGCTGTAATACACTTCTCATAATTAGTCGCAGATATCAATAACAGAGACGTTACTTACTAGCGGGGGTTTGCAGCTTTTCAGTATTGCCCAAATACAGCTGTTCAATGAGCTGGGGCGGTACGGACCGTAGATGCTTATCATCTCGGAGGTCTCCCAGGATAACACAAGGGCTGACTGAGTTGACTACCCAGGGGAGTTTCTCATCCTTAACAAACTTCCAAATAGCCTTTTCTGCCTCAACTTTGGCTGCGAAATACACCGACAGAATTCGATCCGATTCATAGGGAGGAGGGGCCCAAGCAGCTTGAATCGCATCATCGTTCCAAGTGTCAAGGTTTGTAATGGCACTGCTGACACCAGGAACTGGAAAGGTAGCAGCCCAGAAGGTTGAAGTAAAGACAAATCGCTTCAAGGATGGTTCCTTTGCTGCTGATCGACAAACAGACAAGGCTGACTCTATAGTAGCTGGAATAGCAACATTGGGATCAGGAACCAAGTCCCCAATGACTGCAACATGTATGACAGCCGCGACACCCTGTACGGCTCTGTCGAAGTCATGCGGTTTAGTCGTATCAGCAACTACAAGCTCGACATGACCGCGTTCTGCGTACTTGGAAACAAAGTCATCCTCAAGTAACCACTGGCTGGATTTCAAGTCTCGAACCGTGCCGCGGACCTTGAAGTCTCTCTTCAATAGCTCGAAGACAATATGACTCCCAGTGTGACCGTTTGCGGCTGTCACAAGAACCCAGGAGCCTTTGGGAATTGCGGTTGGATGATCAGACATTGTGGTATGAATATGAGTGTTTAAGAAAGGGGAAGGCTTGTGAGTTAGTGAAAGGTCAACCAGACTGGATTGCAGCAGCTAAAGACTGCTTTATATGCTCATCTCATATTAATTCATCGGCACATAAAGTGGCAGAGCCAACCTGCGAGGTCAACACATGATAGCAAGTAGCATGAATTCTGTGCCAATCAGAAGTGAGTTTCAAACAGTGACAAATCCTTATTCTGACGATGTATTATCATATTCTTGATGATAACTCAAATAACAAACTAAGTTGCGGCCATGGCGTTCGGAGGCCAATCAGACAACCTTAACAGGCCCGAGAGTCCCGAGCATATTCCTTTTCAGAACTAGTCAGATTATAGTGACTAGCTGCGAGGCCATATATGCGTAAGCGGTGAACACAACTAGGTTTCATCACTAGCGAGACTCGGTTTGTCTCATCCCCAACTCTTTGGTCGGTTTCTTCCTCTCTCAGACATTAGCGTGACATACATAAGTTTGATTTCATTTAGCAAGCCAGTTTAATCCTCGAAAGATGATGCTTAGTTCCTGTTCTCTCGGAGTTTACGATTATCGCCGGTGTTTCTGTGCCTTGCCTGCCTGCGCCGGAAGTGGCGGAGAAAGGGTGAACTTGGTAATATTTCATAGAAAGATCTTTTTTTCATATAGCGAAATCTGCATAGCCACGATGAACCTAGAAATTAACTTCCAGCTGGGGCAACGTAGACCAAATTCTTCAGCTCTGGAGAGATTCAAGCAGCAGGTCGAAGCTCGTGTCGATACAGAGATTTGACATATGGGACAAAGCCATCAAGTACTTCATGTTTCTGTCATTATTACTAGCATGATTCAGGTTCTTCTAAGTCGAATTGGGAACGGTATGGTGAGCACAGAAGTGGAAAATATTATTAGATAACTATATGGTGCACAATACCTGTCGTATGCCAGGATTCCGTGCATGAGAAGGAAAGTAGAAATGCCTCTGCTTATAATTTGCGGGAGGTCATGGTCTGCGACTTGTGTACCGCGAATCAGGCCCATGCATTAAAAAATCGAACAGCTTGATAGAACGCTTCGTCTTTAGCAAAGACTTGCTGTGGGTTTGATGCATTTGCACGAACAGCAAACCCATGAGTGGTTCCACTGTACAGAACCGAAGTGAAAGGCTTGCCTATCTTAGTGAGGATGGCTTCAGTCTCCGCTTGTCTGGTCTGGGGGAAGATCTGGTCCTCGGCTATATCCATGTCAGCATTTGTTTTTTCATTTATTGTTATAAAAGGCTGAAACTGACCTGCACCAGCGACGGATACGGGCTTTCTCACAGCCTCAATCTCATCAGTAGCCAAGAGACTGGGATGGGCAGTGAAGCCAACATCGATTTTGCCGTTCTGGCCAAGTGAACGAAAGACGTAACGTCCACCGTAGCAATAGCCCGTGGCAGCGACGGAGATCACTTTGAGCTCATTGCGTAGGTAGTTAATGGCATTTGCAACGATTGGGTCAGTGACACTGGGAGGATGCTTGGCAAGGAACTCGGTGGTGTTGAAGCCTGGAGTTTCTTTTGCCGGATCACCTCCGAACAGGTCTGGAGCAACAGTAAAGAAACCCTGTTTGGCAAATTCATCGACCAATCTGTATTGGTTAGTGAGGAAAAGTAAGAGCGGGTGGGCAATCCTACTCTCGGTTCTCCTTCAACTGGATGCCATAGATATCGGTGAGAAGAAGAACACCGGTTCTTTTTCCAGGCTTTTTGTGGCCAAGGTTAAACCTCCCGGGTTTGGATACATATAGATTCACTAGAAATGGTCAATTGAGCACTCAGCCAATAATATGTGTGAAGGAATACTGACATCCTTGGTATCTCACAGTCTCGCCCTTCTGATGTTGAGTAGCAGCCGATTCTTCCGCCGCCATCACCCCGCTCGGGGCAATGGAAGTGAGAAGAGACAGAAAGACGGCAATGGGCTGGAAGAACCTCATTATGGTCACTTGCAAGACGGAAAGATGCTGAAGTGGAACGGCGACAAGGAGGAGGGGAATATATACAACGATTTAGGATAGGTGTTGCTTACGAATAGCGCAGGAATTATCAGGCTAAAACGAAGTTGGCTGTCGTCATTATGCTTGTTATGATGTTGACGTTCCTGGATTGGACGGCATTATTTCATGCTTGAAAGTCCGTGGCGACGTTGGAGCGGGGGTGGCAGGGGAATATGCTTATTCGATACAACCTTATTCCAAGGTAAATGCCGCGCTTTGTGTGGTCATTACCGCCAACCTCAACCTACCCGCTACCCTGCGAAGGTTACATCAATGTCCAGTTCATGATTCACTATTCCTACTATTGTTTTCACTTATGGTGGCGTCAAGATACTTGGCTTATATATAGTTTAATAGTTTCAAAAGTCTATGGTAAAGCAAATCCAGATATACCAACATTATAGGATTTGTCATAATGCAAACATGTCAAGGCTCTACTATCAATCCTCATTATGAAGGCCTAGGGCAAAGGAGACCAATATAATATCTCTTTGCGACACCCTTCTCCAACAGTGGGGCGCTGGCGCAACGGTAGCGCGTCAGATTCCAGCTATTAAGCACGGAGATTCCTGAAGGTTATCGGTTCAAATCCGGTGTGCCTCATCTTTTTCCGTTTTGGCTGTTTACGTGAGCCTATTTTTTGCATCGCCAGTTCCATCAATAATATTATTTGAGCTGAATTTGCACCGTCGGGACAGCAAAATTAAGCTTAGATGGACTGAGCCAATTACATAAACGATTTAGTGCCCGTGATCCACTCACTGCCCAATTAGGCAACTGACTGACCATCTTCACTTTAAATCTTGGGGCAACCATTTCACTGGCAGATATTGAAACTAGGTAGACAAAAATGAGTATAGTTTATCATTCAATCATTCAAACTCGATATCCTTTTCTTTCTGATCACTAAGCTAAAATACTTTCAGAACTATATACAATAAACATTTGTTGCCTCTACTTAGATGTCTAAGGCAAAGGGATAGACTGCTTGTGACCAGTAAACAGACCCTCGGGATCAATTTTGGCCTTGATCTTCTTGAGTCTCTCATAGTTTTCACCATAGAGGCGCGAACTCCATTCCTTTTCAGTAAGCTCGGTATCGGCATAGTTGACAAAGCCACGGAGCTTAGAGCCGCCCTTGACAAGAGCGTCCTCGAATGGCTTCATAAGACCTCTCAGGTAAGGAATAGCGTCGGCAGGGAAGACAAAGGGGTTGACAGAGTTGGCGTCCCAGCGGATCAGCCACAGGTTTCTGCCATGAGCATAACCTGTGTCGCTATCCTTGATGTTGCGGGAGACACCGCCCCAGAGATCAAGGTAGGCGAACTTTGTCAGGTCAGTTCGGTTGAAGGCCAGTGTTGTGCTCTCGAAGAGAATCTGAGCTTGTTCAAGAGTGAGAGGGTGGTCGGTCGTAGTGGTCAGAGATTGAGTGTAGAATGCTCGTCCACCGAGAAATCCGCCGTCGGGCTGGTTCATGCCAGCACCAGCGACAGCAACTTCAAGATCCCACCAGGGAAGGACAGTCTTCTTGACCTCGACAGCGGACTTGATGGTCTTGATCTTGTTAACTAGAGGACGAATAACATCGTCAAAGCTGTCGGGATTGCCGTAGAAGTATCCGGTGCCATCATAAGGAGGAGCCATCAAGCTCCATCGGAAGGCAAAGGTATCAGGGCAGTCCTTGCTGGTAGCGTAGTCCTGGATGGCTACGAGAGCCCTGGCGCCGTCTCTGGCGCTGAGATCGCCCATAGAGAGGGTGAAGTTGATAGCCTTGTCGAACTCAGGCTTGAAGGTCTTGGTAGTCATGGAGAGAATGATACCATAGGAAGCTCCAGCACCTTTAGCAGCCCAAAGGAGCTCGGAGCCCTTTCCAGCCTTGACGACAGTACCATTGTACAGCATGTACTCAACCTCGACAATGTTATCCATGGGAGTGCCAAGATAACGTGAGGTGGTACCAAAGCCGCCTCCGATGCTGGATCCAGTAACACCAACATGGGCACCACGGACGTGAGGAACATGGCGTCCAGCAGTGTCCCAAAGATACTTGGCAACAGGTCCAACATGAGTGCCGCCACCGAAGGTCATGAGGGTGGTCTTTGAGTCATACTTGACGTCGTCAAACGCAGCCATGTTGATGACCAAGTTCCCGGGCTTTCCGAAGCCATTTCCTTGGAACGAGTGGGCAGGACCAAGGGCATTTGCGTAGACATCAGCCTCTCGCGCACATTCTAGCGCAAGAGCGACTTCATCGCGAGATTCGGGGAACGCAATTGCAGCAGGCTGGGGACGAATACGCTTCTGGAACTGAGTTGTCTCTGCGGCCCATTGACTGTCAGACTCGATGACGTTTCTCACGCCAGCCTTGTCGAGACATTTAGTCAGTTCCTCGGCCTTGTTCTGGGCAAAAGCAAGGGAAAAGAGAGAGGCGAAGACAAGACGTCGCAGAGAGCGTGGTGATGCCATGATTGCAGAGCTGATAAGATCAACACTTGGGAGAACGGGGCAAACTCATATGAGTGATTTCATTGTTTTTATGTCTTAATGCCCCTGTTTGACTTTGAGCAGTCTGAGGTAATACTCGGGATTAAATTTCGGCCCCTTGTAATGGTTGGCTGCAGGGGAAAACCTACACACCCTGTCATAAGTCACCTTGGCATTTAACAGGCTAAAATGCAACGTTCCTACAGCACGGTTATCACTGTGATATAATCCTTCCAGCACAACTTCCATCCTATTATGGAAAGGTCGCAATCACTAAACTTACGACAGCGGCATTATACAAACGTCCCTTTCTCAAAGGGGAATATCCCTCAAGGGGTATGATCTTCTAAGCCACACTTTATCTGACTCAACTACCGGTATCCCACTCCTTCTGAACCTTCAGCATCGTATGGAGACTTGCCAGCATCAAGATCCACTATTACCAGGTTCGGCGAGCCAGGTTCCGACGCTTCTGGATTTCACTACCTTCTTTATCCAGGCCATGTTCCGTTTTCTACGGATAAGAATTTGTTACTACCCTTTCCTGCCATTATGTTGCAGCAAATGTGGACTTTTCCGTCTGAAGTAATTCAGCCTGTTGGATAAAACGGAAATCCACCTTAAATGGGCTGGCTTAATGGAGAATAAGAGGATCGTCATCGCTGCAAGGTCCCATGTGCTTGTAGCAAACATTCTTACGGAGTGGTATGGGATGCTTAACAATAGGCTTAATTGCACGTTTCAGAAACTTTTCCGTGCTCACTAGTGTACCGACCGCTCCGACGGGGCGAAGCGAGTAGTCCATACCATATGCAGGGGTTGAATGTCACTGCTCTCAGATCAGATTGAGCCTATCCTGTAGATGTTGTTTTTCATCACCGAGTGGACGCGTAAAGAAAGTTGGAATAAAAATAGTAATATTAAGGAAGAGTAGCAGTGAGAATGTAAATGAAAGGAGCTATGTTAGCTCTCTATGATGAGTACAGAAGTCTAAATCTAAATGCAAGGAAAAACAAAAGGTTCATCCTAGGCCTCTCTATCCAGAGACTGAGCCTGGCACATATCTGCATATACACCTCCCTTAGCCTGAAGTTCTTCATGCGTTCCCACCTCAACAACCTTTCCACCAACAAGCACAAAGATGACATCAGCGTTTCGAATAGTCGAAAGTCGATGGGCAACTGCAATCACACTGCATCCGCTTTCCTTTCTCGTCTGCTCCAGTGCCTCCTGGACGAGTTGCTCCGAGTGTGTATCGAGCGCCGAAGTTGCCTCATCGAGAAGAAGAAGCTTCGGTTTGCGGATCAAAGCACGGGCAATGGCGATTCGTTGACGTTGACCGCCTGAAAATGCTGTGCCTCGTGCACCGCATGGAGTGTTGAATCCTTCTGGTAGGGATGAGACAAACTCAAGGATGTTGGCCTGTCGAGCAGCCTCGTTGAGTCGTTCGTCAGATGTATCGTCAATGTCACCATCAAGTCCCATCAAGATGTTCTCTCGTACACTTCCTTCGTAGAGGACAGGCTCCTGTTGAACCATGGACATCTCGTTACGGTAGAGGCGAGGTGAAACATCCTTGATGTCCTGCCCACCAACGCAGATCTTGCCAGATGTAGGATCGTAGTATCGCTCAAGGAGAGATACCAGGGTTGATTTGCCGCAGCCACTGGGACCGCAAACCGCAACAAACTGAGATGGGTTGATCTGGGAGACGTTAGTGGATATTATGGAAATAGGTAAGGGAAGACTTACATCCATTGAAAGCCCATGAAGGACCTTGGTACTGCGACTCTTGTACTTGAAGTGCACGTTGTCAACATTGATGGGCTGGTCAAGATCAGGACCTCGGTCTTGGTTCTCATCGGTCTCTCGAACGACTGGTTGCTCTTCTCGCAGATTGAATAGATAGTTTGCCGCACCCTTTGCCCTTGTGAGACTACCCAAGTTGGCAAACAGCTGGGCACCAGCTTGGCCCGCAAATAAGACACCCATGAAAATGAGGAAGAACTGCTCTGATGTGTACTCGCCGGAGGAGATGAGTCGTGAGCCGTACCAGAATCCGAGTGCCATAACCAGAAACTCGATAGATTGTGAGAAGGCGTATGCAAACATTGAGATCGAGAGAGACTTGACCGATTGGGCAACGATGCTTGACAGAGTCTCAGAGTATGCCTGTATAAAGTCTGACTCGGCGGTCAAAGAGGCAACGGTCCTCAAGGCAGAGACAGCCTCGCTAGCATGACTGGCACTCTCTCGGAATCTTGCCTCATTACTCTCATGAAGTCTAGACTCAAGACGAATCTTGAAGTAGCCAGAACCCATAAGAAGAGGCAAACCTGCAAACACCATAACAAGAGCCAGTTTCCAACCATAAGCCAGGGCAAGGATGGAGCTAGCGGTGATATTGACAGCCATGACGAGAACAACATAGATGTTCAGTCCAAGAAGCTCTGTCAAACTCGTGGGGACTGAAGACAATGTTGAAGCCAAAGCACCGGATGAGTTCTCTGGTCGATCAAAGAAGTCAATATCCATGACGACCATGCGACTGAACAGCTCGAGGCGGTACTGATGAGAGATGGATTGAGCCACGTGGTTGGAGATGTATCCGATGGTGAAATAGGCGACTAGATTGCCAAGCGCAATGACGAAGAACATGAGGGCATAGAAGTTGGCATCTGATGCAGATGGTTCACTGGAAGAGAAGGCAGTGATGAGCCGGGAGAACAAGACAGCTTGGCCTGGCCAGGTCGCTGTGGCGATACTACAGGCGAGTGCTGCGACAATGATGTGAGGTAGAAGGGCCTTTTGTTCCTTGAGGATAAGGAAGATGCTCGTCATAATAGAGCGGTCCTTTGGCTTGGCGTCTCCATCCTTGAACACCATGGACTTCTCGGTCTGAGCTGTCATGACGCGCGCCACCTCCTCGTCTGTCTCGACTTCGATCATATCCTGCTTCGCACTCATGTCCTTATGAACATCATTGGTGGAGACTGCAAGGTTCTGTGCACGAATGAGTCTGGCATAGTGAGCATTGAGTGCAAGAAGTTCCTCGTGAGTGCCCTGCTCAACGACCTGTCCAGCTGAAACAACGACGATGTTGTCAGCGTCCTTGATGGTTGACAGACGATGCGCGATGACCACTGTGGTTCGCTCTTGAGAAACTCGAGATAAGGCTTTTTGAACGATTCGCTCGGCGTTGGGATCGAGGGCGCTTGTTGCTTCGTCAAGGAGAAGGATCTTGGGGTTGGAGACAACGCTGCGTGCAATGGCAACTCGCTGCTTTTGGCCACCGCTAAGTGTGCCACCACGCTCGCCGAGATATGTATCATAGCCCTAGGTAGTGTTAGATAAGCTGGGCTGAAGTGGAGGGGCATGCTTACCTGTTCAAGCTTTTGAATGAACTCGTGAGCGTAGCTGGCTTCGCAGGCCTCCTGCACCAGCTTCCTCTGTTCACTAAGACTAAGGACCTTCTGTGCCTCTGTGAAACCCTTGGCCACGTTCTCAAACACGGTTCCCCTGAATAGAACTGGCTCCTAAAATTATGCGTTAGCTGAAATGTCTACGAGGACCAACAGTAGTTGTCTTACCTGCTGGACAAGAGCCATCTGAGACCTAAGCCACTTGACATTCAGCATGGATACATCCATACCGTCAAGAAGGAAGCGGCCAGAGGTTGGTAGGTACCATCTCTCCAACAAACCAATTATAGTACTCTTTCCCGAGCCACTGGCCCCGACAATAGCGGTGGTTTTGCCCGCTGGAATGTTGAGACTGATGTTATTGAGCACGTTTGTGTCGGGTCGAGAGGGGTATGAGAAGGAAACTTTCTCAACCTCGAGGTGGCCGTGGCAGTTTTCGGGAATTTTGCCTTCGTCACTGAGAGGATCCAGTGAGGATGGCTTATCGAAGATCTTGAAGAGCTCGGAAGCTGCTGCCGCACCGTTGGCCAGGGCCGGAACCTGTGGGTAGAGAAGACCAATCGATGATGATGCAAGCAAGACAGATAGTACAACGCTATGAACTGTCAGTTGAGAGTTGTAAGTCAAGATGGGGGGCCGCACGTGAATACAGTACCGACAGAGTCGATCTCACCACTCTGATACATGCGGAAACCCTGCCAGAAGGCCAAAGCATTTCCAGCGTACATGCAGAAGTAAGTGGATGAGCTCATGACCCCGTACATGAATGACTTCTTCTTTCCGTAGACGTGAGCCTCTTTGAGATAGTCATCATATCGCACTGTCATTCTGCCCTGTGCCCAGAAGGCATGGACAGTCCGGATGGAAGCCATAACCTCTTGGGCGAAGACATTGGCTTGGGAGTAACTGCCCTGGACCTTTGCTTCGATAGGCGCATCAAGGGTCATTCCAAAGCCAATGATGAAAAAGAAGAGAGGCACGACAGTCAAAGTGATGAGTGCCAGCTTCCACTGGACTGCTATCGCGACGACAAATGATGAGACAAACATGGCCAGTCCTTGGATAAGGAGTGACAGTTTCTCAGCAATACCCTGGTTGATACGAGTAACATTGGTAGTCATCTGTGTCGCGGGTGATCCAACATTAGCCGTATCAAAGTACCAGATCTCGGTTCGAAGAAGGTGTTCCAGGAAACGCTGTCGAAGTACTCGTGTCGTTCGGATTCCGGAAACGGTAACGGTTAAAGTGGCCAGATAGCTGAGGACGAATTTGCCCACAAAGAGGTAGACAAACCAGAGGACGAATGTGTTGACCTCATCCTGAAAGCCCTGGGGATCTGTCTTGCCACTCGCATAGTCGCTAAATCGGCCAGTGAACTGGCCAAAGACAATAGTCATCAGGGGGAGTGTTGCTCCAGACGCAATGGAGCAGATGAGGGATGTGAAGTTGAGGATCCAGTCGAGGCGGTCGGCGAAGCGAAAGACGCGCTGCGATGTGTAAGTCGCGAGTTCACCTACTCCAGTAGAATAGCATAGTCATACCCAGAGATCTCCAAGTTCAGCCTGCTTTTCAGGTTCATCCTTTTGCGTCGTTGTAATTGAGTCCTCAACAAGGATCTTCTTCTCGTTGTTGGCGTCCATGTTGGAAGTTACTGCAGAATCTATTATGAAAGTGGTAAAAGAGAAGAAGAGAAGTTGAAACGAAGGCTAGAAGCTTAAAGGAACGCTCAAGAGAAAGAAGTGAAAGAACTGTCTAATTGAGAATGTTTGATGTCAGGCTAAACGAGAGTGGCGTTGTTGGATACTTATTTCCTTCTTCCTTGGACATGTCTAGGCTCACAATCTTACTTGGGTACGCAAGCGGGTCATACAGAATGGCTCATGCTGACTGCATTCCCATATTTTCGCTACCAAGACAATCAATCCCATCCCTGAGTACGCTGCAGCTTTAGCAAGATGCCAAAATTAATTCATCCAAGATGTACTAAATCTCTCCCAAATATGGCTCAGTCTTTTTGTCGTCTAGACTGCCTGTAGGCTCCCTCGTTTGGACGGACCCGCGGGAGACACGGACAGCCAATTGACATGATCTGCACTAACAGAATTAGGGGCATCTTGTAGGGCTCGGGACCACGGGCCCGCGCCTCCGAGGTAGCGAGGGCGTCAGCATTCCCTCTCCTCCGCGAGCCCGTTCTCCCGCAACGCAATCTTTGACCTCCCATTGCACTGAAGATTCGTATAGTGGGTGAAACTTGGTTCGCTAGGGTCATGTCAGGAGAGGAGACTATTCTGGCTAGGCGGGCTAGGCTCTCTCAGGTCCCAAGGGCGGTACGTACTGCTCAGACAAAGCCCTCTTATCCCGTTATGGCTCAAGAAACTGACAATGCAAAAGTGTGAAGCATGTAAAGTTCGCAAGGTCAATACTATACCTAAATATGTCTTTTCATTTCTGACTCTCCTAGATTCGCTGTGACAGATCCCATCCATGTGGAAACTGTAAAGCTGCCGGTATAGCTTGCCAACAAGCCCATTCTGTTCAGTCAGATGCACGTTCAAAGCCAGACAACCGAATAAATCAATTGTAAGCCCTTTTACTCCCTATGAATCTATAATTGCTCATTCTCCCATAAAGAGAAGAATATGTGGCAACTCTTGAAGCTAGGCTGGCCAAGGTTGAGCTACGTCTAGACAAACAACCTGAACAGCCATCGACTTCTACGCCTGCTTCAGCATCCGCACCCACGCGCCCAAAAGAGACACTTTCCCTTTCTCCAGCTGGTTCTTCCGAGCCCAGTGTATACGATGTAGCCCCATCTCCTGGCGGCGCATTGTACGAGGGAACGTCGTCATTTCTTCAGCAATCCGTCCAGGCTAGCCAAGAGGTTCAACGCTCTGCAGCTGCAGAGAGTCCTGAAGCAGCACAGACAATCAGCGAATCATTCAACCAATTGAACTCTATCTTCAAGAGCCATAATGATAGGAAATTGCCCTTCGCTGCCTCGACTCGTTCCATGCCAGAAATTACACCTCTACCGGCTTCAGTTGTCCTTACTATTCTACGCAAGATCAAGGGTAGTAACCAACACACATTTAGGAACTCTGTTGATCCAATGGTTAACCAGATATATAGCTAATCCTACCCGATTCTTTCCTGGCCAAGCCCTCACTGACGTGCGTCTCATTGAGCACCTGTGCCAAAAGGTCTACTTCCCAACGGAACCAGTAACTCTTGGGCATATTACAAGCGTCAATGGTATCATGCGGCTACTGCTCCGCGAATTCATCATCACAAAGGATAGCCTAGGTGAAGAGCATAACCTGGAGGAACTCAAAGCGCAGGCTGAGCGAAACTTCGACCAAGGTCTTCAAACCTTTGAGCTTATGACGGTGCCCAGTTTTGAGAATATTCTGGCTATCACAGCCGCGGTTAGTTTCTCTCATATCGTCTTTGACCAGATTTTTAATCAACCTTTTTGTTCATCATAGGTTCTCAAGATTCAGAACGAAGCCGCTCCTGTCCTGGCCCGTTCGTTAGTCAACGCAGGCCTCAGTCACTGCCAGATGATGGGCTACCATCGAGAGGTAACCTATCAAAAAGACCAAAGTGGCTTCGCTGATAACAAGCGTCGGCTCTTCTGGACGCTTTATGTCTTTGACAAGACAAACTCTCTCCATTTTGGCAACGCCTCGAGGATCCAGGACTTTGAAGTTGACGCACATTATCCCACTATACAGGATGACCCGGCTGAGAAGCCTTGGACTGAACTTTTTATACTAGCCGTTAGGTTAGCCAAGATCCAGGGTTTGATATTTGATAAGCTTTATTCTGTTTCTGGCCTACAGTCCCCTGCTGTAGATCGCAGACAATGGATTGATGCATTGGTTACTGACATGCATCAATGGCGATACGATTTGGATCATGTAGGCCTCCTTTCTGATATTTTGAGTCTGTGCTGGTCACTGAACTAACACATGTGTAGATGGATGGAAGTACAGTGCGCTTTGCAGAGATTCTGAAGCTTTCAAAGACCCATTGGGACATCATGTACTACTCAACTCTAACCATTCTGTTACGAGCTCCGGCAATGCCAGGAGTAGGTACAGACATGACCTCTCAGTGCTTTCAAGCAGCAAGGCTCTCTCTACAGAGTCATCTACTCGCATTCTCAGGCTACGGTGGCGACAAGATGCTCTCGAAAGCAGACTACATCGACTGGTAAGTCAGCCCTAGCCTGCTTAGACCTGTCAGCTTACACTAGCAGGGCTCTTCACAACTCATCATTCACACCTTTTGTCGTCATATTTCTGCACTCGATAGCGGCATCTAGTCTTGAAGACGTAGAGCTTCTCGAGCAAGTAGTCACCACGTTTCGGAGCGCCCGAGATATCAACATTGGGGCTGAGAAGCTCTATCAAATCTGTTCTACCTTTGCACGACTTGCCCGTCGAATGGCCGAATCTCGAAACACATCAGTGGGAATGTACGATCAGAACAATGATACACTCCAGGTGGCTGGTGTTTCCGAAAATGATCCCTTGACTTGGACAGATATGGCTATTCAACCTGCGGAACAGCAGGCTGGTACTGATGGTTTTGCGGACTTTCTCACTGATGACATGACTAACATATTGGCTGATTGGATCAACGGACAACCCCCATCATCTGACATGTTTGCTATGGATTTCGGGGAGTGATCCTGTATATGACTTGATTAGATGAGATCAAAGCCAAAAAGAAACTAGATGCTTCGTCTTAACGCGTAACCAGTGGATCGTTTTCATCAAATGAAATCAGGCAGCTAATGAACATACGAAACTTCTCCAAGGCAACTATATTTGTTGAGACATTTTTTGTTTTCATCCGATTGATATTGTTGCCTTGTATTCGCGTGGCAAATATTTCATCTTGCTCCCTAGCCGAAAGACTATTGTGATAATGATGTGATGAGATCCGCTCTCTGAGGTGCAGCCATTTATTTGGATGCCTGACTAGGCAGAGAGAAACCCAGACAATTGAACATTTTTCCTGGACACCAACCTTTGGTATTTAGTCATAGTAAAAACCTCTTTTGAGTATTTAATGAATATGATCTTCCTTGATATGTGCTTGCTGTTGGAAATTCAATCTACTTCACAGCTCTCCAATTCTCTTTATTATCTTGCTTGTTTCCTATCAACAACAAATCTTGCAAACTACACAAAATGGCGGTAAGTTCGTTCTGACCTTGCAGCCAGTGCATTTGACTCTAACTTATTCTTTGTATCAAGTCTGCTTCTGGGTAAGTACTGACATTGAAATCATTCTGGAATCTTCGACTAATCTTGATACACAGTGTTTTGATTGACCAAGACTGCATCACTGCAGCCAATGATCTTCGGTTTGCAAAGGGATCGAGTAAGATCAAGTTCGTCATCTTCAAAATTACCGACGACGAGCAGCGCGTTATTGTTGAAGAGACGTCTCCTGATACTGAGTATGAGACTTTCCGTCAGAAGCTTCTCTCGGCGGTCGACAAGTCTGGAAAATCGGCTCCGCGCTATGCACTCTACGATGTCGATTACGACCTTGGAGAAGATGGAAAAAGGTAATCTCTTCGGGTTTGGTACCAAATTTTACTAATAAAAAGTTACAGGACTAAGACGATCTTTATATCTTGGGTCCCACAGACCTCGCCTATCAAGGTAGGGCTGTCACATGCTAAGTTGACTCAAATTACTGACTGGGGAATAGCTTCGCATGCTCTACGCTAGTACGATGGAATATCTGAAAAAGGCAGTCAATATGAGTGTTTTTATTCATGCTGATGATCAGGAGGATATCGAGTGGGAGGAGTTGGTCAAGGCTGCAAGTGGTGGCAAAGCCAAGTGAGGCCAGCATTCAGGCCTCCAAGGCATGGTTATTGGTGTTTGTTTAATTAAAATGCCTCTAAATTCATCTTTTTTTCTAGGCAAGGATCTGAAACAATCAAGCTTTTTTCTTTGCATAGCTGATCTTGATCTTGGATCTTGGATCTTGGATCTTGATCTTCTGACTGCGCTAGGAGCCAAAACGTGGCCAATGACCGATGCTAGTGCTGCACGATGCCATAAAATGACGTTATCGCCAACAAAACGTCAACGCCTTTCATCTCCTCACAACAGGATTGGATTGGCTCCTTTGTACCATACACACTCGCCACGCGTACTTTGGATCGAGTGTGGCTGGAAAACCTGGAACTCCATCATCTTTGTCCTACAACCGACAACGTCATTATTTGGTGCAGCTGCCGTAAACTTTATTTATTTGTTTGTATTATTACTCCGAACCCCAAGGGTTTCTGCTTCTGAGACGGGATCATCAACAACCTACCTACCTATATCGACATTCAAGATGCCGCGCACTCTATTGCTTTGTTTTATCCACGGATTCAAGGTGCGTTAGTCGCATTTCCTTTACTATAGGATACTGACATCCTTAGGGTACCGATAATACCTTTCATGAATTTCCCTATGTGAGTGGTGACCCACGCTAAATGCGACAAGCCTAATAGCTCCAACTTACACCATCAAAGGACCTCAAAAAAGCAGTCGCCAGAGAACTCCCAGACGATAAAATCGAATCCATCGTATATCCCAAGTATGAAACTACTGGTGAATTGGCTCAGGCCGCGGAAGGCTTCCTAGAGTGGTAGGTCGACTCAACTAAATCAAAGACGCTCAGATCACTGACCCTAATACAGGCTCAAGGAGCAGGTAATGGCCATCCGAAAGAAGAAGTCGGAAAAGCCATGGCCTCCTCATGACAGAGATGTAGGAGTTGTTCTCGTTGCTCACTCGATGGGGTAAGTTGATCAGACCAAGTTTGGCTTTATACATCGGCTCACACTCTACCAGAGGCTTCGTTGCAGCAGATACTCTGTTCCTAGCCATCAACGACAGAGCTAACAATGGAGATGAGAACGATCCCTTGTTTCCACTCATCCAAGGTATTCTCACATTCGACACGCCTTACAATGGTCTGGCCCGCTCCATGTTCGTCTATGGCGCTTTCTCCAATTATCAAAAAGTCAACAGCGTCTTCAATGTCATGACAGCGATCTCTGCAGCCGCGCCTGCTAGTCTTGCACGACTTAGCGCTCGACGTGCTGCAACCACTGCTGTTACCAGCAGCACACGGGGACCCCAGTGGAAAACATGGCAGCTTGTAGCTGTCAAAACAGGTACTGTTGGCGCCATCGCAGCTGGCGGTGTAGCAGCCTACATGAACCGAGAAGCCATCATTCAAGGGATGAAGAGCATGAAGAACATAAACAAAGAGTCTGTGGCCGAAAGCTACCGTCAGGGAATGGATGCTCTCGGACAAGGTCTGGCCTATATCAACCGCGGAAATGTCGGAAAGTCTTTCGCCTGGCTCTCGGATCATGTCACGTTTGTCGGTGCACTCCTCCGACAAAAAGAGCTGAACCGTCGACTCGAACGCATTGGCTCACTCAAGGGTGTTGGAATGCACGACTTTTACTGTTCTCTTGGAGAGAATGGCTACTGGAGCGGAGGATACTTTGTCCCTGAACGAACATTCTGCGCTGTTCCCGAAGAGAGCCACTCAGCTTACCCAATCTTCGAAAGATGCGTCATGCCCAAGGCTGAAGATGAGATTGAAGCGCACCTCAATATGTTCAGACCTGAGAAACATCGAGGTTACGAGGAGATGACAGACAAGTCGGCTGAGCTCATCAAAGAGTGGTTCCAGAGCGAAGAGAACGTTTTTGATGATCCCAAATTCCGCGAGACACCTCCCGAAGAAACAGAAGAGACCGAGACTACCAAGGAGATTCTTGAAAAGGATCCTGGCCGAATTGAAGGAGACGAGAAGGCTGAGGGCGCAAATGACAAAGATAGCGACAATGATACGGGTCTCCCAGACGAATCACCTCTGGACATCGCCAACGCTGCCTCCCTCGTTCCCCTCCCCGATGACAAGGGTGAAGGCATCGTGGCCGATGCAGATATTGAAGGTGCTGACACAGTTGAGAAGCGAACCTACCTCAACTACCTCTTCGGCGTGGCTCAGCAAACCGGCGCCGACGCCAAGGGTTGGCTGCCAAACAGGATCCCGCAGATGCCAAACCTTCCTAGCATGCCCAATATGCCAAGTATGCCCAAGGTACCTAGCTCCGTGTCATCACTGGGCAATGTTTCCATGCCCAGCGTGAGGATCTGGGGAAAGAAAGATAGTGAGGCTCAGGAAGAAACTAAAGAAACTCAAGGGAATGAGAACCGGGTTGTCGAGGATAAAGATGACCAGGGTAGTAAGGACGGTGCCACAGAAGAAAATGCCACTGTACCTCAAGATGGGGGCAAGGATGTTCCCCAGGAAAGCATTGGAGACAACGCTGGGGCTGTTCCAAAGGTCAATGAGGATGGTGAGAAGAAATCGGGCTAGGTTGGAGGGAATTCTATGGATTTATTAGTTGTATGGTTTCGTTCACCTGCTTGCTGCCCACTGTTTCAAGATTAATAATCCTGCTGTCCTACAGTTTGCAGAGATATCACCTTTTCCGCTTTTGAATGAGGGTCCCAACTTAGCCTATATATGTTAGAGTCTAATTCTGTTGAACTTGTATACTTCCCAACAGCACGAGATGAGCTATGTAAACCTACACGCATTACGTATCCAAATAATACATACCCATCAAGCGAACAGCTGAACATCGAGATAAAAGTCATGATGTCATTGTGCTTTGGAGGCTTGCGGCTGATCGTAAAGCCGAGTTCCGTGGCCTGCGACGTGTCTTGCAGCCTTATTGTTACCCAGATATCTTCGCCCTCACCTCACCCCGCTTTAACCATCTGTGGCATAACCTCGACTCAGTTTAACCCTCGGATAGAGCCCCAATATTCCGGGCGATCTAACTGAAAACTACCTACTTCGCTATGTCTAGTCTGGTTCCCCTTTTACCTGGCCCTGCTAAGCCAGTGGAGAACCAGCCCACGACAATTGTGACCAGGACTGACATCGTCTTGAAGAAGCGACTCCGGCCTGTGTCTGCGGCCTGTGAAGAATGTCGCAAGCGGAAGTCAAAAGTATACCTGCTTCTGTTGACGTGAGAGCTCAGCTGATACGTGCAGTGCAATACTCCGTGGCCATGTGAACCATGTGTTCTTCGCCGCTCGGAATGTCACTTCGATCCAAAAGCCGACATCTATGTGCTTTATAGAGCACTGCAGCGTAAGTACGCCGAGATGAGTGGTGACAAGGGTCGCGTTGATTCCCTCATTGCGATGATACGCGAGAAGCCTGAGGATATAGCACAAGCTGTCTTCAGGCGGGTTCGAACAGGATCGGATCCAGAGGCTATCTTGAGCTCAATTGAGAGCGGGGACATACTCATGCAGCTGCACCTGGCCCCTGCATCTCAAGTCCGCTATCCATTCCCACACCGGGATGCGTTGCCTGGTATCTTCGCCAAAACAAAGAGTGCATACATGGACTCCTTGGCCCTCGAGACACCATATTATGGCTCGGATTCTGCCCAAACGTTTGATGCCCGATTGATCTCGTATCTGGAGGCCCCAAAGTACATGCCATACCACTCTGCAAAACTAGTCGAGCCATTGCTAGACGACGCTACCATCTCTCGCTGGACAAATGTGTGCACGGATGAGACTTTGCTACACAGTCTCATGGAATCTTACTTCCTATATATCTACTCGGTCTTTCCCTTCTTTCACAAAGAATGTTTCCTTCGCGATCTTGGTTCTGGATCTAGTCGCTTTTGTTCCAGCCTACTTGTCAATGCTGTGTTAGCTCATGCTTGTCACGCTACACCCATGATTGCGCTCCGCAACGAGCATTGGAATCCCCATACTCTCGGCTATACATTCCTGGCCGAGGCCCGGCGTTTATTGGAACTTGAACCATTTCGACCCAAGATCACAACTGTCCAAGCCCAGCTCGTGATGAACAGTACCGTGAACGACCATGGTATTGACGGCGCCTCACATCATTATTTACTCAACGCCGCATCTCAAGCAAGGATCATGGGTTTGTTTGACTCTCCTAGTGAACCCAGTGAACAGAATGCGGACCAAGAGGTCAAGGTTGTCCGTGAAGTTACAGCCTGGGCTCTTTTCGCTTGGCAAGGGTAGTCTTCCTACGCTCCCTCTTTGAATTTGAAGCTGAGATCGAAAAACAGAGTCATTGCTTCCATGGCCCAAGAGATACCTCTGCTCAAGTACCCGCCTCAGACGCCCTATCCAGACCCCGCCCAATGCCCATTCTGGTATGGCGATATCTGGGTCCGATACCCCTCAAGCCGAGAGCCCATCGCAACCAAGTATTACCAAACGTTCAAGGCATACTTGGAGTTCTGGACCATATTCAATGACATTACCAGCTTATTGTTTCGTCCTGCCCAAATCCGGTCACTCTACCTCGGTCAGGCTGTCGAGTTCTATTCCCGATTGCGATCCTGGTTCAATGGTCTCCCAGATGACCTACATCCAGGCAAAATAGTCCTACCTTTTCAGCTAAGGCTACAGTATGTAATTAAAAGTTTATTTTACTCCTTGCTAATCGCTATAGTATCCAATATTGGGCTCTTTTGATGGATCTCTTCAAGCCCTTTGCGGGCTGGGACGATCCTACAAAAGTACTTGACCAGACGCCCTCTGAGATATTGGCAGCTGCTCGGAGAAACCAAGAGCTTGTGCTTCGCATTTATTACTTGCGTCACGGAACCGAGACTCACGACTGTTGGCTCTCTATGTTCCTTCTCAAGCTTGGTTTTCTTGCCCTTCAAGAAGTGGCCATTTCGTCAGACAACGACGACTCGCTTGCAACATTGATCCTGGCGCTCACAAGCCTCGACAATCAAGGTAAGTGTTATTTCAAGGCAGAGTTCGCTCTACGAACCATCTGTGCACAGATGCGTTCCCGAGACCTTGAGACCTTCAAGCAGTTTGCAACCTTTCAGGATCTCGACGTTCCTCAGGCCATAGAAAGTCGCATTGGTTTTATCAAATCATACTGGCCTGTAAACATGTACTTTAACAGACAAGAGCGGAAGAACATCCGCCAAGTAGCTGCTGAGGCTATTGGAATGAACTTGAGGGATGATGAGTAGCCCTGTACCAGCAGGAGAGTAAACTTGGGCAGGAAAGGAACAGGTAAATCTATCAGGATTAGCACACGATATCTCTGCACCAATTCCTAGATTGGGCATATTGTTCAGGCAGTGTACAGCTAGCGACCTAAAGGTCCCTTGCTGAGAGGTCTTTGTAAGAAACCCAACTTATGATAATGACGATACTGAGAGGAGGAAACACGGAAAAGGTTCACCCAGATTGAGGATGATTAGTGCGCAGGGCGGCTCTCTAATATCATTTTGCTATGATTAACTAGATTGAAATAGGAAAAAAAAGTGTGTTTGTATTTCTCTTGTCGACTCGTGAATTCTGCGGTTTCACACTGCTGCTAGTACTTTAAATTTCGCATCACCCAAGATGTTCATATGATGTCGAGTGATCTTGAACAAAACTAGCCTATGTAGAGCCGTTAAGTAAAACCCACACTATCTGTGAGCAATAATCCACAAAATTCAAACTTGAAAATTTCCTGAGCTCCTCGGTAAGACTAATGCCACCTCCCAAACGATTATCATATAACGATCTTCCCTTTCCCACGACTAACACAGCTTAGCATAGATCCCTTCTTCTGCTCCTCGTCTAGGGCCACGCCCTTATGATCAACTTCTCCCTTGTAATAGTCCACCATGCATGTGCCACAGTTTCCAACCAGGCATGACGACTCGATCTCAAATCCTGCGTCAGAGAGAACCTGAAGAAGGGACTTCTCTCGAGGTACCGGGACCGTTTGGCCAGTTGACTTGATTTCTACCTCGAATGGCTCACCAGTTCCAGTAGCGGCATCGCCAAATTCTTCGAAATGGACGTTGTCTTTTGGATACCCAAGATCGGTGGTCAAGTTACGGCAGGCGTTCATGAGTGATGTTGGACCGCAACAATAAACAACTGGTCTGCGACCTTTATCATCCGTAGGCTTAGGGATAACTTGGCTGAGAATGAGTCGCTGGCCTTGGTCTTTTGCATAGATGGTGGTCTTGTTGACTGGTAGACGACTCAAATAGGCCGCATCCTTGCGGCTCCGCACAGCATAATGAACCTCAACTTCGAGCGACTCTTGAGACAGCTTTTCGATCTCACCAAGAAAGGCTGTTACTCCGATCCCGCCGATGATGAAGATATGCTTGGACACATTGTTCTCCACCTTTTCGCTCTGTGTTGCAGGAGCGTTGTGCCCTGTAGCGACTTTGATGATATCTCCAACATTCAGATTATCATGGAGATAGATAGATCCGCCTCTCGAATTATCATCCCTAGCGATACCAAGTTCAAACCGATTCGTGGTTCCGGATACGACAGAGTAGGCACGAGAAATATTTCCGTCTGGACCAAATTGGATACGCACAAATGGAAATTGGCCGAACTCCGAGTCCTCATTCTGTTCCTGAGCTTCGAGGATAAAGGATTTGATCCTTAGGGTCAGCTCCGTTTTGTTTGCCAGCTTGTAAGGTCTCCAGACGACAGGGACTCGATCGCCTTCAAGACGTCCACTCATGTCCTCGGTACCGTGATCAAGTCGGGTTTGAAATATCCCAACCATCTCTTCAGACAAGGCAGGAAGTGATATCAGTTCCTGGAAGATTTCAATGTCATACTTTTCGTGGTAAAGGTACTTCTGGACTCGTGAGAGGGGCCAGGTTGGGTTGATGCGTTCAACAAGTTCAATGGCATCGCCTTGCTCGATGAATCCTGTTTGGAGAACACGGTAGTACCATCCCGTTCGGCCACTTGACTGCGTCATAGCCGAGATCTTCTTGTGCTGAAAGCGATGATTGAGCTTGTAGCAAGGCTGTCTCGGCCCAGAAACCTGGATGATCACATCCGGTCCTACACGAAATACGTCTCCAATGCAGACGTTCGTCTCAGACATGTTCATTGCAGATAGATTCTCTCCAAAACCGCCTACTTTGAAGAGATCCTCTCGGCCAGGCAGCTCAGCGTTCCAGACATCGTAGTGACCGGCACAGTACTGATGAAGAGCCTTTTCAGGACCACCATGATGAATGAACTGCTGCTCGTCGCCGACGAGTCCAACAGGGGTCACTTCCCATTTTCCTTGCCGCGCTCGCTTGTTAATGGCTGTGCGGATGTTTACACCGCCGAGCGGGCGGATTTTGCCTGTTCGCAAGCTGAGAATGGTATCTGTAGGAGGGAGAGGGGCTAGACCTACAGCGGAGCTTTCAGTGGTGAGAGGCATGATGATACGTTTGTTTGTGTCTTTTTCCAGTATGATGATTGTTTGATGATGCTAGAAGTGAGTCAACTTGGTAGAGTTGAGGTATTTGAGAAAATGTTGTGTGAAGGATCAGCAGGCAGCCATCCACTTAACCTGATCAAGCAAGGTCACTCAAAAGTTCCCATATCTTATCGCTAAGAGTAAACGACTACCATCCCAATTGCGAGTCAGCAATACCATCATATCGTTCGCTGTTGATGTAGCGTTCCAATTGAAATATGCCCAGTCCTGGAGGCAGAGAGATGAACACATCCTGTTTGTTTGTTTGTGTCTTTCTTGACCATCCATAAAGACCCTCAAGCGTTTCGAACATCTCTTCGGTCTTCACTAAACTCATCATCAATCATGTAATTGAGTACGAAGCTTGGGTTCTTGTAGAGTAGATAGCTAAACCATAATGGGCCTTATTCAATCACAATCCTTTCAGAGTCTCTCCCAATGCCAAACATTCTCGACATTTCCCGTCTTCCCTCCAATACTCGTCTAGCTTCTCCACGAAGTTCCGCAGACTCGGCGAGTACTGAAAACAGGCTCGTACAATTCATCCACCTCTGCTCCATGATCCTAACCGCTTCTTCCTCGTCTCGATAACCTCCCAGCCATTCCTCCGATAACTGAGAGATTTCGCCAAAATTCATTGGCATCAAAAACATTGTCTCTTTCTTAGCACCTGTGGGAAATAGCTGACTGAAAGTATTGAAGAGGAACTCGTGCGCTTTCTTCAAGGTTCGAAGCTTCGCCTCTTTCAACGACCGTTGGGCATCGGCATCGCCTTTCCATCCTCGGCCACAGAAGGAGGCTGAAAAGCGGCCAAGAGTCCTGTGCCAGTGCTGTATCTCCTGAGTGCTTTTTGTAATATCTAGTTCTTTCACCAGTTCCTCAACAGCGTCAAAGGCTTCCGAGTTCCAAAAGTTCATGAGCTCCGCGAACTCTGACAACAAGTCGTCCACTAATGCCGATTGTCTGTTGGTCTTCCAGCCAGGGCTTGCTTCCAATTCAAGCCTCCATTCTTGTCTTTCTCCTGCAAAGCCCGATACCTGGGTGCCAGTGAGGACCGAGTGTCTGACGAAGAAGCTCCAGGCGTGAACTTCTTCATCTTTCACGGAAGAGGAATCAAATTCGTTGGCACCAGGCGGTTGGCTTCTCAGCTTAATCATATGCCTCCAGTGATAAAGAAATTTGATGATCTCCAGCGTAAGTGGATATGAGACTTCCAAGGCACAGATTCTGTCAAAATCAGAATGGTTGCTGTAAAGATGGTCCTTGCCTATCGGATAGATAATAGCCGAAGCACATGGATAGAGGAGTTCGTACGTGACGCTATCTCCATCCCGCACATGCTTGTTAGCGAGAAAGGGCATTCTACAGCCAGATATCTTGACCAAAGAAAGGAGATCACTCAACCCCAGCATGCGTTCTGGTTTTTCTCGAAACCTTGACATGGGCCCACTAGTGGCAAGGAAAACGGAGTCGCTGAGCATATGATAATTAGTCTCACGATACTGGCCATCGACTGTGTTGTTTTCATCCCCAGACATGAAGCTGGCGTAATACAGAACGGTGATCTCATAACCGTCGGTGATAAGGCATCCTGTCTTGGCATCTACTGCTTTGAAGCTTTGTGTCGGGTTCAAGTTTTCTGCTGTTTCATGGCTGGTCAAGAGTGGGATAGTTCTGAATTGCTGAGAGGGAGGGACAAGAAGGTTCCCTGTCATGGATGAGAGAATAGGATCCCGATTCAAACGCACTTTCCAGCCAAGCTCTATCTCTCCCAATCGCTCCGATAAGTCGACTGAGTTGTAGGCAGTCTCTTGTAAGTCCCACAAGGGAACCCAACTAGGGATTCCGTACTTGGAACGAAGTCTGAGGTTTGTCATAGACTCAGCAAGTTCAATGACGTTGTGCCAATTTCTTTGCTGGATGAGGTATAGGGCAGTCCCAATGTATACTTCTCGTACTGTCAGCTTATAATTTGCCTTCAGTACATTGACTTCATTGCCATCGGCCAACCCGAGTAGACCGAATATCTTGTCTCGCATGTCGCTCATCTTACAAAGTGCGGTTGCAGAGAGGAGCTCCAGTATATCGCCCTTTGATTGTGCTCCAATCCAGCCGATTTTTGTCAGCCACCAAGGGACCTCGGCGTTGTGCAACTTGGCTTTAATAAACACGTCCCTAGAAATTGGCGTTGTTGAATCGCCGCAGTGAATGGTGATGGACCGGGCGAGAAGGACTTCTTGTACCACCCATAAGCGAGAAAAGAACGGTCTTCTCAAGAGTCTGCCCAGGGCCTCCTCGGCGTTGTCTTTGAAGTGTCTCGAGGCCAGTTTGGAAGACTGGAGCTCATCTTTGAGGAGGGTTATTGCTCCAAACTCTCCACCTTCGACGTTATCAGGGTCTTCACCCACGTATCCGTGTACTTCCGCTGCCTGCGAGAATATTGTGCCCATCATGGCAACCTGGTCAGATCTTTCACCAAGGTCAGACTGATTGATACAAATGGCATCCACCCATATCAGCAAAGACTCGGTCTTGCGGCGTAGACGACTCAGTGCTTGATGGCAATTACGCGTGATGGGCAGAGCTCTGTTACCGAGGCCGATAAAAATGCGCTGACAGAGGGAGGCATCATTATTGTCATCTGCCCATGTATACGACAAAGCTTCATAGGCTGGCATTTGCTCTATATCGACAACCTGGAATCGGCCTTCAAGGGCCTTTTCTCGAGGCGCCGGTAAGAGCTCCAGAAGCCGGATATGAGAGCGCTCTGTCAACTTGGGATAAATGACAGGGAGTATCTGATTTAACCGGTGAGATTTTGTACTTGCTACAGGTGTCAGAGCTCACCTCTCGCCCGTAAGCATCGCTCACTTCTCCCACTCGATAAGTAATTCCGGTGGCCACTTTTGGATAATTGGCTTTGACGAGGCACAAAGCCTTTTCTATGTCTTGACTGAATGGTTCTTGATGGTATTCGACACATTCTGGCCATGACAAACGCTGTATGGACTCTTTGTGCGTGTCTTTGTTACTCGCAGGCTCTGGGGTTGCACATTCGCCAAGCGAGTCAGCGAAGAACCTGAGAGGACCAACTGTTCCGCAGGCTTGGCACGTCCAGAGGTCGTTGTCAAATGGAACAGGGTCCATTCGACGACAGTCGGGGTCATGCCACTCCATTCTGATAGCTCTCGATAAGGATGTGCCGGTTTTCAAGGGTCATGATGTGTTTGTTTTCAAGCGGGGTTCAGAGGCTTTATGGTGGAATGAGGCCGTGTCACAAGGCAGACGAGACATCACGGATGCTTCTATACAGGTCAAGCATTGGTTTCAACTCGCTGCTGTGTTTCGTTTCAATGGTCTGAGTCATTTTCTTCAAAGTGCCTTCATTTGCGTATTTCTTGAAGTGCTACATAATTATTTCAAGTCATGCTAATGCAGTCCTCCACTATCCTATCCCAGTGGCCAGCAAGTCCGTACATACGTATTACAATGATGCCATCGACGTGTCATCCTCCAATCCCAATACAAGAATACAGAAGTCTGTTCGTTCACGTAAAAGTCCGTCACTTCTCAAAAACATGAACGGCCTTCTTGTTGTTCCGTCTGATGTTGTCCCGCTCCTCCTTTGCAATGCAAGTCTGGCAAATAACAGCGTCGAGATACGAAGTGAAGCACACTCCATAGCATCTCCCTATGTAGCAGTTGGCCTTTGGGTCGTGGTACGATCCCGGAGTTCTTAAACCGCAGCTCTCGATTGGGTCTAGAACGGCAGTTGTGTAGCCACATCGACTGCACTCTTCCACATTTTCTGTCTGGGTGCACATGTTGAATATTGCAGTGATGACTGGGTTTGATTTGATGGTGATTTGGGAGTGTGCAGTTGCGTTGCGTGGTAGAGAGATTTCTTGAGTGTGAGAGTGAGAGAGAGAGACAGATAGATAATCGAAAGGTGTCCGGATCAAGTCAAAGCATGGGGGGGGAACAGTTGGACCCGGCCCCCCGATATATAACTCCTTGTCAGCTGGTTCGCAACATGAACAGTGCGAGCGGGATCGGGATTCCTGCCTAGACGAGGCAGACGCAGATGCAGACACGGACGGAGATTGAAAGTGAGGCGGTGTGATTTGCCCGTTTTGATTGCACTGTTACACAGTCCATTCAGTTTTTTTGTTTCCTCTTCTCACAAATGATACTGTACATACCTACATACATGCAGATGCAGATATTTCACAAAAAGTCCGAATGTTGCTGCATCACAGGGACGTTGTGCGTGACATTTGTGTCAATAATTGATAGGCTTATTGGCAAAATGACCATTGGTGCGGGTTTTATTGATCACCTTCAAGGTTGTATTGCCACGCCGCATCAATATATGTCGGTTCTCTTTATCACTTCCAAACAAGGCTGATCTCTGCAAATCCTCACTGTGACCTTGCACTTCTCACGCAACGTCTCACAAACTTCCCCTCCCAATTTCCATCCATTGCATCCATGCATGCAATGCAATGCACGCACAACAATCCACGCCTCCTTGTTTTCGCATACCTATTTCCAAAAGCGTTGCTCTACAGATACGACACTCCACAATGGAAGCAACAAGCCGTTCTTCAAGATATCATGATCTGCCGATAAACAATACAATGTCTGTCCCACGCACGGAACCTACGGGTGGCAAGTAAATCGCCAGGGGTTTCAGCTGCAACCCTTCCGGTCTGGAACCTGGTTATCGGGCGTCGTGGCTGGCCTCGGTTAGAAGCACGAACCTCAGCGCCTGTTGCCATAGGACTTATCTCTGCTCCGAGGTGCATGCATGCTTCATGTAGCTGGCCATCATTGTCGAATGACAAACTTGCTGCGAGTAGCTATATGAGGGTGATGTGCTACCGCATTCACGACTGAATAGGAAATCTTGTTTAGCGAGGATACATTCGTGCTTCACACCAAAACAGCGCCCTTGATGTCCACGGTGAGTTATCCTCGGGCCTCAATGTATCAACAGAGTAGGAATGAAGGTCTGAGAGGTACCTCACGAGAACCGATCTGGCGTCTTATCGTGTAAGCACCACTTGAAACGACGCAGAAATCAACCAACAGGCTTTCCCCGGCGGTTCACATCATCACATGTGGAAGAGGATGGGAGGCTTACGGGTAGTTTAACCCACCGGAGTGCCCATCGTTTATCCTTGAGCGTTCTTTTCAAAATTGCAACGGCAAGCAATACACACGCTGGCTCAAGTAAGTACATAAGACATAAGACGGGGCAAATCTCTTCAAGTCGTTAACTGTGTGAGTCTGTGTCACATCATTTTCTTCTGCCTCAGGCATATGGAAATCAGTTGTATCTGCAGCCCCCAAATGCTGCATGTTTTCTCTCACTCGCAAACCCTTGGGTAACCCGCGCAATGTCTAATTCCACCGCTTTCTCCATTGCGTATACCAAAGCCCAGCAAAGATTGAACCGTCTTGCACGTGCAAGGGATGGAGAATCTTGGGAGAAATCAGAATGGCGGCTTTTTATCCAAAGGATCTCTCTTGAGGTTGTGTCTCTAGTCGAGCTTGTTTGCGATCAGACTGCACGCTTGGTCCCTCCAGTCACCTTGGGCACGCACAATGTTATCTATCGAATTCACTGCGATGGAGATCTTTACGACATTGTTGTCCGGCAACCACGCCCAGATTTGGTACAGTTTTGGGAGGAAAAGGCAGGCTATGAAGCTGCAACCATGTCTTTCCTCGCCAAATACAGTGCTGTAAAAGTTCCAGACCTCTTCTTTCACTTTCCATCATCATATATTGGACCAGCTAAGATCTTATTATTCGTCAAAAGTAAGCGGAGCATGTCAACCGCCCTCGCGGGCCCTTACGAGGATCTGGAGGAGATGCCGGTTCTGAACCCAGAGATTCCTGAAGATGATCTGAGAATGCTTTACGGGCAGATGGCTGAGCTTCTGATCAAGCTCTTCGAGCCAACCCGGCATAAGATCGGGTCATTGGTCGAAGATGGCAACGAGTATTCAGTGGCTCGTCGACCACTCACCCAAAATATGTACGACATGGTATGCAAGGCTTCTATCCCAAAGTCAGTTCTTCCATCATCGAATAAGGTCTATCGCAGTGCCGATGAATGGTACGCCGCATCGGCAGCTATGCACATGGCTCAGTTGCTTTTCGAGCATAACGATATTGTTGAGTCGGAGGACGAATGCCGAAATAAGTATGTTGCACGGTACTTGTTTCATTCACTTGCAAAGGAGGGCCAGCTGTCGTCTTTTGGATTTCTTGAGGATAACTGGTCAGCCCAGTCTCAGTCTCTGGAGCTATCGTGCTCTATGCCATATGGGACTGACTCTTTTCGACTTTGGTGCGACGATCTGAGGCCCCATAATATTCTTTTGAACAATCACGACAATATCGCGGCAGCTCTTGACTGGGAGTTCTCATACTTCGCTCCTACGCAATTCAGCCTCGATCCGCCCTGGTGGCTGTTGCTGCAGCCTCCAGAGCTGTGGCCTTCTGGAATCGATGATTGGTCTCAAGTCTATGAGGCCAGACTCGAGACCTGGCTACTTGCAATGGAAGATCAGGAACTGGGAGAGGCAATCAACTTTCCGGATCACCTTTCAGTCTATATGCGTGAGAGCTGGGAGGGTGGTCGCTTCTGGCTTACCTACGCTACGAGAAAGACTTGGGCATTCGATACAATATTCTGGAAGTACTTGGATGAGAAGTTCTATGGGCCAAGAGATGAAAATACACAAGAATCTCAGTTTTGGAAGTCGAGGTTACATCTTCTAGGGGAAGAGGCACAAAGGTCTATGGAAATGGTGGTGGAAAGAAAGATGAATGATGCAGAAGAGAGAGTCCTAGTAGATTGGGATCCGGACACAGCGAACCAACTTCTGCAAGAGGCATTGGGAGATTATTCATGCTTAAAGTTGTAAAAGCAAAGTCCTTTCCAAGCAACAATACGTACATGTTTGATGAAGCGTCTCATTCCGCGACTGTTCGCACCCCACATTGCCTCACTACAAAAGTCGTAAGATATGTTAGGAATTACCGCTAGAACTATCTACTATTAATCAGCAGATCCAATTGTTTAATGAAGTGGACCACTGGTGGAAGGCTTAGAGTCCTCCGATTGCGGGTTTAATCAATTGCCAATCCGTCCAACTGATTGCGCCATAGATCTGAAATGGCCTCATCACTATCAGTACTTGATAGAATACTACCATAGCAACTTCTTATCTTCTCTTATAAAACGCAAGAGAACTCCGTGTCTGTTTTCAATCGTTGAACTCATCTTGGTCGTTAACTTAAACTCATTGCTCGCCTATATATGTCCACTCGCCACCATGACTGTTAAGAACACTACAAATGCCAATGGCAATGGCAATATCAGAGCTGCGATTATTGGTGGAGGTCCAGGTGGCTTAGGTGCCGCAATTGCCCTCTCCAAGTTGTCTTTCGTTGATTGGACTCTGTATGAGAAGAAGCCCGAGATTAGCGAGACAGGCGGCGGTATCAGTCTTCAGCTACATACATGGAAGATGCTTGAATGGAACGGGTCAGCCAAGAACATCAAACCCAGTGACCTATTCAGGTCTCCTGACGGTATCAGTGGACAACAGCGGTAAGTCGTTTTGTAAGTGATCAGGGGACTTCAAAGCTGACTGTATCAGCAACGGGCGGACTGGTGAGCTCATTGAGCAAAGCTATCATCCCGAAGATACACCCATTCACCAACGCAGTGGCCGTCAGCGAAGAGCAAAGCTGCAAGCAGCTCTTCTCAAAGAGGTTGATGCGTCTAAAATCAAGCTCTCCAAGAAGCTCGTGGGCATTGAAAAACTGTCAAGTGGCAGAGTCATTATTCGATTTGAGGATGGCTTTACGGATGAGGTTGACCTCCTGATTGCTGCAGATGGCATAAGATCGGTAAGTAGACCAATCGAGTAATCAAAATCAAAAGTCTGACGCAATCTAGGTCGTCCGGTCGTTTACTTTTCCTTCGCACAAAATCAAATACAATGGGCAGTCCGCATATCGCACCATCATCAGCAAGTCTGAAGTTAATGCTCTTGGCACGATCCCCCAAGCGTCAACATTCTGGCAGAATCTAGGCGGCAGATATGTATTTACGAGTCCGCTTGGGGACGACGACTTTGAAGTTACAGCACGTATCTCCCGACCGTCAGAAGGGCAAGATCAAGTCAGTTGGGGTCGACCCTTTGACTTCAGCACACTTGTCCATGAGTACGATGGATTCTGTGAGCCTGTTCGCCAAGTTGTTCGATTGGCAGCAAAGGGAGACACTCAAGAATTTGCTCTGTTCTCTGGGCCGCGACTTGATCGAGTAGTTGCTCTTGATTCGATAGCCCTGATCGGAGATGCTTCGCATCCCTTGTCAGGAGCATTTGGAGCGGGAGCCGGATTTGCCCTCGAGGATGTGTATACACTGTCCAAAACCCTTGAGTGGGCTTGGACTCGAGGTAAAGGTATCAAGGCGGCCCTGGAGCTGTACGACCGTATCAGGTCACCGCATTATCATGATCTATATAATGTCCTGGATTGGTATGCAGGCATTGGTAAGGAGATTGCGGCAGAGGGGCTATCCGTGGACGACGAAATTGAGGCAAAAGTGAGAAGAACAAAGGGCAAGAAATCGAACTGGATGTATTCCTACGATATCCAGACTGTGGTCGATAATGTCCTTGAGGGCTTGAATAGCAAGGACAACTGAGCGACAAAGCAAGGACGTTCAGATCCCCAACAAATCTTTACATACAAAGATCACGTTGCGTATTATCAATATCTTACACGTATAATATCTTGAAATGTTGCAAAGAACAAAAAATGTTGAGGCTCGTCTTTTCTGCGTCACAAGAACGGTCGCTGTCACGCCCGCAAGTCACAAGGGCTCTGTGACCGGCTGCACCGGACACGACAGAAACGCATTCAATTGCCACGATGCAAGGCTGACGGTGTTCAATTGCCGAGAATTCTTTCTAGGCATGGGACATAATTGTCCAAAGTCCAGCCGGTTTTGCATGCGGATCATCCGGCCCCGAAAAGTGTCATGCAGTTGATGGCCGACACGTCTAATGTGGAGTCAACCACTTAAGCGGAATCGGCCGAGATGGACAGATTAAACCGCGGGTTTAGATGGAAATCGGGAGACGGTGCAAGTCAAACAGCGTGAAGATGTTGGGGTAAGAGAGACAACGTGGCATAGGAGGTGAGCAAAAGATTGCGGCGGTGAGGAAAAGGACTGTACGAGACTTGCATGAATAATGCGAGTAAGTGGACTTGGGCTGACTATGGCATTATGCGCTTCATTGCGCGAATATCGTGTTAAGATCAAGAGAACAGCTAAAATAGGTAGAAAGAAGCAAATGATCAACATATTGACGATCTCTAGCCACGGCGTTTGATACTGTAGATCTTCCAGAATGGGGAAACGGACGGTAGTTACTATGACGATTCGAGACGTGGCTGGTCAGAGGAGCATCTTGACAGCCAAGTACTCACCCTGTACCATTCTGTTGGAAGCGGTGATCCTACCAGGGTCTCAGCAACACTCTTGAATCCAGTTGCTGTTAGGGATTGGATGAAACATCCATTCACGATGTTTGCTAGGTTGTTGAATGACGGTGAACAAGTGAGCGCATGGTGTAGAGATTTGGACTGGCAGCAGTCCGCTTCTGTCAGTCTGATGCCTTCGCAAATACGTCAATGAATCCTTCTGGCTGTGAGAATGAGCCACGCCACTTCAGAGGCTCAGCAATTTACGACGTTCTGACATTTAAAAAACCAGGCACGTTGGACGAGAAGCGTTTTGGGGCAACCTGAGTTGGGGTTTGGTTGTGCTGTCGTTGCACTTCGGTGAAGAATGGTGATGACGATGATGTCGATCTTTATCATGATGGAGGGTGCGATGGCGACCATTGCGTCACAGCTGTCACTGGCATAACAGGGGTTAAACACTGAGGATATTCCTAGAACTTTCCTTACAGTGAAGTGAAGCCATCCATTCTCAGTGAGTACCCATCTAAACAAGAAACATTGATTGAGCTGAACTTGAGATTAACTCAAGACAACGCACGCATAATAAGACAATGCCAATAACCAAGACATGCATGAAAGTTTCCGTGGACTCCATCTTGTCAGTGTCAGTCCAGGCAGTATCCGACAGGGGAATTGTGGTCTAGGCACTAGTGAGGTACTTTGACGATACTTGGCTCGCAAACTAAGACAAAATTCGGAGTCAGAAGCCATCCGCTGAACCCGATACCAAACAGAAACCCCTGGGCAGCTTAACCAGAGAGGCACAGCACAGACGTGGAAAGCAACGTACCTGTACTTGGCTGTGAAGAAACAGGCATGTATGTCACCAAGAGATCAGTGAGTGCAGTAACAAGTCTGATCTTTTGTACGAATATTAATGCGATTGAGTGTCAAGCATCAGCTAGCTAGCTATTCACTACCCAACTAATGTTACAGATTACGATAAACAACTAATTTCCCCCTGTTCCTATTTATAATCCCTGCTGCTGATTTTCTTACTCCTTTTCCCGCTTTCTGCCCAAAGGGAACTTGGAATTCCACTGCCCTGGGATGGCTGAGATTTTTAGTTCCGCTGCAAGTGGGGTACCTAACTTGTACCTTGGACCCCCGTAACTCCCGTCCCGAAGTCTGGGCTGGTCCCCTTCCCTTCCACCTAAAACTTGACCTTTCCCTTCCCCGACTTACCACCTCGACCAAAAGGTTGTCTGTCAACTCAGCGCGACTTCCCTCGGCTGCGTCGCTTTTGATTTCTCTATATCTCTCTGCTTGTCTCATTGCTTCAAATCAACTCCTATACCTCTCGTCTGCGTCCTCTCGACTTCACCGAATCTTCCCTTCGACCTGACGGGGCTGGGCTGAGCTCAGCAGAAACGCGAGCGCGATGAATGCAATTCAGCAAAAGTGTCGGCCGAAACACCAGGTCCTCGTCCTAAAATGCTATCCCCGGACTACGAAAGGCGCTGTAGATGTCAAGCCGAATAGTAGCGAGCTTAGCTACCTTCTCTACTATGCTACGAGTCGTCGCTCCAAGATCCAGAAGATTGGCGCTTTTTTAGAGAAGAAGACAGCTAGTGATGTCTGGCGTCTGCGTATTGGGTACGTCACATATCATTGACTTCCAAAACGTCAATGTGTCAGATCCTCCCTCTTCGAGTCCCCTCTCGTGATGCGATCTTGCGTTTAGGACTTGTCATGATCAGTTGGTATCCATGATTGCTAATGTGACCCTTGGCAGGAATGTTCAAGTGACTCTACAGATTCTGTCAGCCTTGATGGAAAAGCTTCACAAGGACTCGGTCTTGATTGCTCCATTCGTACTCAAAATTCTTGACACCGTCCTCCGCTCCGACGATATCACCATGATCGAGTCCTCGCTTCCAACATTTGCGGCCTTTTGCGATTATCATGATGCCGCGTTCCTCATGGCTGATCAGACTTACCTTCGACAATACGAAGAAATTGTTCGATTGTACGTTCAACTTGCTTCGACAAAGCCTGCGCCCGGCAAGGAATCTCTCACCACCCCAGTTAAGGTTCGATGGAGGAATGCGGGCCTCGAAGCTATTCGTAGCATCTCTACGGCGGACGCACTATCTTCCATAACGGGCAGTCAAATGGATGTCATCATGCCTCGCATCCTCGAGAACTTGTGGTCCGAAACCCCCGACTTCCTCGAAACGCTACACCAACGGCTCGAAACGGAAGAAAAGGTCGATACCGAAAAGCAGGTTAGACGGAGAACTAGTATCGCGACAGTTGGGACTGACGGAGCAAACGACCCGAATCCTGTCGCTCTCTCCGGCACTGCCGGTGATGTCGATAAGCTTGCGGAAGAAGAGGTTGGCGTATTGGCCCTCCAATGTTTGAAGAGCATCTTCATCGTCCCTGCCCGTTCTCAGATCCACGGCGCAACCGTCTCTCTCCTAAGATTTATTCAAGAAAAGGTCGCACAAGGCAACGCTGTGGTTGAACTTCATGATGATCGAGAACGAGACAGTGGCTGGGCTATCAGTATATATGGCATTATCTCGCGATGGGCCCCCGTGCAAGACAGGTACACAATTCTCGTTGCCGCTCTCGAAACCCTACTACGGATTCCCGTGCAGGACTCTACACTCGACGAACAACTCGCATTGGTAACGATCATGAGCTCCCTCCTACGGTCCGACGTCAACCTTATTGGATTGAGTATGATGGATGTTCTCCTTGGTCTGATCAAGCAGATGAGGAAGCTTTTTAGGATGCGAACACCGACCAGCCAGAGCGACGACGGCACCCCCTCTGCCGTGGAGCCTGAATCAGTCGTGCGCCAAAAGACTAAGCATCTTGTTGGCAGACTTGAACTGTGCATTGGCGACTTGGCAACTCACGTATACTACGCAGATCAGATCTCGGATATGATTTCCGCTATTATCTTGCGCCTGAAACCGTCTCGATCTGCGAGCGTCAACTCTTCCCCTGGCGGCGAAAAGAACGGAAACAATGAAGCTGGACCGGGTGCCTCCACCATCGAGCTGAGCGATAGCCAGCAGCTTGACCATTACTTCTCCCTCAACACGGGCAGAGCATCTGGCCTCCGAGCTATCAAGGAGATTCTTCTAGTCGCAAACCCTCAGAAGAAGCTCACCGGCAACATGGGATTGTCCCGCAACCCTGTGCCGATTTATGTTTGGGAGGGAACTCATTGGCTTCTGCGTGATCCAGATGGCTACGTTCGCAAGGCGTATATGGACGCTCTCATTACATGGCTTGACCGAGAAACTTCATTCGCAAATGAGATTGCCGTCGAGGAAAAGCTTCCTCGTTCTCGCTCTTCTCTCAAGATCAACAAGGAGACTCGTAGAGCCGTTTCAAACGCCTCCCATCGAGAGCGAGGATCCAAGCCAAGACACTCGCAATTTCTGGCCTTGCTGCATCTGGTCATCTACGATAACGCCCTCCAGTACGTCGAGTACGAGAATGATCTTGTCATGCTCCATATCCTTCTTACACGGTTGGTTTTGCAGTTGGGCGTTAATGCCGCCCGATATGGCCTACCAATGATTTACCGACTACAAGAGGACATACAAGAGATCGACACGCCTTTATATAAGGTCCGGACTGCAGCGCTCTGTCATGGATACTTTTGGGCACTTACCGAGAAGTTCGACTTCAAGGACTCTGATATTGGTATAGCGATTGAGCAAGAGGTGGCGCGCCGCAGAAGAAAGGGTTTCTGGGTTCAGGGCATTACCATGCCGCCACCGGAAGTCGATACGGTTGGACTTCCAGGTGAGGCGCGCCCACAGCCAGATTGGGACTCTGCATCGCTCGAAAGAGAAGAACTACTTCCCTTCGACGACAGAGAGGCACTCGTAGAGTACATTGTGTCGCACTACCACGACAGCCTTCAGGCACCTCCTGGCACCCCGGGTCCTTCCCCAGGCAGGGTTCTCTCAGGGCCAATCCTTGGCTCAACTCTAACTGGACAAGATCAACCCGATTCGGAGCTGCCAGCTGTATTCCGCGATCAGATGCTGGCAGACTGGACCAGAGATGCTGCGGGCGCCATGCTTGCCGCTGCTGGAAAGTCGGAATCTTTGTCAGGATCCAAGACAGAAACCTCTGGGACACACCGAGGCCACCTCACGGTGAAGACGAACGGAAACGGATTCGCTAATGGGAATGGACCGACATCACCTTATGGAAGCCAATACAATCTAATGAGGCCTCACTCGTCGCATGGCCATCGCGAGAAAGATCGCGAAGGAACGATTCCCAAGCACCGGAAGAGCAGCCTACGGAGTTCTGCCTCCCCCGCCCATTCAGCAGGCAACCGAGGTACCGTTGCGTCGGTGGATCAGCTGAAGCTCGTGCTATCAGGCAACCCTCCGCCTAAAACAGCCATCATCGGGGACGATGACAGCGGAGACAGCATGGTTAGCTACGATTACAGTCCTTCAGAGATGAGCTTTAACCCTGCTACGCAGAATGACCAGCCAAGTAGCCCAACAAGCACCAAGCGCCCTGGCACGGCTTCTAAGCGAGGACCTCTGAGCGCTCATCCTCCTCTTGGAGCGGCGCCAAATTTACATGACGATAACGATGAGGAGGACGAGTCGGTTCCTCCTGTGCCACCACTGCCTGACGTTAACTTGCTCGGGGGTAAGAGGAGCCCCATCCAGTCGATTGAGACGTCGTTCCAGGATAAATCGGCGCGGCGCAGTCTGACCAGCCGAGGAGGGGATGGAACTCGGCCCAAGTCGGTACGATCACAGAACACCAAGACCATGGATCTGCAGGATCTCCTTAGAGGAATTGATAGCCGGCCGAGCGAGGGAAGTCTGGGCAATGTGACAAAACCTCCATACTAGGGTATATGGATATAATAGGAGTTACGGAGTGAAGGAAGGGAGGATAATAGCGACGATTGATTTGATTTGTAGAATAGCGATATTAGTGTAATTTGTAACAGCTCTGAGCATAAATGAGAAATCGTATTGTCATCGCATTGTTGGTCTTGATGGCTGTGAGCATGAAATGAATAAACCACTCGGATTGATCAACAGGTTACGAATCTAATCGAGGTGATGGATGAGGGTGATCCTGGTGATCCTAGCAGGGAGGAATTTGCTCGATGGAGATTTTGCAAGGGTCGAGCCGGTTTCAGATCGGCAACTAAAGGTGCTAGTTTACGGTGCCTCTTCTGAGGTTAGAGGCCTCGTAAACAGTGAAGCTATATTCGTATTCTGAAGCCGCCGAGACCGAAGCTTGTCAGATCTTTGGTGGCCACGAACGCAAAGGAATACTGATGGCTTTCTATTCCATGGTCAGATTTCTCTAGCCAAGCCTTGACAGTCGATCATCTCTTATCTTTTCTCTCCAAGATACGGATACCACGTTCCTCGCATCCCCTGTCATGGGCTCGGCGCCATGGGGGGCAGTGCAGGACACCATTAATTCGTCTTATTTCCCAGAGAGTGGTCCCCGAAGTTGAGGAATAGGAAAGTCCCCCGCAATTGAAGGGCTCTCTCTTGGGAGACTCCTCTCTCGTCTGTGCCAATCCTTGTTATAGCTCCCGTGCCCGTGAGAAGGGGGCAGTGCTTCTTATCTTACCGTTCGTTCTCTCTTCCCTTTCTCTCACTCTTTCTCACGCCATTTTTGCCTCAATCTCACTGTTGTTTGCTTTCTGTTGTGCTCATTCCGTTCCTTTTAATTATCTTGTGTCACGGTTCATTTACCGGTAGCAAACAAACAAATATCACGCTCGTATCTCGCCAGGTGTCGCTAACGACAAAGCGAGAGTGGTCTGTTTATCCAATATCCTCGACCTTCAATGCATTCTGCCGAAAAACAAGCAAAATAGAGGATACTTATCCGGGGTGTCGATTTCTGAGACGGAGCATCGGGGTCGAAACTGGGCAAATTTATACGAAACGAACGAACACTCTTGGGCGGGATATTATGGATGCGCGACACGTTTGACAGACTCTGTTTTCTTCGTGACGACAAACGACAAAGAGTTCATCGGTGAAGTTGGATGAGGTGTTGGTGAAACGTTGACGGATCTGAAGGAGCTCGTTGTTTGTTTGTGCGACTGCGACATTTATTCGGGCATCACGATATAATTCTCAACCTCACCTCAAGTCACCTCGTCACAGCACAACACCACAACACATTACATCTCATTAAAATCATAATCAAGCTTAACCATGGACGCTCCAAACACTCGACATGGAAGTCATCCATCAGACTCGATTCCTGACGCCGCATATCCCAACGACTCTCCTTATCGACCCGGCGATCACTCACCTCAAATCATGGCTACTCCCATCGCTTCGCCATCCTCACCATCATCACAGGCTTACTCAACACCACCGCCAACACACTTCGGCGTCAGTATCCCCGCATACTCCAGTCCAGCACCATCGCCATGGTCCCCCGCTTTACCCTCAGGTCCACCTCCTCCATACGATCCGTCCCGTCCGCCAGCGATATACTCTCCACTCGCACCGCCATCGCCAATCTCCCCGCCTCCGCCTCAGTATCCGCCTTCAACGCCTTGGCCATACCCGCAAGGCAGCAGTGCTGGCTCTAGTCTGAATGCACCGTACAAGATGGGACCTGTGGCTACGGCCAGAGCTCGACGGAGGAGGAAACTGCAAATCCTCGCTTTGGCGCTTTGCGCTGTGATGATCTTCTTTGTTGCATTGATCATGGGAATTCTGATGGGTGTTGTGAAGGTGCAATGGAAGAACAACAACAACAACAACAACGATGATTAGGCTCGATTAGCTGGATATGTAACTGTCGCTCACAGTTTACTTACTTTTCTTTTGTTAATACTTATTTGGGGGGTATTCGGGCTGCGGGTGCAGCAATGGCATGGCGTTGGACATAGGTCTTTTCTGTTCTTTTCTCGATAAGAGGATTTGCTTGGATGTGAAGCGATAGCCACTCAAAATACAATTGGGCTCGTTTTCATCAGATCTGGGTTTTCACTGACGCTTGATGTGATATGTTGTCCACATGATGGACATCTACACTGAGTGAAAGCCATCTGCCATCCGTACGGCACATCAGCTAGCAAAAGAAAGTCATCGTCTTCTTGTAGAATGATTTCTCAAGCCACTCTTTAAGAATTCGATTTACACCTATCTATAAGCTTTCCATGTCTCCTATGAGCAGTTACAATATGTGTGAAGGTTGAAGAGTATGCGTTGGTGTTAAAAGTGAATAAAACAACCTAGCTACCCTGTATGGGACAGACTTCAAGCATAGCACATGAGCTTTGGTCTACCGTATATCAGGACACTGTCGAGTCTTCCGAAACAGCACGAATACAGATACATTCGGAGCCTCGTCCCATTGTCTACTACTGCATGACATTCGCTAAGGGACGTTGCAGAGGCGTCAACATTTAGCCTTCCATCGTTAGCACCGTGAAAAACTACCCAATGTCCAGGCTCCAGGCCTCCCACCCACTCAATTGCACATTCCTGCCGAAAATGATCCAGCCAAGAGCATTGTGGCGAGCTGATAGACGAGATGAATCAATAAAATTACATCAAAGATAAGTCTAGATAGCCTTTTGCGGCGCCTGGTCGATTACTGATGTTGGCACATGATGAGTGTTGGTGAGCGTCTACTGGCTGGGAGTTATTCCGCCGTCAGAAGCGGGAGTGGGAACGGGAGCCAGATCCAAGATTACAAGATTACAACGGGGAGGAGGGAAAATGACCCGATTTGAGCAAAACTCTAAATGATCGGCAATTAAACATTACCCCGGCCAAGGCCTCTTGTTGGCTGTCAATGTTTTAATTGACTTTCCCTTGCCTTTGTCACTTGATCAGGCTCAGCCTTAACAAGCCCACCGTTGGATCCGGACTAGATCTTGATAGAAGGGTACGGCCGTATACAGGAGAGGGTTGCAATTCTGTTCGAGCGCCAGAAAAGTCTATCATCCCGTCCTCTACCGCTGTGTTGGGCCCAGTTGGCCGACGTACGTCCCAACTTAGATCCAGACCTGACGTCTCCGTGAACACGGCCAACGCGTATCTTGCGTTAGGCGAAGTTGAAGTTGTCTCTTTTCGCTTCAACTCAAGAGCGTACGCAAATAGAGACAGGAAGAGGAGCAAGCAATGCGTAGCATAGGAATGAGACATCAGTTTCATGTAAACCTTTCTTTTCTCACACATACACCGAGTCTCAGAGGATCTCACCCTGCGCTGCGCCATGAACTGATATTTGACGTGTCGTTGGGTAAAAACTAAGCAGGGCTGAAAGGTCCGAGAGTGGCTTGTTTGTAACGTCACTCGATTGATTCGATTCGATCCTAGATCCGCAGGGCCCAGATGGGGGCTGTTTTGATACCACTCACAGCCCCTATCGACGATGGTGATGGATGTCTCAAGGGGAAGTGAGGGAACAATGATTCACATCCCAGCCTAATATGTATATTGTTGAAACATGAGCAAATACATATAGTACAACCATGTAGAGTGACTGTATGCAAGGACACCTTGGACGTTACCATGCAGGTTCAACGTGCAGAACAGCTCATCATGGATGCCGTAGCCGGTGCAGGTACAGAGCGTTTCTTTCAGGGATGTTCCCGGCTCGACTACCGATCTACTCCGTAATCTTGGGTACCTAGGTATGGATGCCTCAGATCTGTTTATGTGAATCTGGCCGTGCATCCGGGCATCGAGACAGATGCAAGTGGTGAAGAGTTTTCACATCAACGCAAGGGCAGGAAAAAGCATTCCGGTGAGGATGCATACATACAGTACACCAGTGGAGCAAGCGGACCGTCAATAGTAATTATTGATTCATTAACTTTTCTTTTTACGCCTTCGAATAGATAGGCTATCTCCTTTGTTCCGACCCAGGTCTGGACTCGGGAATCACTTTGTACCTTTGTGATGTGTAGGATGATCTGGAATGATGTGCATGTAGGGGAGAACGAGGCGACACACGCTCGACTCGTAAATGCACTGTTTACTGTCGTGACGTGGTGGAGATGTAATGGTGGATAGGTAAGCTACAGTACAAGATGCCTTGGGTACAGTACTTACAGAGAGGACAGAAGATCGAGCCTAGGTACACTCCTAAATGTGGCCGCCATTCAGGCCGATCGACTTGAGATACTAAAGCAAACTAAAATAATGCTTCCATGACGTCGGGTCCAAGTGTGCTGAATATGGCAGGATCAGTGCATGCATATGGAGACTGACGGCATCATTGGCATTGGATCCAATCCATGGAAATGGCAGTGGGAATAGAGAAAAAGAGACTTGGAGCCCGTTGTTCTGAGCAGGGCACGTGGCAGTGCTGACAGCGGCCTGTAGCCTGCCAAAGGCCCAAAACAGTCAGGCCTCAGCCTAAAATTAGCGGTTGGTCGACTTCAATTTACCCTGAACACTCAGTACCTAAGACAATGAATGTGCCCACTTGTATCATCATCATCATCCTCGTCTGCATCTACATCCTGCATTGCAGCTCATCGCACCGGACGCAAATCATGATTTGCATCGCCCGGAACCACTCCTGATGGTGACATCAGTGCGTGCCATCTCCAGTCCAGCCCCAATCCTCTTCCTGGTGGTCCCGGCAGTCAAGCAAGCCTGGGCCTAAGCAGCTAAGGTAAGCTAAGCCAAGCCAAAGCAAGGATCTCAATTCAACACTGGGCCCAGCAGCCAGCCTCTCCCGTTGGCCTACGGATAGCTCACAGCAGTTAGCGAATCCTCGCTCGAGAAGGCTCTGATGTTGGTAATTTGGCTTTATCCCGCATCTTAACTTTGAGCATCTCCAGACCGGGTCACTTTCTCAAGCGGCCGCTCGTCGATTAACTGTTGGTCGACCCGGTTCTAAGGTTCACTCGGTTGTTAGAAGCGGGTATTTCGCATAGCGGCTCCCAATGACGCTTCAGGCTACAGCCTCCTCTCCCGCGGCGAAATACGCTGCTCCCCCGTCCCCTGGGCTGTGGCCTGTGGCCGAGGCCTAAGACGTTCTCCGATCCACGCCCCAAGCTGTATCCGTAGGTCTGCTGTCATCCTCCCAAGGGCCCACCTCGACTCCGCTGCAGCTGCAATCCAAGGCTGCCGAGCGCCCAAATCGTCCGCCATGTCGTCTTCGCTACCTTTAGCCCTCCCCTAGCTCCAACTGTAGGGGACCAATGGACAGTCATCTTTAACTACGGCATTGGGAGCCCTCCCGAGCTACTGGAGTCAAGCTTGAGGAAAAGATACCGACAGAAACCATAAAGAAATCTGGCCTCATCACAACTAGGGCTGGTGGCATCTTCGTCCAAGGATTTCCACTTAAGCTCTCGGCCTCTTCTCTCCTCACTCCTTTGTCGTGCACCCTCAGTCAGCAATGCAAGAGATGTTGACGTCGTCACTGCACTGACATCAACGCTGTTAATCATTGGATCCGAGACATTCAGGAACGTTGCGAAACTGGTACAGCAAGTGGACCACTAAACGATACCCTTGCACCAACATTAACCGGGACCTGACGCTCCATCCGCGTGTCCCCCTCCTTACCCCTTCTATCCGTAGCCCATCAATGGCACTGGCAGTTGAGCACTGCCTGCTGGTTCGAGCTCAACTCGGATTATTTGGCTATTGACCTCGAACAATGCAATATTTCCAGGGACCAGGCGGCTTTGTGAAAGTCACTTGGAATCAGCTAACTCACTCATGAGCCAACCATATTCTCTATCCTGCTCTCTCCAACAAGCCCCTCCATACCGGACCCCAGCTAGAGACCCTCAACTCGGCTCGTGTTGGCCGAATCTTTTCGTTCTATTCTTCTCCTGTCCGTGTTCCTGATTGTCATCGATTGACAGCTGCCAATCCTGCAAGATGACTGGCTGCCGAGATACATCCTCTGGTTCATGACCTTGCGGCGCTGAATTGCCCCAGAGTTTTCGCCTCATGCCCCATATCGTACTCAGTCTCTCTGAATTTCGCCAGTTGTCTCGTGGTTCTCATTCTGTCCAGTCGCTTTCATATGTCGTGTTGCCCTTCACAAGCTTATCCCTGTACCCGGCTGCCACAGTCTGCCGATGATACATTGCTCCATCAACCTTCTTTTTTTTTTACTGACTCCCTATTGCGACTTTACTCCTCCGACTCTCATTGATGGATCAGGCCCCTCCACCTTGACATCTTTCTTATAAAGACCCCTGGCCAAGTTTTGCTTTTGACTTTCCCCCTCCGAGTTCTCATTGTTGTTACATGCGGATGCCTGTTGCTACGCTGTCTTTTCTCATTTTGCAGGTCTTAGCCACGTTCTCTCCCTGTCATCATTGAGTTATAAGTCGCCTCGTTGACGCCCTGTCTTGATTGCGACTGTCGAGAAGCTGCCTTGTAAGCTGGTCGATCTATCAGACAGCGGCGGGTATAATACACCTCTCAACCCCCGACATATAAACACGCAGACAAACACATACACAGCAACAATCCTCTTTACTTACATCACTGTCACTGCCGTCATCATTACCGTCATTCTCGGCTTAGAATAGGTGCTATCTCTGGACCACCCAGCCATATTCGATTCACCCCAAGCTCTAGTCCAGCCGAGTCCAGCCCGATCCAGCCTGGTCCCGGGCCTTGAAGATCTTGCTTTCGGTTCAAGCCAGTTCTAGAACGCCAAAACTTGACAACCATTACATTTAAGCACTATCCTCTTTTTTAGCATTCGAATCCCTGGGGCGGTGCTTGTTGGCCTTAATTCAGCCAGAAACAAAAAACACCGTCTTTCCCCGGTCGATTCTCATCCATCTCCCTTGCACCCTGAGAATCCAAGTACCAACCAACCCAACCCAAGCCAGGAAAAAAAGAGGCGCCGTACGTACGTCTTTGCGTACCCTTCCCTTGGTCTTCAGTGGCTGCCCTGCCCTCCGCTTCCCCAAGGAAAAATCTTGAGCTAGCCGCCACGGGCGCTTCCCAGACTCCCGGTCCTGGGACCAAACGAGGAAACTCAATTTCAGGCATCACAAATCCTGGACATTTTTAGTTATTTGGTTCTAGTGTCATCCATCTGTCTGGCTGGCTCTATCTCCCCTCTTGGTCTCATTTATTCCCTCCTCCCCAAGCTCGTTTTCACACCACTCTTTTTGAGCTTGACTCAACATCTCGGTCCTGCCCGTATCGTGTCGTGTCTTGTCTTGTCTTGTCTTGTCTCCCGGCGTGCGCGTGCTGGTTTCTTTCAACGTCGCAACATACGATTGGGTGCTCAACTATCAGACCTCAAGGCTGTGAAGCTCCAGAAACATACATAACCGCAACCGGCCACGATCAGTCTGGCCTTTTTTTTCCCCAGTGTCCCATTCCTCACCAACAGTTCCCCGATCTATCTGTACCTGTTTGTCGCCAGTTTATCGACTCTCAGACTTATTAGTCTCTGTTTTTCCTTCGCTCGGACTGCGCATTGGAGACGTTCAGTTTCACTATCATCATCAGCAACCCCAATCCTTCTTATCGCTTGATTGATATACAGTTTTTTGAGGGGCATACATTGCTTGTCACTCGCCTTGCGTCGGCATACGCTCGCTCATCACGGAATCCTCTGGTTTTTTCTTCAGCTTCATCATCATCATGCCACGGCATTATCACTACCAACCCAGGTTCGGCTTATTCATCCCAGACGCTCTGTTGTACCTGATGCTAATTCACTACTTAGTCGCGAACTCCATGTGGTAGTCCTGGGAGCAGGTTCGTCCATACCCAACACCCACGCAACCCTTTCGCTTTGACTCTCCCTTTCTTACGTGTGCACTTGTCTGACTCGTTTATCATTTGACAGGCGGCGTGGGCAAAAGTTGTTTAACTGGTGAGTTGTCACTCTCCCTTGGCCGCGGCCTTCGCCTTCGCCTTTGTCTTCGCCTTCACCTTCCCCTCGTCCCATGTTCTTCATGTTGCTGCGCCTGCGTCCCACCGTTGCATCCGCAATCCTACCACGCTTCCCTGTCTTCCCCTTTGTAGTACAAGGCTCATGCGAGAACAGCCCAGTTCGTCCACAATGAGTGGATCGAGAGCTATGATCCCACCATAGAAGATTCTTATCGCACGCAGCTTCAGGTCGATGTGAGTATTGCGCATGGCAACAATGCCACTACCTGACCCCTTCTGACTGACTGACTCGCTCGTCTCAGGGACGTCAAGTTATTCTCGAAATGTGAGTTTTTACGCCTTGATTGTCTCATCACTCAATCCGTGTTTGGAGAAGAGCTGTCACTGACTCGGCCTCTAACTAGCCTCGATACTGCGGGGACCGAGCAATTCGGTAGGTCCTCCTCTATGTCTCAACAACTTTCGCACGACCCTCGTACTGATGTTGGTACAGTCGCCATGAGGGATCTGTACATGAAAACCGGCCAAGGTTTTCTTCTTGTATTCAGTATCACATCGTCTTCCTCCCTAAGCGAACTGGCAGGTTTGCGCGAAGAAATTATCCGCATAAAAGACGATGAAAATGTACCTCTTGTTATTGTCGGTAACAAAGCCGATTTGGAGGAGAATCGCGCTGTGCCCCGAGCCAAGGGCTTCTCCATCTCACAACGATGGGGCGCACCCTACTATGAGGCTAGCGCGAGGACAAGGAGTAGGTTTGCCCGTCCACCCATGCATGCATGCATGCATGGCTTCTTTCGCCGCATTTGGACTAACAAATCCGCAGCCAACGTTGATGAGGTCTTTATCGATCTCTGCAGGCAAATGCTGCGTAAGGAGGACGAACAGCACGCGAATGACGGACCCAATGACGACTACAAGTATGATCACGGCCGGAGTTCTCACAGACGTCAACGACGTCGCCGAAAGAAGGATTCACCGCGATGTGTGATCCTGTGAACTCAACGAACCACTTTCAGAACAATGGCCACTGGATGGCATCTAAGCACTGGAATTTCTTTCATTTCTCTCAATTCAATTTTCTAGGCCTCGGGGTTTCCCCCCCTCAATGCTCTTACATTATACAGCACGTTTTACGCAGATCACGGCCATCTAAAATAAATCTATAAAAGCTATCTGGTGCTCTCGGAAGGACCACATGAACGACCTCGCGGTCTCATGAGGCGAGACGGTACTTGACTGCGAGCTGGCCCCAGACTCGCTGCAGAATCGAATCGCATTATTGAAACGAGACCGACGCGTATAGACGACATAACGCATCACACCGAATCGAATAGAGTCGAATCGCATGGCATCGCATGCTCGAGCTAAGCCACTGGTGTTTTGGGATCGACAATTCCCATATTGTATTCCACATTACGGCGTTGGAGGCGTTGGATATCGGACCTGGGATATAGGTTCTGCACATGTTTATTGCTTTCAGGGTTTGGTATGGGTATTTTGTTCTCCTTCTTGAACTATGGTGAGATGAATGAGAAGCTGTTTTGGTATGATCAAGTAGGACAACCTTTGCATTGATACGAAATGCACCAAGCGACGAGAATGAAGCAACATAGGACCTGCAAATGCAGGCATTTCCAAGCTTCTATTCCGATATGACAAGGGTGACGTTTAGTTTCTGCCCAATATATTCCACTCCCTGGGGCTCACTCGCATCTCGGAACTTCTCCTGAACCTGTGTGGCAACACCACGTGAACTATCCTCCGAGTCTTCGAGTATGGCTGTCCAAGCTTGACTTTGCATTGCAGCCGCCGTGGAGTCTGGCCACGAATTTATCGTGACATGTTACACAACATTCACCCGTCATCCCATGTGTCACCATCCTGGAGAAAGTCACTGCATGAAGCTGCGACAAGCCGCGTGTTCAGATCACCCTTACTTACCGAACAACTATTTGTCCGTTGGTGCCACGACTCATCACATATACGAGATCCTATCTTACAATGACAATAAGCCATTCGATTCTCTATTTGTGTGCATTCCTACGGTCCCGTTATCCAGTACGACACGTCTTATGCTATCCTCATGACTTGGCAATAGTCTACATACATGATTTCGTGTGTAACCAAGCCTTGACTATGACGTGTCTACAGAGACCGATCACAATCCGGCTGCTCAAATGCTCATGAAACTGATACCGAAAGCGACCGCAATGGGGTCTTCGGCGATCCTTGGCTGCTGCTCACTTGCGTCGCAGCATGCCCCAAATGTCAGTGAAAATACCAAACCACCCCTTGACTCTTTCAGCGGCGTTCAGAAGTAAGATAAAGCGTTTCACAAACGCATCAACGTTGTCATAGTCATCGGCGTAGCACTCCCATACAGCACGCCCTTGTCCGTTGTTCTCAGAGTCCTGGACGGTCATGAGAGCATCTACATCCTCCACACCATCCACACCAGCGGACTTGAGCTTGGGACCGACGCAGAGTGCACGACCCGCAATCTCTTCATCGGCAATGAGGCGAGTGGCAGCATCAATGACATCCTCGATCATTGCCCCGCCTGCTGTGCCCGAGAGGAAGGCTGTTTCGATGGGGAGCTTGAGCATGTTGGACTTGGAGACATAGTAGGGAGTGATCATGTTGACACGAACGCCACTCCGGAAAGACGTAGCACGAAGAGTGCGGAAGAGCCCAAGAATAGCATGCTTGCTCATCGTGTACATGGTTTGAGTTGGGAAAGGGCAAAGAGACGCAAGCGAGCCGACCAGAAGCAGGCAACGATCTCGCGGGGAAGATCCATTCTGTGGGAGCCAGTACATGGCAAGGTGAGTGGTATAGGCAGCACCAGTGATGTTGACGTCGAACTGAGCCGTGTTGGGCTTTGGAAGACGCCCATTCTTGAGAGTAGGCTCCTCGAACTGAATAGAGACGTCGGGAAGGATGATGCCGGCATTGGGGACGACAATATCGATGCCTCCATGCGGGCTGACGTGAACAGCCGTCTCAAAGAGGCTGACTTGTGATTCCCAGTCAGTGACGTCGCAATGCTGAAAGGCAAAAGCTGAGTCCGGATACTGAGTTGTAAGTTCAGCTACGAGCTTTTCGCCCGCTGCGTCAGCGACATCGCCGATGATGATATTTGCCCCATGCGATGCCCATTCGCGAACCATGTAAGAACCAAGACCATTAGCACCGCCAGTGATGACAATAGTCTTACCCTTGAGAGTTGTGGCATCGTAGGGCTTGGACACATCGACGGGCGGTGACTGGCGGATGAGGCCCTTGATATCGTTGGTGGGCTCCATAGCTGAACGTACGTTTGTATGTGCTTGGATAGGTGAGATCTTTGGTATGAAAAGAGTAGAAATGATCTCGGCAACTATGGCAGTCTATTAACTCTCCGACAACCGAGCAATGGACGAAACGAACACGGTATGATAGTGATTGCGAGTATTGGAAAACTATTTGCTGACCTATTTATCAAGCCAAACAAATTAGCCCCAGCTTCAGCTTCAGCTACAACGAACCTAGTCAGCTATCAAGCCAAAAGCCGTTGGACCAAAAATATCTCCCGTGTGGAGTCTGAGCTCTTTTTTGCAGGGTCCAGGCCAATCTCACCTTTTTGATCTGCCTATCGTGTAATGTTGGTTTCCTTGGAGGCCTGATAAATTAGCTTTAGCGGGTCGTCTCGAGCTTGGTAGGTATTGGATATCCACTCCAGATGTTGTTGATGATGCCAACGATTTGGGATCCGAAGACCGAGATGAAGATGAAGATGAAGATGAAGAGGAAGAGGAAGAGTAAGAGGAGAAGATGGAGAGAGGAGAAGAGTGCGGCACACGAGTTTCCGTTTTCTTGGTATAAACAAGGCCCCCAATTGCATTGCAATGAATCCTTGCTTCTTGCATTCACTGTTGAAATGTAACGCTGTTTCACTGACGAGCCCAGTGACAGTGATGAGAACCTCAATGCGCAAACAATTCTGGGCTTGCAGAATATAAATCCGATAAACTTCTCCAATACTCACCAAGGAAGTGATAACAGGCTCTGATACACATCGCCATGCTCACCTCATGGGTGCCCATAGCTGTTCGGAGCTTAGCAGTCCCAGGCAGGCTCGTGGTTATCTTCGGACACAACAACAGACAAGAGTTTCCATGCCCAGATCTCAACAGTGGCTACATTGTTGGGGGCCACAACCGGGGATGGGCATTCATTAGAGCTCAGTAGCCTTGGTAGAAGGGCTATAGGTATAGACAATATTTCGCTATGGACTTTTCCGTTGTGATCCGGAGGGCCGGCACCATGAAGTACTGTGCTGGGCCTACGGTGCCGAATTACGCTGTTTGAGAAAGACTCGCTGAACAATCTGCTGTAAGCCCCAATATGGATGGCAACAGCATCTCGGCTGTGAAGTTCGGAATTTCGTGAAAGGGTTTGTCAATTGCCCTTTCTCGGGCCATTTATCCATTGAAACACCCGACACGAATGCCAAGTCAGCAAAGAGGCAGATTATTGCTGGTCAGGCGACCATTGATCTTATAAAACAGAGTGAACCGTCATCTTCGTCATCACATACGATGGTGCTGATGATAAACTTGATCACCCTCATCATTGCTCAATATATGCGGTTGATCTGGGAGGGTGTGGTTGTCATCCTCTAGCCCAGGAACCTTGAGCTGCACGTCTGCATAATAATTTGTTGGCACCGTATATCGAGGTAGTTTCATCTGGTGCAAGCTTTCAGCCCCCCGTTCTAAGCATCACTGCCGCCAACTTGGCAGTTCTGATTCACTGACCTCAACGCCGTGGGACAAACAGCCCTACTGAAGCAAGGCAGTTTGCTGGACAAATCATGTTAGTCAGGCAAATGAGCGAGCACATCAGCAAAGCCGAACAGGAAATTCAGGAGGAGGGGAAAGCATTCGCGTTCAACCAACAGCTGTCCCTTGCTTTCGGAGTATTTCACACAGTCGTGCAGGGGATCGTCTTCCCTCGTCATTAGCGACTCTAGTGATCACCTTGTCTCAAGGCAAGGGTTCAATGTTAGTGCGAACAAGCATATCCACCCAACGGCTTAGACAGTGGCTGGCTGTCTAGGACTTTAGTCTGTCTTGAGAAGGGAGAGAAGATTTGAATGTGTCACATGAGTATCGACAGTTATCAGGCACCGTCGATCATTTCGTCTAGAATTTAATGGATCCCAAAGCCAACATCAGCACGCAAACTCGATTGCCCCCGAGATCATCCGCATTTGATCGGTTGAACCAAGCTTTGTTTTGGGTCGAATAGTAATGGTTTCTCAAAATGGTTGTCGTGATTTTGCCCAAGGGACCTTGCGTCAGTCATTATACCAGGCATCCAGCCTTGGGATCCAGTGATACCACCGGGATGTGACGGGCTTTAGACGCACCAGCCCCGACCGACTGGCTGGGATGGATATCTGGGTCTGGCACGCTCATGCCTCGGTGACCTCACTCACGGACGAGGGCGCAGGCCTGTGAAAAAAAGGCTGGCTAGGCTGGACAGTTGGCGTTGATAGCCATGCCAGGGATCCCTGTCATATTGAACATGGCAGGGTGGTTTCCTACACACACAGACACAATGGTAAAAATCATTGAACCGAAGGTAGTAAACCCACGAGAAGCAATCGAGGCTGCCCTTCCTGTGCTGCAATAGACACAACTTATGAGATGTTGTTAGCACCATCTTCAACTTCAGATCAATGGCTGGGTCCTGTAGAATGGTCGACTCGTCTATCGGATGTGTTTGGTAATTCCTTTACCAAGACCCTGAATTTGTGCCTGAGAATGTTGCGCTCATCAGCCGCAATCCGTCACTCACGTGGTGCCGTTAGACCACATGTTGGTTTCCTGCTTGGGTAGCAAGGTACAAATCGTTTGATGGGGATCACCCCAATGCGCACGATTGTACCTATCTGAGATGTGATGATGCTCTGAGAAAGCGATTGGGTAAGAGATCCGCGTATGTACCGCTGGATGGCTGGCACCGTGCCTGAAGGAACTGTAAACCACATTAAACTTACGGCGCAGGCAGTATCCCCGTCTTTATGAATTTGAGACTCGTCAATGATATGCTGAAAGTTCACATTGAAATTCCGCACAAAGCGTTTGTTCAGTCTCCAAGGATTCTCATATCCGTCATCAGTGCAATGACTGGTAAGAAGCGATGCGATATCACCACGAGGTCTGATCACACACACCTCTAGTCAAGCCAATAGGATACCGAGCATAGGGGTGCAAAACGTCCTGTTCCCCAAGCTCTGCTGCAGGTATGCGCTGCCAAAGCCCAATCGGGATCGAGCAATGACGACCTAATTGGGCTGGAGGACGATGCGACCCAGGGTCGTTATCCGGGAACGTCAAACTTCAAATTTCAAGCTGTATCCTCGCGCACCAGGCAATAGGTCTGCGACAACACCATGTCATTCGATAAGGCTATGAGTCAGTCTCAGCAACGGAGAAAGTGATGGCTATCTTTATTGTGCCGTCCTATTTATTCTCGAAAAAAGAAGCTCGTGGATCACCATTGGTAAGATAGGTGACGCGAGATGACTTCAAATGTAAATACCATCCACAGTGGTTTGTTTGGATTGCTAACGAAGGGATGCGAGGTTTGACACACCATCCCTTCTTGCGAGAATGAATCATCTTTTTTGAGGTGAGATTTGTAGTAGGTGAAAGTACACTGGATCATGGCCCCCATGATTTTTGAAACGAGCATGTTCGTATCCTCGATTGAATGTTGTTTGATACACTCCTCAATCAACAACAACTCAAGATGACGAATCATTGACGATGTTATTGCATCCTTCCTGCATTCTCCTTCCAGCCTTTGGGAGATCCGGCTGTCCGCTTCATGGAGAATGGGGAATAAGAAAATGTTTTCAACACAACGGTACGGAGTAGGGTTGCGTTATATGAAGGACTATGAGGTCATTCAGTAGCTTGAGTCTCAGTTTTCGCATCCTGAAAGTGATTGAGGAAACCCAAGTGGAAGTGGGCTTCGGTTTTGGAACGGGTATCCTGCCGAGGCCGTGCCCTTTTGGTGCCTGAAAAAGGTGACATGGGAACGAAGAAGGCATGCTAGCGATGAAGGGAGAAAAGGGATACCCTTCTTGTTGAGGGTCCCTGATTCTGCTATTCTGCTATCTCAGAATTCGACTAGAAGCCAAACTGGTTGTTGATAGATTCGCCCTTGGCAAGTTCCCGAAGGCTGCCGGGATTACTTTTGAACGATGTTAACATCTGTCTCTGGCAATTGACCCATAGTGTCGTGCTCATCCGTGGCTAAATCTGTACGACCATGAGAAGGGATGAAACATTGCTGGGACAAGAAGGATATCCAAGCATTGGAACCAAGCGGAGCCATCCCTAATGTGGACTACAGAGTTCAAGCCATGACTCCACTCGCAGGATGCCTGGTTTCTGTCGACAAGCCCCCTGGCCTTGAGCTCCAAGTACAAGTATGTATTTCCGTGAAGCTTGAAACTGTGCAGTTGTTGTAGTTTCACTTAATCGTCAAACTGGCCTTGACTAGCGCATATCTCAGTTCTAATTCCCCATCCTGTATGTCCGCGGTGGGGGCCATTTATTAGGCCTGTAGATGCAAGCGGGCCGTTCGATCGATCCCGGAGCCCAATAATCTGGGAAGTCAGGTTGTTCTTTGTGTCTATTCCCAGCTGTTGTATGCAGGCGAGCTGTTCTACCATGTCGCTCAATCTTGAGCTTGATAGCGATATAAGTGGGAACCTACTCCGTAGGTGTTCTGCACATTCTACGGGTGTATCATAAACGTGGCCATAGACATCCATGCATCTTTTCAACCATGAACCAGATTGACCGGGTCACACTAAATGAGCCGTCTTATCTTGCACAACCACATGAACAAAGCTCAAATTCCGGAAGGACAAGACCCCGAGGTCCGCCGTTGCTTTGTCTTCGATGTGCCGTTAAGTCTGCGCTGGTGAACGCATTGACTTCTAATAATGACACCACCAAACTGGGGAAAGATGCATCCCATTTACCCAGACCGTGGTGGCATTGAGATGACAAACACGGCAAGAAGAAAGCTTCCAGTAACAGGGCAATATCTTGGTTGATTGACAGGGGAAGAGGTAAGGGAGGGGCCAATTTACCCCTGTCAACAATCGCTGCATGCTGGCTCACCGGCTGTGCACCCCTCCCGCCCGCGGCCACAGCCCTGGGTGGTTTAGCTGTAACTGAGTTGGGAGGTGACAGGACTGGGGACTCGCTAACTTGAGGGTCCAATGTCCTCAGCAGGC